GTAAGATGGTCAGTGAACACATCTATGACTGGGACTCGGTTCTACCTGGAACTCAACTGGCTATAAACACAAAAATTAGGTATCGCACTGAGAGTGCACCTTTTCAATTGATGTTTGCTAGACCATTGAATAGATTCGTAGACTACGATGATCCTAAGATCAAGGACAACTTACCAAAGAAGCCAATGACTCTCGGTGAGCTACGCAAGAAGGCAGAGATTATGAACCAGGTTGTCTTTCCAGCTATTAACCAAAGAACACAACGCATTATTGAAGAGCAAGCAACGCGATTCAATAAGCATCACAAGATTACACACTTCAAAGTTGGTGATTGGGTTATGGTAAGACTTCCGCATAGAGAAAGCAAACTTGAGGCCGCTTATGATGGACCTTATCAAGTTGTTCAAAAGAAAAGATCTACATATGTGTTGAAAGACGATATGAATGAACTACTACATCGCGACTATGTGCCATCTGAATTGAAGCTGGTAGCAATCGACGAGTCTATCATCGAACAAGAAGTATATGAGGTTGACGAGATCAGAGCGCATCGTGGTCCTGAACACAATAGAGAGTATTTGGTAAAATGGAAGACATTTGGAGAAGCTGCCAACTCCTGGGAAACTGCTGCATCGTTCAACAACCCTCAAACCATTCGTAAGTACTGGGCAAAGATCAAGGAATATGAGCTGCTTGAGAAGAGAAGACAGGCACTAAATAGTGACACTGCTTCCTCCAAATCAAAGCGTAAGCGTGATGATTCTGACAAGCGTTTGAGAGGCTCTAAGAGACTCAACGTTGCAGAACAGTAAAGTGATGTTTGTCATGGGATATATCAGGGCAACATGCAAATTGCAGTAGCACCTTTAGACTATCACATTGCGTTATATCTTTGTCAGCGAATGCGAAATACAGATCATTGATCGTTTACATAATTCTTTGAATTAGTCAACATGCGTTGAAACTGGTGGGGGCAAATGTGGAATACATCCACTATGATCTGCATTCCGACAGTTCATCCAGTTACCAGATTTAGATATAAACTGTATGTACACTGGATTAGATGTACGATATCGATTTATACTATGATCATGAGAAGATATGGACTTCAGATACGCTAGTACTATAAGATTCATACTATATAAGATATAGGCTATAGATGGCACCACGGACATGGATGGCACTATAGACTTATACTTGTATTCCGACATTAACTACGGATGTTTACCATATCTGGATAGGCACCAAGATTAATGCAATATGAGCTTGTTGCTTCAGATGTGCACTTCATGATCCACGCTATAAGACACATGCTTATATCCGTGATACTAGCTACAGATACTTTATGTACTACAGACTTGTACTATATATGAGACATGCTATAGACATGCATACGATATGCTATAGACATGCCATATATCCAGATACATGCTAAAGATGTATGCTTAGCGATATACACTCAGATATGTACTATTAATATAGACTAAGAAGACTGTACCTATCGGATACATGCTACTAGATCGATATTAATTATCCTTATGGAAAGGATAGATCAGGGTACTTCGGATGAGAGTCTAATTATTCATCCAGACAGAGCTAAATCATGATTAGCTTGCTGGAGTTGTCTTTTAGCATGATTAGACATTAGTTGATCTGAGTTGACTTATTTGTCAATCTAATTAATAGAACTTTTATCCATTGTTATAGTATATAAGAAGGATCATCTACCTGGCCAGTAGAGAGACTTCAGTTTACTTTACACCTGTCAGTTTGATAATAAAATATACCTTTATCAAGTTGACATTACTGTTTTTTTATTCTTTTTTTTCCGTGAATTTTAGTCTGTAAAGCCTCAAATTCCACAGTTACTGCTGCTGCTGCTAATCGGGTCTTCTCTGGTTTACTGTGTTTGGTGCATGCTCTTTCTCTGGTGTCGCTCGTTCTTTGGTTTGTCTATGGTGCTGGTGTTGCTACTACTGTTGCTATTATGGTCTTTCCTTGTCTACTGTGTTTGGTGCAAGCTCGTTCTCTGGTCTATATTCGGTGATTGCGTATCCTCTGGTCTATCTACGGTGATGGTAAGTGGTAAGTATCTTCCTTCTTTTATTATTATTATGTTTCTTTGAAGCATACCTTTTTTTACGTTGTGTGGATGTGCCTATCCCTGAAGCTCGACAAGACTCTATCCGAGGCTAGGAGGTGGATAGGCTGCCTCCACTTGATTATCACTACTTACTTTAGTGATGATTGAGGGTCTCAATGCCAGAATTTAAAGCTAGGTGGTGTAAGTAAGGCATACTCTAGCACCTGGGGGAAGTTTGATGATAGTAACGGCTATATTGCTATATATAGCGGCGCTTAAAATTTTGCCTCACATCAAAGCAGGGGGAAACTCTCGCAATTTTTTTTTAGGTCAGCGGAGTTTTCAAGCAATTTGATTGGCTCAGAGGTTCAGGGACCGAAGGATTCTAGCTAGTTGATATCCTATTAATCTGTCATTTATTATAATTATGAGTTTTTAATAAAAAGGTATCTAAATAGATACAATTGAGGTTCTTCTTTATTCAAAAGTAATAAGATAGATGCAATTCTTCGATCTGGCTGAAGTGAAATAGCCACCCAAACGTAACTTATTGTTGATTGAAAGCCGGAATTCATCAAATATCATTCATTCAAATTCATGCTATTTGAATCTACTATTAGAGCGCTCAATTGTGCATCAACAACCATTTAAACATACCAAAAAAAAAGTAAAGATGCATACTTATATTGTACATCTTGTGAATGGATCACTCTTGATCACAGTGTATTACATCACACTCATAGTGATGGTCGTAATAAGGGAAGTTATCTTTGCTGTACGAATAAAATAAAACCAATAAAAAGCATATTCAAGTATGACAACTATTATGCCTTGATTCCATAGTTGCACAATGCCCTACATAATGGGCTCTACACTCTAATAACAAACATCACACCTCAAACTGTCAAGGTCACATTAAATCATGCTATGACGATAGCTTATCTAAGCCCACCAAGGTTAGTCAAATCGAACCTTATGGCCAATGCTTTCACATTGATTACCACTTTAAATCAAACATCAATAACATTTTTGCCAGATATAGCAATAATAGCAACACCTATTGCTCTCTATCATCACTAATCCTACAAGCTAGTTGCAAATGTATAAATACTCTTTTTTTTTTACTCAATTCCAGGATCTTCAGTTCATTTTATACACAAATAAAACGCAGTTGATTTCTATTGTATTCTACCATTGCTTATTTTTTTTTTTGGGAAAACCAGTAAGTCTGACTTCACTGCGCCTTTGCCAAACAACAACGAAGCAGGATAGTATCATGCGGTTTTGAATGCAACATTTATCAACATCTGATCCATCGATCTATTACCTGTAATCACTAGCAATTAACAAGTTCTTATATAAAGATCATGCTTCAACACTAGCTAATTTCGAAAACTATCTGTTTCTCAAACAAAAATAACTCTTTGCTAAATCACAGTGAAGCAAGGCATAGCCAAGCGGTTTTTGTGGAATGTTTTCTAACACCTACTTTATTGATCAGCTACTCGTCAACACTTGTAATCAACAAGCTGCGCCTGAGGAAGAAGGTAGCCAATATTCTGCTCATAAAGCGCCAGAGAGTATAATTGTCGAAAAAGGAGGCTCCAGTTAGGACTAGTACTCGGAGAATGTTATTCATGCCAATCAGCAGGAAGCCGTAGGTTGCTCGCTCCTACTTGAGTCGTTTGTAAACATCCATTTGACCAACAGAGCCAATATTGATCCTCAGCATGTGTCTATGATAGTTCTTTTGTCGAAACGTATTTCATCACAACATTGCTGCTGATAAAATCCAAAGCAATGGCCAATGTTTACGTTGTATGCGTGTTAAAAGAACGTATGTTCTCAATAATATTGTTTTCACATCATCTCATGGAAACTCGTGCATCATCTTTGACGAAGCTATTCTGAATCACATGGTCTGTCGTGTAAGAGTGATTTATTCATCAAATTTTCAGATAATGATTTTACGATACTTCTTTCTGCCGTGATTTGTCTGGCGGACGGTGACGCTTCATGGCTATACAATTGCACTCTGGAGACCAACAATGCAAACTGTGGTTTCTCAAAAACAACCATTTTAGTAGATCCAAGACCAATGCCGAGGGAAATACCAAGTCGATTGGACTCAGGACGATAATTTGCGACACATGGCAACACCGGAGGGCAAGTTACCAGGTAAAGTAACCAGATGTCTGTCAAGAAAATATCCAGCAAGGATATAATATCGATATATGCATTAAATGCTCATTGCTTTAATACACTCTTAATAGTGATGTAAAAAATAGCCATCCACAATGATTAGGAAGACAGTTAAATGCACTGGGAGTTTGCTAATCCCTGTGGTCGAGAAGGATCATCTGATGTTAATAATGCTAAACGATGGTTATTTAATTTACCTAGAGCAGTTGACTGAAAACAAGTTCTGCCATCGTTACAAGATATAAGAGTGTAAATGCCTCGCTTTTGAAGAATGATATATCTTATGTTCTTAGGACAACTTGGTCAAGTAGATCAGGTAGGAGAGTTATTAATGTGCTCTATCCCTCGAACCATCAATGATATCCTTTGGGCTATGATATTTTGCATGATGCTGACCATTAGCTTTGAGGTAAGAGCAGCTGCTCCAAAGATGCTATCGAAGGTTTATTTTTGTTGTATCACAGCAAACGTAGTAAGGACATCCAGCGATGAACCGATGAATTGGAAAGCCAGATTACTTTGATGTTGTCCGACATTTGGCCAATTAGGATACAACATCTTCCATCTCAGCATTGGGAATTCGTCACATCAATAAATGTTTGGCAGAAATATCTAGAAAAAAAAATCAAAAAAAAGGTATATAAAAACATCAAGGGTTTATCCTGATAACATTTTTTCGGAACTCACATTGATACTTTCAGTCTATAACTCGCCCATGAATGTCAATCATATCACAAGACTAATTCAACCGGCTGTCAAATCAGCAGCATTATGGAAATCGAGACAAGCTATGATGACAAAAGGTAGCATACATAAGCAAAGGTTTAATGGTAAAACAGCATTAATGATAGCTTACTTTGTAGCCCTTAAAATATCATCAGTTGGAGTTGCACCATCTGTCTACATGTATCAACGACAGCAACGAAAGGTATGTCAACAGACTCAATGTCGTCATGCATTGCAACAAATTCAAAGCGAGTGGCTAACATAATGGTCTAGAGAGGATTTCATACTTCTTCCATAAATCAGCAACGAAGCCAGGATCCATATAAGGTCCTAGGTGTTTCCAAATCATCATCTCAAAGCGATATTAAAAAAGCTTATTACAAGGTTAGTTTTCGAAGGAGAAGAAGAAATCATGCAGTTTTGATTGACTTTTAAATTAGCTAGCAAAGCAATATCATCCTGATACAAACAAAGATAAAGATGCCCGAGAGAAATTTGTACAGATTCAGGAGGCATACGAGATTTTGTCAGATGAGCAAAAGAGAAATCAATACGATCAATATGGACATGGATTTGATGATGCTGGAATGGGAGGATCAGGCGGTCCAGGAGGTTTTTATGGTGCAGGTGGTGCTGGATCAGCCTCAGGCGGATTTCCCGGAGGATTTGACCCAAATGATATATTCTCTCAGTTCTTTGGAGGCGGATTCTCTGGAGGTTTTGGTAGTGGTGCTGCTGGTGGCGCAGATTCATTCCGCACCATGAGTGGCGAGGATATTCAGGTACAGTATTGCTGTAATTACTCAATACAACAGCATTCGATTAAAATCTCTTCTAGGTACCACTTACCATAGGCTTCATGGATGCTGTCAAGGGTGCAAAAAAGTATGTCACCATCAATCCAGTTACCACTTGTCATACATGTCAAGGATCAGGAATCAAATCAGGTAAAAAGAAGACTCAGTGTGGAGTTTGTCATGGATCTGGTGTTCAGACAGTGCAAATGGGCGGATTCAATATGCAAGCAACTTGTCAAGCTTGCGGTGGTGCTGGCTCATCTATCCCTCATGACGCAAAATGTAGTACCTGTGATAGTGTGGGCAAAGTGCGAGAGAGAAAGCAAGTGGAGGTTACTATTCCAGCTGGGGTAGATAATAATTCAAGAATTCGAGTGCCCGGTGCTGGCGATGCACCTATCAAGGGACAAGGTCCAAATGGCGATTTGTTTGTTTCATTAAATGTAAGTTTAGCATTAAAAGCTTATTCGAATATTCTATTTGACTTGTAATTATAGATTCAACCGTCCAAAGTATTCCGTAGACAAGATGCCGACATTTTCTATGATGCTAAGGTACCGTTCCATAAAGCCTTACTGGGAGGCAGAATACGAATCCCTACAATCGACGGCGAGGTAGACTTGAAGCTACCTTCTGGATCACAGCCTGACGACCATATTGCTCTGCGAGGACGAGGCATTCAGCGTTTGAGAGGTTCTTCTAGAGGTGATCAAATTGTTCAGTTGAAGATTGAGCTGCCGAGGTAAGATGTGATGTGTTTAGGAATTGTTACATTTGATCTAACATTCTATTTAGAACTCTTCGCGGAAAACAACGGGATATCATTGAAAAATACGCCTCATTAGTGGATAAAGAGTACGAAAAGCCATCGTTAAACAAAGACGACAAATAACCTAATTGCATCAATCTGTAAACAAGGGCATTTTAACTCAAAATACTCGTATAGACTCTATGGAACTCGAAGCCATCAATAAACATATATCCCAGTCAATTGATTAGACGAATTCTAGAAGATTCTTGCGTATCATTTGAGTCTTTGCCATGTAGCATGGGGGAAATTTCCAGGTGCGGCTCTTTAGAATACCCCTTTTGAAGGTTTTGCGTATAATTCATGTCCTAGCCGGCAGATTTGAGGTTTGGCATTTGAGTGGATATCAGCCTTGACTTGAACACCGATTCATAATGCTAAACGGGTATTTCAGCTGTAAGAGTCGTTTAAAAAAACTGCCATGAGTCCAGGCTTGATATCTGCTGATGAACGTCATAGACAAGTATAAAAGAACGCCAAACATGTCTAGGTGCAGCCTCAATTAGTTCTTGATTCAAAAAGAGTATTTGCACTATATAAGTGCTCATATGACTATTTTGGTATATCAACCCTTGCGATCGTACATCACTTTTGACAGAACGTGTTGAAAATATACAGAATTTTAGCTCCTAACGCGATCGTTCTTCAATACCACGTAAAAAAAAAGTTTCATGGTAATCGTCATTTTATACTTGAAGTAAGGATATTTTAGATTGCGTGAACGGGTTTCATCAGAAGCGTTTTACAACACAAAAATGCGTGTTCTCCTTACGTCTTTATGCATCAATGAAGGGCGTGCCTGAATATTGACCATACTTTTAATAGTTTGTTCTGAGCGAAACTTCTTGTTTCTCTTCAACAGAAGACCCTGGATGAGAGTGAAACTTGAAGCTAAAAAAAAAAAAAAAAAAAAAAAAAAAAAACAATGTTCAAACAACACCCCTACCATATATCGAGAAACTGTCTAAACAATTATATCGTTATCAGACCGCGTACAAGCATGATCTCATGAGAGCGTTGTATCGTTGCAGCAGTACAGAGCGGCATGTCTTTATCTGAAAAAGGAAAGCTGAGGATTCTAATCATCACGTATCAAGGATGCTATTTCTAATAGAAGAGCAAAGGATGAACTTTTACACATTTTACGTCAGTCCGATGAAAATGCTATTTTGGTTCATTTGTTTACACTGGCTTTTTATGAATAGTATTTGAAATTCTGTATGCAATATTAAGGAGAAGGCTCAGAATAACGAGAAGGGAGGATGATGTCAATTGAAAATTACTGCATTTACAATAAATCGCATCGTGAAGAGCACTCTATTGAACAATCACGCTTTTCTTGCACACAATAATTTGGCCGTTAGTGTAACCAGAAATTTCATTTTGGCATGTTTCATCTAACACATATGTATAATACAATTATGAGTGGATGCATCTGGAATATACATTAGAGAACTTGCAAAATCTATGTAGATCAGAATGGCATTGACAAGTCGAAATCCTTCTTGCAAATGTATAGCTTTCTTGTAACAGGTATTAGACCAGGTGGCTTCTTTCTAGTCTGCTTTTCTCTGCATAACAAAGTGTTACACTTGTAAAAGTACGCTTTAAAGTAGTCTTGAAAGAGAGCGTTGGTTTAGATAATAAAGGTCGGGCTCTAATGATGGTAGATCTTGAACGAAACAGACATCAGATAATGCAATTCTGTCTTGGGCTATGTACCCATATGGGACATGATCAAGGCAAATGCTCTATTCGCCCATCTTTTGGCAGTTTGCACTATGAAAAAACTTCTTGATTCTTCTATCCACTTGATAGGTCTGTTTGGAGTGGGACAAGGAGAGAAAATCTTCCTATTTTATGCCTCTCCGCCCGATTTTTCGGATGTGTAACTATGAGCTTGTTGTAAAGTAACGATGCTCAGTTTACCTTGGAAACCATCATCGAACCAATGAATAAGTCAGAGCATACATGTTGAAGGAAATAAAAGTAGCAATTTATTAGTCATAAAATGGGTTCAAAAGATGGAGAGCAAGGCAAAGAAGGGTATTTAAAATTGATACGAGTTTATATACATGCGCAGTGGAATTGGTCTATGGTACAAAGTTCACCGTATTTACAAAAATGGTAAAAATCCCATATTTTTCGGCATTCTATGATCTAGCATATCATTCTTGCTGTAGGTGGTGTAGCAGGATTTGTTGACACTGAGTTGGACGATGTGGATGGAGAGAGCATTAAATCTTCGCCTTTCGATAACTGAGCTTTTGTGTAAACGCATAATTGGCGAGCATATTCGCATCTTGCCATGGCCATGATTTGATCTCTGGTATATCTCTTTGGTTCAGTCAATCTGCTGATGGATGCTTGTTGCTGTTGCTTGGTAGTAGTAGCCGTAGTACTGTTGATAGCAGAGGCGGCAGTAGTAGTGGTAGTAGAGGAATAAGTCATTTTTATAGATGGTGTTAAAAAATTTAAAAGAGAAACTTGTTCCAATGCTCATTCTATTTATACAAAAATTTCAAATGAGAGAGTTGTGACAAATAAGAATGCGTGTTGTACCAAGATTTTAGGAATCTCTTTTAATAGAAATGAAATGATATCATTAAAGTTCTCCCTCCTTCCTAAAGCTGTTTGATTCCCTAAAAGAGCCCCTCCCTTTGAACTGAGTCTAATGATGTAAAATGGGTTATTCCATGTTGATTTGATTGGTAAATCGCTGGGTTACTTGTATTTGGTTCATGAAACCGTATGATTTATCAGAGGAGCTTCAATCAGCACCCAATCTTGCATTCAATATTGGGCTACTTTCTGAGTTGCCGTTTAATTTGTCTCTATGATACTAACACTGGCTATCACATCTTTTGGTTATTGCTGGAAATTCATTTCATCTTATGGATAAGTGATTGTGATTCTCCAGTAAGTTCACCCTCAAAGCCTTAATATACGTGCCATTACAAGCTATTCTATAGTATCTACAGTCTAGACAGATGCAATTTGTTTCTCATGCAGTAGAAGAATGGCGACGCTCCGCATTTTTTTGATGTAAAAGCGAAGGATCTTATGACATGGAAATACAGTACTCCAAGTAAAAGGCTAGAATGGTGGGCAATCGCTAATAAGCTGTGCCTCCAGCTTGATGTCTCTAAACATAATGTTCGAAACCACATATTCCGTCTTTAAGCTCCTAGCAAAAACCCTTTGTATGATGCTTATGTTCATCTAATTGAATCAAGTTTTATTGTATCACAAACGAAAGTCAGAGAGGAAGTTATGAAGTCCATACCAAAGACTGAGGAAAACCTGCTTGGCTCCAAAGTATTTCAAAAACAAACAATGAAAAATTTACACAATATCAAGAACAAGTTAAGCTTAGCCGGAAAAATGGAGAGCAAGGCATAGTCCATTTGTGGTAGTAGCCGATACGTCCTTATTGTCTAAAGACGTATGAAAGGAACGCTTTAATAGTCTTAAGATTCTTGTTTACAAGGACGAGGATCCTATTCTTTTTGGGAACTATCATTAAAAACATTGGCCAGTAAAACGTTTAACCATTCAAAGAACAAAGTAATGTCACTTCGCCAGCTTCTCAAGTAAATGATCTTGTCTCATACTTTGAACTGTAAACGATATAGATGGCTTGGATAGATGGTCTTTGCAACAACTCGCATTACATATTTAGTGTCGTAGAAAAGCAAGCATCAGATGGGCAATTACGAATTGCCACTATCAATACGCAGCATGGACATGAATTTTAAAGCGCTAAATTACCAAGGTCTAATGTACTTCTAGAAATTGGTGGCACACACGAAAAAAGGTCGTTCAAAAAAAGTAAAGGTTGCTTTTATATAAAACGAAGATTGTAGAAAATTAAATGCTGCACGTACTTTTATAGATATTGGTCGTGCTTTTACAAATACTGATGGCACTTCTTTGAAAAGAAAAGTTGCACTTTATGCTTGCTTGTTTGGTAGAAATCAACAATGGCCCATGAACAGCACCTGAGTGCAATCACCATTGTCAGGTCCAAGGGATCAACTAAGTTGTTATTTTTAAATGATGGTCTTAACATGTGCAGTACCGTATAAAAACTTGATAGGTTTCTTGATATTCCTTTAAGCACTTTAAAATAGCAAATATTTCCAGCCTCGTCATAAAATATCTTTAATATATACAAGTGTGTCTACGCTTCGGATGGCTCTCTATCTTCGCTTTCAGCCAATTTGCGCAGCGGCAGATCACGCTACCGATTGTCCCTGCTCGTCATATCAAACTACTGCTACTTTTATTTTAACCCTCCACTTACACATAGTAACCCTTTATATTGCCTGTGGATTTGATTCTTATGTGATGCTCTACATCCATATACACGTAGTTATTTCATATACGGGCAAGTATCATACAGATATCATCCCTTTTTAGTCAAGAGTGTGCCTAATACAGCAAAACCTGAGTGCATTTGAGCTGCGTTTTCTCGCGTACAAGACCGTTTTAGAACGTCAGAATAGCACCAAACAGTTGTTCTCATCTGGCAGTTACCTTTTGACGCCTTTGCTCAACTTTTTGGGGATCAAAAAAACATGGTTAAAATTCGACCAAAAAGCATGAGATACCCCTCATGGTTTTTATCGAAAATCAAACGATCGCGTTTTTCAGCTTGAAAATGAAGACTTTTACTATGGTATGTATTGGATCAAAATGTTTCTCTCGATCCAAAGCAGCCTCTGAAACCACTTTTATGAGGCTTTCATATGCAAAATATGGCTATTTTCGCTGAAAATCTCATTTCATATTTCACCAAGTTGCTCAATAACTTCAGTCAAAACACGTTTTGCAGTTAGCACCATTGGAAGCGCCTTGAAAAGTACATCAAGAATGTATTAGGAAGCTTTTTTTTTTTTTTTTTTTTGTAGGGGAGTCGAGCTCCAGGTTTTATTTAAAGTCCTTTAGATGTCATACTGAGGGATAGAAAAGACTGTTGGTGGACCCAATGTCTGCAATGATGGGGAATAAGATACATAATGAACTAAGTTGGGAAAGAAATCTACTACTGATCAGGTGCGACACTTAGAGCCAATACAATTATGCAAATCGTCAAAATATAGATCATGGATAAGAGCACAAAACACCAAACGAGGACATCAGTACTACGTCAAAATAATCACCAAAATGCATTCACTGAGATTTGAACCGGGATTATCCAGATGGCATGTTGGATGCTTAACCACTTCGCCCTACCACCACGGGCGTATTAGGAAGCATCGAATGGTCATCAAAATCTGCATAGTCGAATCGCACAAAACAGATTAAAGAAGTCGACAAAGACAAAATTTGTCCAGTCTTGAGCAGAAAAATAAACTGAGCTTAAATGGGGTTGGCGGGCGGTGCTGCTGCTGGCTAACCCAAATGCCTTTCTGATGATTGCAATAGTGATAAACGAGAATTATAGTTCTGTAAGGACAATCTCCTAGCTTGAGTAATTTTTTTCTCGCTTTTGTTGGGAGTTTTTCTCTATAAAGATATCTTTTGCAATGATAATTTCTTAGAAAGTCGTTGTAGATCTTAAACAAGTCTTGTAACTTACGCATGGCCAGCTTTGTGTCAAAAGCAACACCAGCAAATGGTATGACAATTCTACTACCAGAAAATGAGCGAAGAATATGGTATACAAATGCTGCAAAACACTTGCACTCTCTTTCACATCGTCTCAATAACAGGTTTCGTTCGATATCAGTGTATAAGCAAAGGAGGAGGAATATCTCCCCTCCCTTTTGATTCTGATATGACCTTTTGCTATTAATTGATTGCCTCTGATTTGAAATGTCTTCGCCGAGAGCCTGCAAGGTAACGCCGTTATTGAGCGTAGCGATATTGCTTGGCTAGTTGCCATATTAATATTTCCTATTGGTAAAAGCTTATATATATTTGCAACAATGGCGATTTTTTATTGACAAGGCAGCATAATGTGAAGTGAAACTACATGGACAGTTTGTTAAGATAATAATCGTTTTTCAATTGGGGCATCTCACATAATCTTAATATTTACAACCATGAATGTGACCTCTTTCGGAGGCTTCTGTTGAGAATACGAATGTTTGCGTTATCTATTTGCATATTCTCCTCCTCTTCTTGTATATATAAACATTATGGCTACACCGCAAATACCCTTTATAAGTGCCCCGTTCAAGAAAACAGACGATGTCGACTGGGTTCATCCTCTCAAGAAATACATTGCTCGCTTTTACCAGGATGATCCCGAGAAATACAAGGAGGAAACTCAATCATTCAATAGGTTACGCCAAGATATCCGTGGTGCAGGAAAGGATTTCACAGGTAGAGACCTTCTCTACCGTTATTTTGGTCAACTCGAGCTACTAGATTTGCGTTTTCCTGTGGATGAGAAGCATGTCAAGGTTTTGTTCAACTGGTAAATGTCCAAAGATGCTATATTCATGTAGTGTTCGCTAACTGCTCGCTCCATCAGGTACGATGCTTTCAATAACCGCGCCATCTCACAATACTCGCTCGCATTTGAAAAAGCAAGTGTCATCTTCAACGAAGCAGCTACACTATCTGCTATTGCAAGTTCTCAGAACAGAGCTGAAGCTGAGGGCCGCAAAAAAGCCTTCCACTACTTTCAAGCATCAGCTGGCATGTTTCAATACATCAATGATAACTTTTTACATGCTCCGTCTGAAGATTTGAGTCGTGAAACTGTGAATATGCTCTCGGAATTGATGCTCGCTCAAGCGCAGGAATGTTTCTTGGAAAGCAGTATTCGTGAAAAGACTAAGGATGGGTTAATTGCTAAACTAGCAAGCCATGCTGCGTGGGTATATGGTAATTTGGTGGACTCGCTTGGTGATGCCGTCAATCGTGGCATGGGTGTCGACAAGTCTTGGATTGTGCTCTGTCAAGTTAAGCAGAAATACTATACTGCGGTTGCCCAAGAGCACAAAGCTGCCGCTTGTGAAGCAGAGGCCAAGTATGGTGAGTGTGCTGGACGCTATGCGGCTGCTGAGTCTGCTGCCAAGGAAGCTGTCAAACTAGCCAACAACCTGAATTCGGCTCTTTTATCCTCCAATCATGCCAATAGCACAGTTCCCTCTGAGGGTGGTGCTGCTATTCAAGAGCTCTGCAAGAACATGAGTGCCAACTGCACCGAGAAATTGACTGCAGCTAACCGTGACAATGACATGATCTACCACGAAACTGTGCCTCAAGAATCCATTTTGACCCCCATCGATCGTCTCAAGGCTGTCAAGGTCATTCCCATTGCTGAGCTGTATAGCCCTGATGAGATGAAGAAGGTGATTGGCGCTGATATCTTTTCCAAGCTGATCCCTATCAGTGTTCATGAAAGTGCTTCGCTTTACTCCGAAGAGATTGCCAAACTACTTCGATCAGAGAACGAGCGATGCGACATTGCCAAAGCAGAGTTGAACGCTTCTTTGGATTACATGAAACTACCCGGCTCTCTCGGTAAATTTAAGCAACAACAACAGCTCAACTCTTCGCTGGATGACTATGCTACACCACCCTCTGATGTCAAATCTTGGGCTGATCAGATTGCCGCCGAAGAATGTCGCTCGCCTATTGCTGAACTGCTCAGCACATTGACCACTCTCAAGACCAAGGCGAGACAAGCTTTGGATGAGGCTAGCTTGAATTTAGATAAGGAAATGAGAGATTGTGAACAAGGAAGAGTGCAGTATGCTGATCAATGGACACAACCTCCTTCAGGCCCGATTACCATTGAATTCAGACACGACATCGCCAATCATCATCGTACGCTGGGTGGCGCATCGCAATCTGACAATCAGTTGATGGGCAAGTATGATTCTGTGAGACGAAATATCGAGATTTTGAAGCATGGAGGTCAAAGCAGAGAGCTGGAAGGGGCTTATGCCGAGTGCATTTCAGCTATTGCTGGAGGTAACTCGCCAAATAAGAATACTGGTGTCAACCTACTAGACGTCGACATTGCTGTTGAGAGTGACAAGAAGGATGGCGATTTGAATGAAAAGGTGAAACGCATTGAATTTATCATTGAAAAGCTGCGTAAAATCGAGAGCGATCGTGAAGACACTTTCCGTGATTTAAAGGATAAGGTAACTAAGTAGTTAGAAAGAGAGATATACACACGCTAACAACTTTCTGTTGTAGACGATGCAAGACGATATCTCTCAACTCTTGATCCTCAACAAAAAAGCCAATGTCGAGCAGCACATCTTTTCCACCGAGTTGGAAAAGTATCGACCTCATCAACAGCGTATCTCTGCTACCATTCAGCATCAACAACAAGCTATCCAAGAATTGACAACAGCTTTCAAGGATCTGATGGAAGGAAAGGAGGCTCAGAACTTGCAATCACAGCACGACAAAGCGGATCGCCTTCGTCGCAATTTGACAGCTGATTTCAACGAAGCTAGATCAGTGTATAACGAAATCAAGGACGGTTTGAACAGAGGCATCCAGTTTTACTCTGGTATCCAGGATACTGTCGATTCATTGCAACGGAATATTCATCGCTTTATTACTGAACGTTCCAACGAAAGAAGTCGATTGATGGACAGCATTGAAAGCAACAAGAGCTCTCTTGAACAAGAACTGCTTCGTGAGACTTTGAGCAAGTATGCTACTGCACCACCTCCACCTGCTCCTCTTCAGTCAGCCCCTTCCTCATCCTCCATGCCGTCTACTAGCATGTCTCACTTGACAAACCAAACGCGTCAAATGTCAATCAATGAGCCTACAGCTCCTTCCAGTGGTTATACGCCTGCTCCTCCACCAAAGCCCCAAGCTTTCGTTCAACAGCAACAGCAGCAGCAATACCATCACCAGGCGCCTGCTCCTCCTCCACCAACCAACACTTCACCTTACGGTATCTACGGTTCCAACATGCCACCTGCTACATACCACCAGCCGCCATCTCCTTATGCTCCTACGCCTCAATCTCCTATGCAACACATGCCTCCTCCTCGTCCCATGTATAACCAACAGCAGCCATATCAACCTCCTCCTAGTAACTATGCTGCTCCGCCCCAACCTCAACAGCAACAGCACCAGCACCAGCCACCACAAGGCTACTACGGTAACATGCAAGCACCACCTCCCTTGCCTCAACAGCCTCAATATCATCATCAAATGCCTCCTCAACAACCTCAATATACTCCTCAAATGCAAGGACATCCTCATCAAGGTTATCAACCTCAATATCAGCCTCAACAGCAATGGCAGCAGCAACAGCCTCCACCTCAACAACAACAACAACAGCAGCAGCAGCAATGGCAACAACCAATGTACCAACAACAGCCACAACAAAGGCCTCCTCCTCCTTCGGGAAATTTGCTGGATTAAGGCTCCATCTCTAGTTGATTGAATATCTTTAATATTACATCTTAATAAATTTTATACATTGATATCACTATTATATGTCAGTAACACGCGACCTACAAAGAAGACAAGTAAACTGTAGGCTGCATTATCATACCACGAAGGATGTGATATACAGCATTGAGTGTGATGACAAGCGAGAAATCATGCGTATTTTACGTCAGTCGTGCATCAACAAATCTCACATCCAATGATCATAGTTGATCTAATTATAATTAGCTTGGTTGAAGGGATCAACCGAGGGTTTTACACATTGATTTTGTGATTGTAAACTACAGAGCGAAACACAGTCTACGTTCACCCGGATTATTTTGTTGCACGCATGGTGATTTGTTTGATATTACTCATATTTTATCCATCATACTGCGCTATTAAATATCTGTTAAACGGTTAACGCTTATAGCTCTGAGCAAGACTCTGCATCCTGCTTTTAAAAATCATCATGGCTTCAACTAACAAGACTTTAAATGGAGAGAGTTATTTGCGCTATTGTCATTGGCATAATGAGAACAATAAGCAATGATTGCATGACTGACCAGAGCTGTGGTTTCTCTGTGTTTGGCTATGATCTCAATGCCAAGATGTAGAAATTCAATCTTCATCTTGATACTATTTATCACATTTCTAGACTGCAGCCTCAAGAAAAAAACCCAAAGAAGAGGATTTGATTTAAATCCCTTGGCAGCAAACTCGAAACAAAGATTACATATAAATTCTCAATTGAGATATAATTTTCATGTAAGAATTTGACATATGTCAGCAAAGAAACATTCTATTTATATAATAAGGTCCAGAAAGGCATCATATGGCAGGAACAGATTGCTTGCTAATGAGCTCAAAGGGATGCAGTAAGAGGCGATTGCGAATGTTTGGCGGAGATGCCTCGAGACCATCTTCATATGATGACTCTGTGAAGTGGTAGCAAGTGTTAAATGCCATACGCATATTCCAGACCCTTTTTCAATTGTTTCGCAGCTGCTGGCTTGATAGCTCCCATTATATATCTCTTTATCGCAAGAGATCAAGCCATGCTGAATAGGTCATTTCAATAGGTAGCCATTCGACATTCCTGATTAACTCCTTCTTTATCGCTAGAGAATGATGCTCATTTTAGTGGATATATTAGGAGAGAATCTTGTACAACTCATTTGAGATGTCTTGTACGCTTGAATCGGAGAGAACAAGATGCCAGCAACTGTTGCATGTTCTAGACGAAATCACTATCGTCGATAAATGTTCAAAACAAGGATAGTGCAGGCTATTATATCAAGGAGAAAGTAAAATCAGCACTTGTATATTGAAAAAAAAAGGATTTCTACTTTGATATCGAAACATGTACGATCTGTTGCAGAACGAGTTGCTCGTTATTCATTCAATTCTTTGAATAGTTCAAGTATGATCGTTATAGCTTGAAATGATCCAAAATAGCATAGCAGCACATTTGAAACATACACAATTAAACCTATGCAATTAAGGGATTTCTATATGTATATCTTTCCACCTATTTTTATTCCGTTTTCAATGATTGGGTCCTGTGTATGTCAAACTATGACCAGTTTCAAGCTATATTTTGTCATTTGCAAAGAGAAAACGGCAATGTATGGAATAGAGGATATCAGGAGATGCGTGTCAATTGTGGGAAAGGTACACAAATATCAACTGTAAGTTATGTTTCATATCAATCAATGTACTTTGTTGATAAAAACGAAATTTGACCCATTAAAATGAACAGGGACTAGAAACATCTTCAATGAGTGTTGATCAGTGCACTTTTCGAGGCACATTCTTATTTGTGCCTCAAATACCTCTAGTTGTTGATCTGGCATTTTTAATATCGTGCATTTACAAAACATCAAGGAGTACGTACATTGCTCATACATACACGCTCCATCTCACACTTTCACTGAATATACATTTCATCTACCACGCAGAAAAAGGTCTGGGTCCCTGTATTCATTAGATTTCAGCCTTGTGTGAAATGTAGCCTATTAAAAAATTTCAACTTGAATCGACATTGGTGAAGTTCTTGCTTCATAAAGAAGGAGAAGAGAAAGGGGACCCGAGTGCTGATCAGTTCCATCCATCTCTGTCTCAAAAAAAAACAATATAAATAGAGAGAGTCATTCGTAGAATACTCATTCAAACAAAACCACGCAACAATCTCAAGCAGTATGCTTTTCAATACAGTGATCTCCTCTGTTGCCTTGATGGCCGGCTTCGTCGCTGCAGCCCCTGCTGCTTCCTCTAATGCCACTGCTGCTACAAGCAACATTTCATTCCTCAAGTTTGGTCAGCCCACTGTCAATGTTGTAAATCACTGCAGTTCCACTCTCAAGGTTGGTAACTCGATTGCTGAGGATTATTTTGGCGATGTCGTTGATGTGCCTGCTGGTTCAACACACACTTATACATTGCCTGTCAACTGGTCTGGACGTGTTTGGGGTAGAATCAATTGTGGTGGTGAAAACTGCTTCAAATCTGGTATGGGTTCTCCTGCTTCTCTTGCTGAATTCCACTTTTTGGACTCTGGTGCTGTATACTATGATATCTCTCTTGTTGATGGTTTCAATTTGCCCATGACTGTAGCTCCTGTCATGAAGCAAGGTCTTACCTCCAATGATGAACGCCATTGCGCTACTTCTTCTTGTTCGACTTTGCCTAGTTGTCCTGCTGGTTTCGAAACTTATGATGCTCAGGGTAAGGTGTCAGGTTGCAAGAGTGCCTGTACCAAGTTCAATACAGATGAGTACTGCTGTACTGGCAGTTTCTATAGTCCCAATGTCTGCACCACCAACTCCTATGCCTCTGAGGTTAAGGCTGCTTGTCCTGATGCCTATAGTTATGCTTTTGATGATGCCACAAGTGTCTTCCTCTGTAACACCAACGAATACACAGTTACTTTTTGTTAGATCGTTTAAAATATGTAGCTATACCATGTACATTAATAAAAATCAGCTTGATGCTGCCGGTTGTTTTTATTACCACAAATTACTAGAGGTATAGAGCTCCGAGAGGGTATGCTGAGAGTGTGTTGGGCTACAAAATACTTGTATTCGGGACTGACCGTCTACCTTCGCTCATGCTCAGTGAGAACTTTGCATTCCATATTAGGCTTTGCGTTTACGTACGCAATTTACAGCAAGTTTATATAGTATATATAAAAGCATGCAACAGAAATATACTATAATAGTTAAACTATGCTACAGCGCTTTTAAATTTGCAATCCACCTCTTGTTGGCTTCAGGAACATTGATTGTCTTCATGAGAGGGCATTTTGTCAACCAAAATCAATTAAATCTCCGCATGCCATTTTTTTTTTACTCGAAATGGAGATATCTGATACATTTGCGACTTGCTTGAACTGTTCTGCCAAATTCGACTATATAAAGTGTGATGATCACCCGATGCTTCTTAATACATTCTTGGGGTACATTTCAAGGCGCTTCCAATGATGCCAAGTAAGATAGATGTTTTGAATAAGCTTATTGAGTAATTTACGAAAATATGAAAAGAGGTTTCTGGCCAAAAAGTCGAAATTTTACATACCAAGGTCCCACAAAGATGATATCAGGGGTTACGTTAGATCGATAGAAACATTTTGATTCAATACACACCATAGTAAAAGTCTTCATTATCAAGGTGAAAAAAGCGATCGTTTGATTTTTGATGAAAACCATGAGGGATACCTCATGGTTTTTCGTCGATTTTTGGCCGATTTTTGGCGATCCAAAAAAAGTCGAGCAAAAGTGTCAGACAGTTGCTGCTAGATGAGAGCAATTGTTTGGTGCTATTTTGACGGTCCAGAACGGTTTGTAACACGAGAATTACTGCTCAAGTACACACAATTTTAGCTTTGTTTTACGTAATAACGAGTAATAAGAGCTGTTTCCGGTATGCTGTCTGAACATATACAAATTGCTTTTAACAACCCTAATGTGGAACATCCTAGAAAAGCCAAATCCACTGCTACAAGTTGCTCATGAAGGACTCAAGTGATAGTGGCCAGCCAAAGACAAAATATTTGTATGTTCGGCGGAATTGAGCGAGATGCAACACTGTGAAATTACGACATCTCTTTTGGTCCGCAGTACAATCAGTCATAACGAGGAGTACAATGCTATTGTGCAAACACAGAAGAAAGTTTCTGCCATTAGGCCCTTCATTTCTTTGTTCCTCGTGCTACAATAAACCTTACTATTTTTAATATTGATTCAATGAGTCGCAGGTCTTTTTGATCACAGAATATAGAACAGCATCATAAAGGGTTCAATCAACCAATTGCAGAGAAACCCAAGAGATCAAAGATTTAGTTACGCGCACGAACGGCATCAGACCCACGCTTCGGTGCAGTCCCAAGCCTAAAATGTCTGATGCTTCATGGATGAGGCAAATTCAAATACGCCAATTGAGATGCTGAATAGCGTTGATACATTTCAAGAAGCGTCATTTGGCAGTTGTAGCTTTACTCTGAACGATAATGGTATGTAGTTTGATGAAGAAAGGCGAATGAGTCATCCTAGCCATGCAGCATTGTTGTACATTGGATAATCCTTGCTCAGCAGCGCCCGTAATACAATAAATAGCTCAATGGAACCATTGACAGAATCTTGATTTCCAGGGCAATCATCATTCTTTTGTAACTCGTTTAATTTATCTGCCGGCGCCAGAGATAGCTTGAATGTGAAACTATTCTATCTATCTGTGTGTGTGTTGATGAGACTGTGGTAACTGTCTGCGATGCTGGCCTCTATGCTGAATACATGCTATCATGATGAACACTTGAAAAATGCCAAGCCTAATGTGTACAAGACCCCGCCTGTTATCATGTACATTCTGTACATGTTGCTTCTAAATTTTCCAAGAATAGAGGACATGTATAGTCAGAATGGGTCGATAATTTCCTATACATTGGGTTGATTTGAAGCGGCTATTTTACCCTTCTGATAATGATTATCTCGAAATTACATTGAGTTCAGGGAAAATTGCAACCTATTTATGGCCTGTTTCGAGGGTCTTTTTATTCATATAAAAATAAGTTTTGTGTGTGTATCAATTTTATCTCTCTTTTTTTTTTTTTCCTGTTCTTTTTTCTGGTATACATCTCCTTATATCATTCGTATTTCCCACCATTACCCCTTTTTTTTTTCTTTTTTCCCTTTTTTTTTTCTGCTGTAAAGTGGCAATTGACTTGATAGAATGGCTGATGCTGTAAAGAAACCAACAACTTCAAATCACAATAATTTGGGAGCAGCCTGCTACCGATGCAGAGGATTCAGGCAAATACACTAAATATACTCAATGTTAGATATTTGCGTTTGTTCTAATTGTTTAATCAAATAAATAACTTTTTTTTCTTGAATTCTGCTCTAATAGACATGCCTGCGATAGAACCAAACCAGCTTGCTCTCGTTGCAAAAGAAGAGGCATCACTTGCCAGTATCCTGAAGCAGCACCCACCTTGAAGAAGCTACAGAAAGCAACAGAGACACTCAGTGATCGAATCAAGAAATTCGGTGATCTCCTCAAGACGGGCGAAAATGGCGCATTGCCTACAACAACAACAACAACAGCAAAACGAGGCATCTCTCTGCAGAGATTGGCTCAACCGAGATCCTCCGTAGCACCTTCACCTCTAGAGATGGAATCACCCATTTACAATTACAACGACGCTCGCTCTTCCATTTCCATTCATTCCAACGATGCTGCCAGTTCGATTGATCAAGTCATGACAACAGCAGCCGAAGAAGAGGAAGATGGTATGTCCACTACAAGCAGTAATATCAATAATCCAGTTGCTTCTACCAGCTCTTTTTCCGTTTATCCATGTAGTAAATGCTACAAAGATTTACAACAATGTGATCTCACATTGCCCAGCTGTAGCAGATGTGCTGGCAGCAATTTTGAATGCGTTTACATGAAGACCGAACCTAAAGCAAACCACGTTTCTCAAGTGCTCAATACAATGAACAAAGTCATGGATCAATGGCAAGACTCGATCGACAAGATGGCCAAAGACTTTGCTCAAAAGACTCGAGATTTCGGTCAACGAGTAGATCAGTCCTTCAAAAAGAAGCCTTTGCAGCCATTTGCCTGGAAAATCACAACGACCAACAAGGGCCTCTCGGTGGAAAGCAATGTCAATTCGTTCAATGATCTCTCCAAGCTAGTGGATCAATTCAAGAGATCCATGCACATCACATCGCGTGATGACCAAGATGCACAAGACGGTACTCGAGACTCTATCAAAGGCGAAGACAACGAACGACACCGCATGGCTCAGTCTGCTGAATTGGACGACGCTAGTTCTATACACACGTCTTCCGGTTTCTCTTTTGGTGTCTGGAACTCTTGGTCGCATCCTACACACGTATTGCCTGACGATTATCCCGTGGACATATCGCCTGAACTGACAGATAGCTTGGTGGAATTGTATTGTAGAACACCTTGCTGCTCAGCCATTCGTTTGCCTATCGTGGATACTACTGAATTCTTGGCCCGTTATCATGACCCTGATCCTGAAAAAAGACCCTCCACTGTGCTCATTTATGCTGTCTGCGCTATGGCTGCTCGCAATGCTTTCCAGATGCATGTCTGGAGCAAACGTCCTGCTCATGAAACACCCAGTTACAATATGGGTAAAGCTCTCTCCATGGCTTACTGTCTCAAGGGTCGTGAACAATTAGCAGAGTGCTTTGACGAACCTACCATTGATAACTGTCAAGCTGCCTTCTTGTTATCGTATTGCAACCATCAAAATGGTTATCCTGGTGTCATCTACATTTACGAGTGGATCTCTTTTACAATGGCACAGGAGCTGGGCCTTTACGACGAAGGTCGCGTATTGGATACAAGAGAAAGTATCCTTGTCTGGTGCTTGTACTACTTTAATACTTGGTATCGTGTCTTGCAAGGTGTCTCCAACACGTCTGGTGAATCTGACAGGTTTCACCCCAACTGCCCTCTGCCTCCTCCTCAGCCTAAGCCAGTGCTTGATTTCATGGACATTGATGCTGCTGAACCGCCTCAAGAAATGATCAATTACTATGTCTACACAGAGTGGTATTGTATGATTCAACTGCAAGTGCTTCGTCACGATGTGATGAGTCGCTTACTGTCAGCCCAGGCAGCCGGTAAACAAGACACGACACTCTCCATGGATCTACTAGCGATGCAAGATAGACTGCAAGAGTTTTACGATAATCTACCCGTAGAATGGAAGAACCCTGACTTGGAGTCCATTGCTCTCGACCAAATGGCCGCGGGTACGCCAGAACCATGCTGTGGACATGGTGGCCTCTATAATGGCTATGGAGAGCAACAAGCAGAGCAACAATACTATCATGTTGACATTCATGAATTTGCAAGATTCTGTATCCTTAGTGTCCACGTCTACTACAACATCAACAAGATTCTGCTCTACCAAGCCTTCTTCCCTTCGGATCATGTACCCACCTCACCTTTCTCGGTACAGTGCCTCTATACATGTATTGACGCCGCTTATGCCATCACTCAAACCTTAGATATCATGGTGAAGCATCATGATGAATGTAATATCCCGCTATTGGGGTTCTTGTTTGCCAATATGGTGTACATCAAACTATTGAACTATGCCGATGATCAGTACCAAGAATTTGCTCAGCGATGTCTAGCGCAATCCGTCAATGTATCCAAAATGTCCAAGGCGTATCTGTATGATTTCGAAATGACACGCAACTTGGTCAGTGTGATGGAGCTGGATGTCCGTAATGCCTGTGGTGGAAGACCGCTAAGTGTAGTCGATGATGACATGCTGTATCCCTTCATTGTGCCTTCTCCTCCAACTCTGCCTCCGTTTGCTCCTCAACAACCTTTCCAATAATACTCACCTCTCTATATATCCTGTAATTTTATGCATTTTTCTTTTGTTTGTTTATATTTTTCTTTCCTTTTCTCTTAAATGAAACGAAAAAAAACTTAATTCCAACCTGTAAAACTCTAATAAACCCCAATTACACTGCACTCGAGCATTTCTATCCGTGTTGCTATGATACCATCAGCCAATGAAAATGATAGTTGTTCAAGGTAAATCTTCAATACGCACATTTTTTTTCCGCCTCTATTGTCGCATTTTACCATTTTACCCAACATCTAATACTTTGATATCTTAATTCACATGTCCCATTCAACACTCCTCAGCTTACCGTATGAACTTGTTTTACATATTGGCCAGTATCTGGAGTTTGCAGATGTATGGTATTTAGGGACTTGCTCTCATGCCAGCCGAACACTGTCATTTCAACTACTGCAATCGTTATATCAGATCAACCTCATTAAACCACGCATCATCAACCCGTTTGGACAGAGTATACATGCAGCTGTCGCTTATCTTGCGAGACACGGCAACACCGGCAGTACAAGTCAACAGCAGCATATCATTCAATCTGTGGCAAATCACTTGGCCATAGGCATCTGCGATCGCATGCCAAGTAAATCAGGCAGAGCCTTTTCATTGGACTTTTTGCTGAATAAATCGTTGGCCATTCTGCTAGAGCATTGTCTGTTGGACTCGACATTACATGCATTCATGAAATCGCAAGAAACACATATCCTCAGTCAACAGTTTGATCAGATCATATCATCGATACGTGCTCAGCATGAACAGCCGTTTGAGCAGCAGAGGTACACAGGGGTACTGATGGTCGATTTTCTAGCTGGATTGCACGACACACTAGTGGCCGTTTTAGAGGAAGAAGACATGCTTAGCAACATATACCACCACTTGCTCACCAGTCATTTACAAAAACAGTTACGAGCCATCCAATCCAGATACCAGAGCCATCATTCAGATCAGTCATCCTACTCAAATCAGCAAGCACCTCGTAAAGACTCTCTGCCCAGTCAAGAGTTCAAATTGTACATTAAACTCATATGCTGTTTAGCACAAACCAACCTCATATCATCCAACGACATTGATTCACTGACTTACCATTACATCAATCATTTCTTCTTGACACGACCATCGGATGTCAGTTTCAGTCGAGATTCAGGGCTCAAAATATACATACGACAGCATAATGAACACTTGTCCATCATCAACACAGTGACGCTCAATAAACGGCCTGCCTACCACTATCAATGGCGGCTATGGTTGGAAGAAACACAATTGCGGTTAAGTGTATTGTTAGATTTATTGCGTGCCATGATACAAAAGAACTGCAGCCAAGGTGGAGCAGCACCTGATTTTGTCCATATCACTGCCATGTTGCAAGACACTGTCTCTGCATTGACATTATCAAAAACCATCCCTCAAAATGAATATGAAATACCTCTTTTGAATGATTAAAATGTTTTTTTATTTACGAAATGAGAGCTCCCCATTTCTTTACAAATTGGTCAATGCGCGGGCATTCCATCATAGCAAAGGTGGTGGATGTCAGAAATGCATGCACCACAAATGAAAGGGCTTCTTGGGACTTTTGGATCATTTCTTTATCGGAAAAGACAACCTTGTTGCCAAAGTAGAGTACAGTGCATGCGGCTGACAGTGTGTCAATGACCTATATGTGTGTCTTGTTAGTTGAAAGAGCTGTGAATACCACACGATGGCGCATACCTGAGGCAAAATGCATCGATCTCCTTCGTCCAGTAGTAATCGAATCACCTGTATAAATCCGTAGGCTGCGTTCATGCTTCTATACAAGCCCTTTTCTACTTGCCTCTGCTCAGTCGAGATTTCGAATGACAATCCAAAGGATGAGAAGTAGTCAGGCCACAGCTCTTTGGACGGCTCCCAACGGTGATCTGCTTCAAACCCCTTGAGCATATGCTGCTGATGAAGCTCCAACATGCCCGCAAAGTACAATGCATGCAGTCTCAATGCTAGTTTATCTTCCAGTGTATACAATGTGGTTTGGTGGTCATCTTCCTCGCCATGCGCATGTCGTTTATACAAGAATGTTTCCAAATACTTTGTTCGCCACTGATTTAATTGACGGTGAGGCGGCGTGGTATGCGGTGATGAGGAGAATGGCTGCTGTTCATGCTGACTGGACAACAGTATATGCAACCCTCTGATCCTGAACTTGGTTGCCTTGATGTACAGCTGCTCATCCGTGTAGTTTGCCATGACAGGCTTGATTTGATCCAGAGACATCTTTAGCTGACGATACTCTATCAGGGGCGCTGTGAACTTGGCCAGTGCAAAAGACCAATCCAACTCTGCCATCCAAGCATACATTCGATATACATCTTGCTGGTGCTGCTTCTGTGCTGTAAGCAGCAGCTCCATTTGCCGCTGAGCCAGGCAAAACAAGTTGCGTGCCTCTCCATCTTGTCCCATGGTCAGCAGATACTGATACATGATCACCAGTGTTTCGCATGTTACTGAGTCCATGGCATCGAATTCCACTAAATCAAACGCAATCTGATAAGCGTTTTCCGCCAGCTGATGCATGAATGGATAGATACCGAATTTCTCGGGATGACATAGCAAGGCGTGCAAAGCAGCGTAAGCATAGATGGCACAGGCATAAGCCCTGTTAAGTTTGTCGCCTTGACGGTGCTGTTTCAACAGCTTGTTGGGCTGCACTCGAGTGAAACAAATGCAGTCTAAATAAACATGCACTAGCAACTCAAAGATAAAGTCAGGATAAATCCAATGGAGACGATCATAGTCGTTGCTGGTGTGCTGCTCTTGTTGCTCGCAATCTGTGGTTTCCATGCTAGATGTTTGATGCAGTAGTGTACCAGGCGGCGATGATAAGTTGGACGATCCCGACCTCGACACCAACGACATGTAATAGTCGGTAGACGAGCGAGTAGAGAGAAGGCTGGGCTTCTTCTTGTAGAGCGATTCTACTTGATCAGCTACTGGATCTGGGAGCTGGTTTCGAAGGTCCACTAGGGTGGAGTACAGTTCACTGAGCGTATGGATGTTGGTGTCGAGCTCAAAGATGGATCTTTTGCGTCCAGCGAGCGTCCAGCCAGTTGGTAGTGGCACATTGCCGTGCTCACTCTCTTGCTCTATTGGATAGGCATCTAGTTCAGGCGTGGTGGTGAATACAAAATTGTAATCAAAGAATGCAATGGACGTATCGTCATTTGCAATACTTGATGCTACGAGTGAATCGCCTGCGGTTTGCGATGTTGCTGCACTACCACAAGAGCTGGTGTCTGTGGGATGAAACGACCATTCCACTGTGGAATGGTGATGATGCATCACATGTGTTGTTGTAGGCGTCGATGGTGATAGCTTCTGTTTTTTAAACACTGTATCGATAGAGTCTGAGTATCATAGTAGTGATCCATATTTACCAGCGTTCTTACTAACAAATGTCATTCTTATTCGAGTTTCTAAACGGCATCCTGTCGTACGATAAAAGCAAAAGAAACAGCAGAAAATAGATACACAAACATTCAATGCCAAAATATACCTTTGTTTATTGATTGTTTACTTCTCCAAGGATAGTTCTTTATTACAAAAAACGCAGCAATATTTGCCATCTAGTGTGATTTCTATACACAAATTATTTCAACGAGTTGCTCTCTTAGTGCAAAACTCTATATGTTCATTCCAAATATGTGCTCTTGACAATATGGAACTTGTACGCCCTCCTGAAATGTTTCAATGTGTCTACATTTGTCATCGCATCCATCCTCTGATATGACTCGTGGCTGCCACTCGCTCATGTTTCGTTGATCTGTTATCGCTGTTAGGTAGTAGTAGAGAGAGGATGCTGTGGATGACATGGAGGAAGGGGAATGCTCTCCTCGATAATCCACTGTACTAGCATCACTGTCCATGTAGCAAAACTCTTGTGCCTTGAGGCTGAATTGAGTCGGCATTGACATGTAACGAGCCATTCCCTTGGGCTTCCTTTGCGGTAGTTGCTGATGCGATCGCTCATAAGAACTCTGCAAAAAAAAAGTTTAGTATATAGATCTGCTCAAAGAGTTTATGTTCAAATCTTACTACAACTGTTGCGGCTGACGATGTGGATGAGGCTGTGTTTGGACCACTGTTGGGCGGGAAATGACTCGTTTATATGGATCCAAGTTGCATTGTATGACTCTTTGACATTTTCTTGATTTCAGGAGCAGCATGAGCTAACGACCACATGTATTATTGGCCTCGATCCTACCAGTCTTACCGTAAGCCTTACCTTTGATATCTCCCGTGCTTTTGGATCCAGTCATTTGTACATGGCCCAATAATTGATTAATGGTGTCCATATCTGTAATGTGATACATTGCTGCTATCTACTTGCTATTGGGATCATCTGCATCTAAGCTTCGAAGAATCACTGTTGTGTTTGCTGAAACATCAATCACGACAACCTTCTCCGGTGACGGAGACATTGAAAATATAATCATTGGTCTGCCTGTGGTTTTGACGTAGGGTAGCTGTTGTTGCTGTAGTTGTGGCTTTGGTTTCTGCTTGTAAATTTTCTTTTTCAAATCATGCAAGCCTACTTCATCGTCTGTTTCGCATTGTAATTTAGAAGGTATAATCTTGTTGAGCCAGGTTTTTGTCCTGGATTTGGTCGGAAACGGCTGTGGATAGAATGGCTGTTGATGCGGTGATTGGTATGATGGCTGTTGTGGTGGTTGATGTGGCTGTACATAATGATGGTGGTGTGTTTTCGGTGGCAAAGGTTTTGCGATACTTTCGCAGCAATGATGGCTGCATTGTGGTGGCTGTGCTGGCGGTGGTGCTGGCGGTTGTAACCGAGGTTTATGGTTGGAATAACTACGACGACGGTGGAAGCTATAGTTATTATTGTCGTTATTATAGGCTAAATGGGTTGAGTGCTTTCGAATCACTTGACGAGTGGACCGAATTAAATCCTCCAAAGCCTCATCTTGTCGAGCAATCGCTCTGGTCATATTTGGGTCATGATGCGATCTATACATCCAAACGAAAAACTAAGACACTGACAAACTAAACAAGAGAAAAGTGGGAAAAGAAGAAGAGGTTCTCGTACTGTAAAACTAGTAATGAACAACAAGATTGCGACGATATTCAGAACGATCATGAAAAGAATTCTCCTATGCCTAAAAATGGAAATTCCGTTTCGTCAATCAAGCGCCTACAGAGGCAAATTTAAGTGCTTTCGTATACCTTATAGCATAATATGTGTCATAAGATAGCCACACTATATGCAATGCTGTATGTCGAGTAGAAGATGACACTTTGGATATGTCCAAAAGCACTCGCAATGTCAAAATTCATGCATCCATTCCAACCAGCGATCGGGTACCTGAATACAACCGTAACTCAGCCATGCTTTGACTGCTTGGTGAATATGCTTCATTTTATTCAAAATAATGTAATGGTATATGTGGATTTTAGGATGCTGTAGTTTACTGTTTGTTGCTTCGCTCCAGGTAGCTTGCCAATGGGCTTTTACCTCTTGGTTTATCTCTGCTGCCAATCAATGGAGACTTGGTGGATTGTTGATCATAACGCTTGTTATCATTATTGCTATCGTCAGAGAACTGAGATGTAAACGAGCTTCTTCTGCTGCGCATGTTCATGGTGGGGAATCGGAGCTGCTTGTCACCTTCCTCCTCTGCATTGTAACGGGGACTGGGTAAAGGTGATCTTGATGGAGCAGCCTGTTGCAAGTAGGCATGTTGGTAATTTATACGCTGATCAATGCTCTGTTAGGACTTACCTTTTCACGATGGCTGCTCAAGTTTTCGGAAAGTTCATCATTGACAGCTGCCATTTTTCTCAGCTTGGCAATTTGTTGCATCAATGGCTCCAATTCCTTGGATATCAGATCATGCGTGCCTTCTTGTCTTGATTTCTGGACATCGCGTTGGATTCGCTCATACTCTGACTTGACTGATTGCAGTTGCTGATTTTGCTTGTCGATTTGCTTCTCCAGGTCTTTGCTGGTCCTCTTCATTGACTTTACAGTAGCTTCCAGCTCTTCTTTCTCTTGTGAAAGTCTAGTAATTTCTGCCTTGAGCACTCGATTCAGGCCGGAGAGCTTTCCATATAGCTCAACTACGTTTTGGATGGATTTTTGCTGTGGCTGCTCCTCTTCGTTGTTGAAGGATGAGGTAGCTCCAGATGAAGACGAGTGTTCCAGGGCCTTGAGAACGAGCCTTTCAAGCATTTCATACATGACACCAGTAAATTCATGGAGGTCAGTGTGCATCTTCTCCATGGATTTCTCAAAGTAATTGCGAGCATTCTCCTCGTAGCGTTGCATCTTCTTTTCGATCACTTCTCTTTCATCCTTGTTCTGTTCCTGGATCACCAAAAGCTCTTCAGAATGCGCCTTGGAAGCGCCTTTCACAGCACGACGAATGGTTTCTTCCATACCGTTGGGATTGCTACCATATTGACTGAGAATGCGAAGTGAGCGCTCCATGAAACGTTCCGTGTTCTTTACAAAGCTGTGCAGTTGAGATAGCTTGTCGTCATCGCTCATGGCTGCAGATGAAGGGGAAGCTGGGGGCATGTTGCGATAAGACGTGGTATCTTCTTGCTGATGATGCATCGACGACACGGATACTCCATTCAGCATTGAGAGTCGCTCTTCTGTGGTGTTGAGTCGGTCAACCACATCTTCCAGTTGCTGGGACAAGGCAGAGAGATCGGGAATAGCGCTTTCTTGAATATCGTTGGAGATCAGTTGCAAGTAGTTACCAATGACCTTGATGTTCTTTCCTTGTTCATCTTGACCTTCTTGCTGATTTTTGGCGATTTCAGACATGGCGGTCTCGATCGTCTGAGTGATCTTTTCGTGCAAACGACCAATATCAGAAGGAACAGAGGGCAAAGATCTGCTTTGGCGCATGTTGTTTTCGATTGTAGTCAATGTCGAGTTTTGCATTTCTCTTGACTCTGCAATCCAATCTGACAGCTGCTTTTGCTGCGATGCGACAGCCTTGTAGAGATCAGAATCCTTGTCAGCATACGATAGAGGAGGGGTGGATGGCATGCCACTGTCACTTGAAGAAGTAGAGTTGTTATCCATCATGGATGATGATAGACGGGATTGACTGATCTGCACATTTTCCACCATTTGGATCAAGATATCAAACTTTTCGGAGAGGGAAGGTAACTTGGCAGCTTGCTGTTCTTCATCGTCATCCTGCTCTGCAGAGACTCCCACCAATTCCTGACGTAAATCCACAAATTCATTGCGCAAGAGCTCCATCATGTGCTTTTGCTTGGCGTCCTTCATATCAGCATCATCTCTTTCAGTCTCCAAAAACTTGATAATGTCACTTTGAAGGTCATTCCAGCCGAGCTTAGCATCATCCAGTGTATCACAGAGCTTGTTGACGCTTGACTTGATGTCCAAAAGTGGACCCTCAGAAGAATTCTTGATTTGATCTCGAAGCACTTGCAAGTTGAATTTAACGTCTGACATGGTTTCTTTCAGCGCATCATTGGCCTCAAAGGAATCACTGTTCATGCTGCGATTTCTCGAGATATTTCTGTAATCTGTTTGCTTTTGCTGATGTTCTAATTCATCCACTCGATTTCTCCATTTGCGCACTTCAATCTCCAACGACTCCATCTTGTCATGATCCACGGATCTCATATTGCTGCTGTTCTTCTTTTCCAAATCGCTGTATTTGGTTCTCCACTGCAGAGCCTCACGTTCAAAGATCTCGCATTTGGTCTCCAGAGCTTGTCTTTGACGGTCCATTTCAGTGTTTAGTTCCTCTTCTCTGTCTTGCAACTCTTGTTGAAACGCTCTTTCCTTCTTTGCCATGGATTCTTTCAGTTCATTTTCACGGTTGAGCAGTTCTTGTTGGAAGAAACGTTCCTTTTTGGCAATGCTGTCTTTGAGTGTCTGGAGCTGTTCTCTTAGTTTCTGGTTTTCGCTATCTAATTCCTCTGCAACACCTTGAAGATCCCGGTTCATCTGCTCTGAAGAGTGGATACGAGATGTCAATTCGTTTTGTGTAGCAATGGAAACCTTTCCCATGATTGACGTCAGTGAATCCACCCAGTCCTTTCGAGACAGCATGTCGTCTGTAGCTAGGATAACATCATCCCGCTTTACCAGCATGCGAATCTCCCATTTGATGCCTTGCTTGTAATCTTGAGCTCGAGGCGATACTTCAAGGACCTCGCTCATGTCATAGGTTTGAATATGATTTGTGCACTAGGAGCTCCCGCATCAGACCTTCAATCTCTCGCTCCTACAGTGTACCTTACCTTGATATCCTTATACAAATACAATCCTCCAGGCTTAACAGTATTTCCGTGTTTGGCGACTGCATAAACAGGCTTCCATTGCTATAAACGGAACATTAGTATCTGCATTAGGAAAGCAGTAAATAATGCTAAAATGTCTCGTGTTACCATCAATCCATTCTTTCTGTAGAGCCAGCCCTCTTTTACAATCTGTCATTCTGTGTTAAATCGACCAGGTATTGTCCACTCAGCCTGTATATTACCTTGGATTCTTGCGGCCCAGCAGGGGATGTATGATAGAAACTAGGTGCAGGTTGCACTGACATGATGGAGCCACCAGATCCTGTGCAAAAGTATGAGTTGATGCTCTGGCATCACCCTTTATTCAGAAACTTACCTCTATTGATACTAGGAGATCGAGCTCTCACGTCTTGAATGATGACCATGCGCTCTTCTTCCACATCATCACCCTCATCCTCATCATCTACCTCATCAAAAATGACATCTTCGTCCTCATTAGTAGTTGCTACAGGAGCTGCAGCAACGTACTGTGGCTGCTTATTAACCTGTCTAGCATTGGCTCCATCCATGGATCTTGCAGAGCGAGGAGCGGGAGACACCGACCGATAGCTGTTGTGTGAGTTAGACGAGGGTGCTACATTGGTGTCCTGCTGTTGCATAAGCCATTGATGATGTTGTTGCAAAGCTGCGACAGATTGTCCAGCACCTGAAGACGATGATGTCGTGCTAGTAGGAATAGGTCTACGGCCATATTTACTGCTTTGACGAGAATCTGATCCAGCACTGGAAAGGCTGTCTGGAATAGGGCTGATACTTCGTTTGTAATCTGTCATACCGCTGCTGCTGTTACTGCCATTTGATGGGGACACAGGCCGCGTGCGCCAGTCAGTTCTTACACCGAGATTGCTTCTAGGTCTAGCGATGTTCTCTTTGGATGAATTCATAGAGGTGTTGTTTAATAATTAAAAATTGGAGAGAAAGAAGGAATACAATTCAAATTTTGTTGTTTGCCCTTTTATAGTATTTGATTGTTTTCAACACGTCTGTATCCAAAGCATTTCCTTTTATAGACGTGTAAACAACAATGACATGAATTGAGTGTTGACATTCGTGCGCCTTGTTGAATCTATACCGTAATGTAAACAATGGTAAAAGTGCACGGTTGATTGTGCTCATCATCAAGTACTATATACCAGACACATTCAATCACTTGCACATGTCTATAGACGACCACCACCACCACCACAGAGTACATTTTCATATTAAATACACATATAATATATAATGAAAGCTTTATTTGAGAATACAAACTATACAAAATGCGTATTTCTGTTAGTTCTCTTGTCTTCTAGTAAGCATGTTTGTTCCTTGTAGTGATCGCTGCCTATAGTATATACTATGTAAAGAATCCTCTCTCTTTTAGCAAGAAGACTCCACAACTTGATCCGAAACATGTATGAATTTCGTACATGTTAAAGAGGAGATTGACCTGAGTAACTTGTTTAGGCGAATCGTACAACCAAAATCATGCAAAATATTGACATGAAGAGTCCAATGCGTTACTGAAGTAGAGCTCAGGTTAAGCCCTAGCAAGAGTTCATGCCTAATTACCATAAAAATCTGCAATGAGTGTTTGATGTAAATGTCTTTGCGTTATACATCTAGACATCTTTCTAAAGCCTTAGATCAAGAAAAGCCGATATTGACCAATTGGTTATGGCGTTGAGATGTTGGCTTGATTAAAAATCAATACTGGGAGATCTTCTGCTAGTAATGCGTAGCCTAGCTACAACTTTGATTGCCTGCCATATGTGAATGCCTTCCACAAACGACCTGTTGCTGTGGATCTAGCTATTCTACGGTGATGCACGTTTGTATAAGTGGATACAACTTTTTTATGGGCAAACAGCATACCGATATCACCCCTTTCTACTCAAAAACATGCAAAACACAGCATAATTTGGGTGCATTTGAGCAGTAATTTCTCGGGCTAGAAGCAGTTTTAGACCGTCAGAATAACACCAAACAATCCCTTTCAACTAGCACTTGTTTACTAACATCTTTGCTCAACTTTGTTGGGACCAAAAATTCATCGCCAAAAACCGCCTCAAAAGCATGAGGGGTACCTCATGGTTTTCACTAAAAATCAAACGATCGCTTTTTTGATAGCAAAACTAAAGACTTTTATTATAGCATGTATTACATCAAAATGACTCTATCTTTCCAAGGTAATCCCTGAAATCACTTTTATGAGATTTTAATATGCAAAATCTCGACATTTTCGCCAAAAACCTCATTTAGAATTTTAACAATTTACTCAATAAGTTTGTTCTAAGCATTTCTTATAATTAGTACTGTCAGATGCGCCTTGAAAAGTACTTTAAGAAACCTTAGGGAAATGAGTGATGATCATCACAGTTTATATAGTCGAATCTGACAAAATTGTTCAACAAGGTCGATTTTGATTAGATTTTGTCCAATCAGCAACGGTAAATTCAGAGCGAAGCTGCAACCGATTTTGGCTGCTGCTTGCTGGCAAGTGTATTGCCAATGCCTATCATGGAAGTAATCGATGCTCTTAAGAGCTCACAGACTGTGGATTACGTATGAAAACAGCACTGCGTATGATTCTAGCTACTCTTATTTGTCTTTTTTTTTTTTTTACCAGAATTCATATCTATTAAACAAAATTGTTGCAAACTGGGACTCCAAATGTCAGCCAACTCCAGCAATCATTAATGAAGGGGCCATGCTCTATTGCCTCGGTTTGCCGCAAACATTGCAAATAGAACTGACGCAGTAAATGAAGGGAATGCTTGACAGGAATATTTTATAACCAATGTTGATGGTTAAACAGACAGATGGAACAAACATATAAATGCTCTCTTTTGATTGCTCCAGTAAGATGTCACTCTTTTCGCTCTTTTTTTTGCATAAATTCTTATTCTGGCAAAATAATGGGTTGCATGCCATCAAAGCAAACGACAGAAGCAGAGCAAGATGTCATTCGCAACAAGGAAATTGACACACAAATCAAGCAAGCCAAAGTAAATTCGCAGCGCGAGATCAAATTACTGCTGCTTGGTGCTGGTGAATCAGGCAAATCAACAGTTTTGAAACAGATGAAACTCATTCGCCACGGTGGCTATTCTCAAGAAGAGCGAAACGAATTCAAAGAAATTGTCTATTCAAATACAGTGCAATCCATGCGTGTGATTTTGGAAGCTATGGAAACAATGCATGTATCACTTGAGGATCAAGCAGTTGGGAACAAATACCGCGACATTATCTGGGCTTTGCCTACTCAAGTTCAAGGCTTAAATACCGAGGTCACTGAAGCGATACGGTACCTGTGGAAGGACAAGAATCTGCTATCTGTGTACGATCGAAATCAAGAGTATCAACTGAACGACTCTGCCAAGTAGTAAGCTGAGCCACATTATTTGATGCCGCCATTAGGTGTTGCTAACTATATTTGGGGCAGCTTCTTTGACTCTATCGACCGAATTGGTGACCCGGATTACACGCCTACGGATCAAGACGTGCTGCGTGCACGAGTGAAAACAACAGGTATCACTGAAACCACATTCAGAATAGGAGAATTTACCTATCGCATGTTTGATTTGGGTGGACAGCGATCAGAACGCAAGAAATGGATCCACTGTTTTGAAAACGTCATGGCAATTATCTTTATGGTTGCATTATCTGAATTTGATCAAGTGTTGATTGAAGACGAGCATATGGTAAATTATGAAGGGGTTTAATCGATAGATAAAGCTAAAAAAAATACGTGTATTATTAGAACCGCATGAAAGAATCGCTGCTGCTATTCGACTCGATTTGCAACTCAAAATGGTTTAAAAAGACATCCATCATACTGTTCTTGAACAAGATTGATATATTTCGTGAAAAGATCGAGCATAACCACCTGTTATCAGACACATTTCCCGAGTACAAAGGCGCAAATACCTACCAAGAGACAAGCCAGTATCTGATGAGGCGATTTTTAGCGTTGAACAAGGAGCCAGCCACCAAGCAAATCTATACCCATTTCACATGTGCAACAGATACAGCGCAAATGGAATTTGTTATGAATGCCATCAATGACATTATCATCCAGAACAATTTACGAGATACCGGTTTATTGTAACCACAGATGAGGCTGAATGCTCCCTTGCTGGACGGATCTTTTTACTATTTAAGTAGATATGATTTAATGTTACACCATGTAATAAAGACTAGAGCCTCTATAAATGATTAGAAATACATCAATCCTGTCTCCTTTTTTCCCTCTTTTCTTTTCCTCTAGTCTCTTTCAAAAATTATTATACATTCACAAATGACCACCATGGAGAGGTTCGCAAGAAACAAAGCCTTAGCAATGCTTTTAGCAACTATATTTCTGTTATCTCTATTAGCGCTCTTGTCAAATATCACACCCATACAATCTCGGTCTTTATTCAACGGCTCACAAGACAGTACTGACACAACAGCAACCAGCACACAGATACAACACACTGAAAGTGATTTGGATGTGCCTGACGAAGAAGACCTTGTGCCTGTAGCCACTAAGCCTATTGATGCTAAGGAATGGAAACCAAAGAAATGGGGCCGTCTGAGTCCTGAAATTGAACAAGCTATTGAGTACAATGTTCGTATTGCTGGAGGCTCTGGTAATAAGAAGGCCGATCGTATCTTGCTGACGGCTGTGGCTAATCAAGGTATGGCGGATTACACGATGAATTGGATTGCTTCGCTCAAGAAGTGCGGATTGGATGACAAATTTCTGGTGTTTGCTATCGACGAGGAGATGGTTGAAACAATGAAAAAAGCAGGATTTGGTAAGCACGTCGTCATGATTCCCAAAGATTGGTTCCACAAGGAGTTATCAAAGGATTTCGAAGGATGGTTATCGGACGGTTATACACCCATTACGCACTCTAAGTCGCTGGTGGTGGAGAGGTTGCTCTACACTGATGTTACTGTCTGGTTCTCGGATGTCGACATTGTGTTTACATCGCCTTCCATTTACGATTATTTGTTGATGAAACTGAACTCGAGAAAACAAACAGAGACTTTGTTTTCCCAAGAGACAGAACAAAAAATCATCAATTCTGGGTTTTACATTATGCGTCCCACAAACACAAACAAACGCATTCTGGACGCCTCCATCTACATTCAAGATACCGAACAAAACAAAAAGCCTGAAGTCACTCAACAACGAGCCATCAACAGGATCTTGGACGATATGAACCTCAACTACCAGACAAGTTCCATCGTGTTGTTGGATTTAATGCTGTTCCCTCACGGTAGAGCTTATTTCGATAGAAACATCCCAACAAAATACGGCATGACGCCCATGATTGTGCATGCTAATTATCGCAAGGGAGACAACAAGATGAAGGATTTGAAAAAGTTTGGTCTTTGGTACATATAATTCGAAAAAAAAAGTGTAGATAGTAAATATAAATAAATTAGTTCATTCGTGTTGTTACAACCAAAACGTCATCGTCGCTCTGTGGGTTCCGCTGGAATTTGTCAGTAGCAATGCTAAGCTTTGCTCTAGTATCGTATAAAATAGGCTCTTTACCAATGTAAATTGGTGTGTTCGTCTGCTATGGTATCATTGCAAATCATCCTTGCCCCAATAAAAGAGAGGCCTTGGACACTGTGTTGGTGATAGGGTGCTGCAAAAATTCGGTGCCTGAATCTTAACCGATTTGCACTGGTGATAAAGAATTAAAATTCTATGGGCGAGGTATACTAGCTCAAGCAAAATACCATGGATTTATACCTGAGAGCATCTAGTTTACGAGGATAATTTTTGTGTTTTGTTTGCTTACATTTAAGGGCCAGTTTTAGCCGGGCAACTCTAGTCCTGTACAATTTTGACACCCTTGTGGGGCTACTATGCCATATAGATCGACCGCCATGCTGTTTCATTCACAAGGGAAGAGTGGCAGCTTATTCAGAGCATAGAATAACATGTACATTAGATGCCCTAAAATGATAACCATTGATAATACTACGTATCTAGCAGCATTGAGCGCAAGTGTACGTTTTTAACATGGATTAAATTTAACTACGGTTCATCAAAGAGTTAATAAAGCAATTTGCTAAACCACGTTTAAAATTAGCCATGTCAATCGATGTACAATTAATTTACTACTGTAAAATTTCATTTAGACCACAATTTGGCGATAGATGCTATATAAGACTATGTCAAGTAGCTGCTTTTGCAAGGGGTTTCGAATCTCAAGATGATTTGTGACGACTTTAGCGTATGATTTGAGCGAGTTTGTTTCCATTAGAAGAGACATGATTAGCTGTTTGTACGCTCCCTCTCACAAAATATTCAAGATGAAACTTATATTCGGTTCTAAGGCTCAAAACCTTTTTATCGAGACGCTTAAGCCGGGTTTGCTGAATATGCGCTGAAATTATGCAAATTTGAGGATAAACTGACTATGGCTGTTGGACATTTACAACTCTTTTTTAATCAATTTAATCGCAAAATGAAAAATGTATATAATGAAAAGGCTAGAATTTCTATTTGTATGGACCTATTTTTAACTATGAGATAAATTTGGGCCAAATGTAACACCAAATCAGTCTTATTTGTAGATCGGGCACCTTAAAAGCTATTAACTCAAGTGGTACAAGTAATCTTCATTCATCAAATCATGTACTAGTGTACGACTTGCTAACAGTAAATTACTCCTGCCTTTCTTATATATTAAGTCGTCCTCCTCCTTCCATGCTTTCACTGCTCTCCTAGTGTGTGCACAACCCCTCCCCCTCGATTCCCCTTTTTATATATTCTTTCTCCTCCCCCTCTTTCTTCTCTTTACTCGCTTTTGTTCTCTTTTTCTTTCTTTCTTCTTCCCCTTTCATATTTTACCATTAGATCAGAGCAACCTTCAGTGTGTGTACATAATATATATATATATATATATAATAATACCTCAGCATGGTCAACATCACATACAAGTTTGAAGCATTTAGTTTCACCGGTATTTGCCAGACAGTGGCTCTATCTCTGTGTCCATTAATAGGACAAGCAAATGGCGTGGAGCCAGTTTGCTATTCTCGTAATATTGATTTAGCAGGCAACTTGATCTTTCAGCCCGGTAAATATACTCACTTAGCCACATTGTTTGTATAGTCTGATCTAACATCTAATCACTAGCAACTCTGGTTATTGATATTGTTGCCATTATTATGGCTGCCATCATGATTTATCACATTCGATCCAAATACACTGCCGTTGGTAAGAAGCACATACATTGATCTATCCAGTAACCATACTCATACTAAATTTAGGTCGCAAGGAAATCGTCATGTTCTTTTACTTGTACATGATCACAACATTTCTCGAAATGTTACTTGTAACTGGCATTATACCAACATCATCACCAGTGTATCCCGTATGTATATCTATGTGTGTGTTTGTACTGGATAATATACTAACGACATTACATGATAGTGGTTTACTGCAGTACATATTGGCTTCATATGTGCCACTTTTTGGTGTCTGCTGTTGAACGGCTTTGTAGGTTTCCAATTTGCAGAAGATGGCACGCCTTTATCGCTTTGGGTTGGTATACGCAAACTGCATATTCAATGACATTCGACTCAACCATGTGCCATAGTCTATTCGCATTAGTTCCTTCGTCATCTTTTTGTTGACTGGATTCATTGCTATTGCAACATTCAAGAACATTGGTCCATTCAACTATGCATCGCCTGGTGCTCTATGGGCCTTTTATTTCATTATCAATGGCATTGCATTGATTGTCTATGTGATTTCGCAAATAGTGCTAGTAGTCAACACATTGGATGATCGCTGGCCATTGGGTGATATCTTGTTTGGCACGGCTTTCTTCATCATCGGCCAAGTGATTCTCTACGTTTTCTCTGTCGTCATCTGTGATCAAGTCAAGCACTATGTGGATGGTTTGTTCTTTGGATCCATTTGTACTTTGTTGGCAGTAATGATGGTTTATAAATACTGGGACTCCATCACCAAAGAAGACCTCGAGTTCTCGGTTGGCTCCAAGCAGAATGTATGGGAAGTCAAGGAGCTGCTGGGCGAAGATGAGCTGTCTCAAAGCTATGGCACGACCCCTGGTGGCAACTACCAACAACAGCAACATCACCAACCTCCTCAACCTCAATATGGTCAACAATATAACCAACAAAAACCACAATACCCATATTGAATCACTTATATAATTATATTTTCCAATAAAACGAAAGCCCTTGCTTATTACACAGAAAAAAAAAAACATAGTCATCGTTTCATTTGGCAAGCTGCTCAAAGGGACATCTTTTTGTTCAACCTCATTTTATTGCTTGTTTCTTAGCTTCAATACCATGAATAATCTGCCAAAAGACCAAGTGACAACAACATTCAAGAGTCTATTACAGAAAAAGCACAATAAGGTACTATTTCATTCGGCATGTGATTGTCGACGATAAGCTAAACAACAGCATGATGCTAGGGTTGCTTTGATTGTAACGCCAAAGGACCCACTTGGGCTTCAGTAACCTTTGGTATATTTATTTGTCAAGACTGTGCAGCAGCACATCGCAATCTCGGTGTCCACATTAGTTTCGTCAAGTAAAGTGATATCAGACTACAGTGCAATATCAGGTGTAGACTCATATTTGCATGAATAAACATTGCTAGGTCCACTATTTTAGACTCTTGGACACGCGAACAGCTCGATTTAATGGTTGCAGGTGGAAATGCAAGTGCTCGAGAAGGGTTTGGAGAAACTGCACTGAATATGAATGACCTCAAGTCGAAATATACGTATAAAACAGCACTTTCTTACAAGAACAAGCTTCAGAAAAAGGCTACGCAGATGCTGCAAGAGCAGCCATCACCATTAATAGAGCAAAAGCAAGACAACCTTATCGATTTCGATCAGCCAAAGCAACCACAGCAACACCAATCTCTCATTGATTTTGACGATGATAGCACGAATGCTGCCAAAAATACCAACCTGATGGATGATTTCGACATCTTTAGACCTGTTGCCAAGCCAAATAGCCCATCCAATGATGCGAAATCATCGCTATTTGATGACTTACTAGGAGCACCTCCATCATCACCATCAGCGCTTGCGCCTGCGCCTGCCAAACGAAGCAACGTGTTTGATGATCTATTATCACCCTCAACGAATACCGCAACTCATCAAACTCCTCATTTGATTGATCAGGAAAATGACCCTTTTGATGAATTTATAGCTTCTCCAAAAGCCAGCACAACTTCCAATGCAGCCGTAGACGATTTTTTTGACCAATTTGAAAAGGCAACACCCTCTGGTCTGCCATCAGCAGCAGCAATAGCATCTACGCCCAAGAAGAGAACATTGAAAGCACCGAAATCACATCACCATTCATCCAGATTAGGCGCTCGCAAAGTGCAAAGCACTGTGTTTCAACAGCAAGCTCAACTTGCCATGAGAGAAGAGCAGATGCGAGAGCAGGGTGTAGATGAGGAGAGCATAGGACGTAGTAGTCGAAATCAAGCCATGATGATGAATCAATCAATTGTCATTCCTAAATTACAAAAGCCAACAAGCACAAGACTCACTTACGTAGAATCCAAAGTAGACAAAAGCAGCAGCAGTGAAGAGGATATAGAAAACGAGAGACTGGGCATCATGTCACTCAACCTAAACAGCACTACAGGCAGCAAGAACAGGACATCATCGCAAATCAACAGCGCAGAGGAGGATACCAATGATCATTATGCTAGAGATAAATTTGGAAATGCAAAGGCCATTTCATCAGATCAATACTTTGGCAGAAATGATTATGATCCACAGCGTTCTGCTGCAAATGCCTCAAGATTAGCACAATTTCAAGGCTCTCAAAGCATTTCATCAGACCAATATTTCGGTAGAAAATCATCAGAGCGAGTTACTTCGTCATCCAATCCCATATCCAAAAAGATTCTTAGAGCTGCTATCAAAGGTGCAACCAAGCTACAGAACACGCTGGCAGATATGGAGGTATGAGGCATTAGCGTAATAGTGTTGGATGTATCACCAACAACCATACTGTTTTTTTTTTTTTTTTTTTTTTAGTGATGAATTCGACTGATTGAACCTCCGTATGAGAAACATGGGCAATAGGTTATATGGTGTGGAGCAGAAAGTATAAATTAGTAGGATTTACTTCTTTTCCTTCTCCCTTTCATCTATAACACTGAAATAAAAGTTAATCATGCTTCGTTCTACCTTGAGGTAATCATTAGAAAGACAGACATAGCATGGGGTAAATAGTAATGGGAGATGTATTATAGTAAACAATCCGCTTTATCACGTCTTATTCCAAAGTCGACCATTCGCTGCAGCATGAGTAACAACAAAGCAATCAGACCATTTTCAACCCCTGCTCGCTATACGCCAGCTCACAAAAAGACCAACTCTTTGGCAGCTGCTAAGCCTTGGAGCGAATTGAGCGCACCACAAAAGGGTAAACTTGCAGTCGTGAACAACGTGAGCAATTCGATTAACACACCGTACAGTGATAGTCGCTTCCAAGACCACATTCAATGTAGGTATCATTTTGGCAGGCGTTGGATTGACTTCAGCTATTGTGTATTACATTGGTTCAGAGTTGTTTGGCTCTCAAAGTGCTACGAGCATATTTTCAGATGCTGTTGATCGAGTCCGTAGCCACGAAGAGTTGGTATCCATCTTGGGTGAGCCTATCAAGGGACATGGCGAACCCAGCAGAAGCAAAAGAAGACGTAACAGACGTATTACCTCACAAACTGTCGAAGATCAAGACGGCAACCCCCATTTGTTTATGCGTTTCTATGTTGAAGGACCTGACAATCAAGGCACAGTCATGCTGGAGATGATCAAGGTGAGTTGAGTGGCACACTGAATCATGTAAATTTCTAATCACACTACTGGGAAAATGACAGAACGAAAAGCAAAAGTGGGAATACAAGCAATTATATGTGGATGTTCCAGGACAAGGATTACCTTCTAAAAGAATTTATTTAGAACGAAACATGTAAAATATATATATAAAATAAGGGAATTGTGCGATGTGTATAATAATGTTTGAGTGGTAGTAGTAGTGAGTAGAGATTTGTGGGTTGATATTATTACTATGTGGTGTAATTTTTATTGTAGTTATTTGTTAAAAGAAAAGCCCTTCTTCTTTGCTGTCTTTTCTGGAGTCATGGGTCTTCCTGATTCCAAGCGACGTTTCTTTTCTTCTAAATCTGCTCTCTGCTTGTCAAGTGCGTCCTTCATCTCCTTATGACGAGCATACAGTTCCTCTTCAGATTGCTTCAATTTAGCTTCCTTTTCTTGAACCTTGGCTTGGAAGACACTTCTCATCTCTGCTTCCATCTTGGCTAACTTTTGTTCGTGAGCAAGACGTTCTTCCTCCATCTTTTGAACAGGGCTAAACAGAATGCATGAATATTTGTTGTTGTTGCGTTGATGTAAGGGGTTTATCTCACTTACTTGACTTCCTTGAAGACAGAAGGATCTTGTTGAATACCCATAGCTGTCAGCTTCTCGGTACGGTAGTTTTCATAGAGAACATCGTTGGTGAATTCTTTGAGTTCTTCCATGTGTGTACTAATCATCACATTGGTTAACATGCATTGTCCATCACACGAATAAGCGCTTACTCACCGGATCAACATTTGACGAAGCTTGACAAAATCACAATGCTCTTCGTTATCGACCTCAATGACACCCCAAGGATATTTACGGCCACGAACACGGCGACCACCTTCAATCTCGAATTCTTTATCAGAGCCTACAACAGCAAAGGGAATCTTGGACATGATTTCACGATTCTCAGCAATTGTCTCTTGATCATCGTACTCGTAGACAGGAGCTTGGTAGATTTGGATTTTGTGGTAGGCAATATCAGCCAAAATACGTTCCTTGAAGGCAGCAACTTCTTCCTCTGTCAAGGTATCAGCCTTTGCAATTACAGGGATCAAGTTGACACGAGTGTGAAGACGACGCATAAATTCGATATCCAAAGGCTTCAAGGCATGACCAGTGGGAGCGATAAAATAGAGACAAGCATGAATGCGATTGTCCACCATGCGACGACGGTTAACACGATTCTCTTGTTCAAGATAAGCATCACAACGAGCTTCAATATTGTCTAAAATAGGTTTCCAGCTAAATTTGAAAAAAGTTGGTACAACGTACAATATATGAAAACGTGCTGTATTACCTTTCTTCGTTATTCACAAAATCACCAAAACCAGGTGTATCTACAACAGTCAATCTCAACTTGACACCGTTCTCTTCAATATCAGATGTAATGGATTGAACTTCGACTGTTTGTGCTGTTTCATGAGACAGTTCAACGGCCTCCTTGGGAGGGTAGAGTTGCGTGTTGAACAAGGTGTTGACCAAGGTTGATTTACCAAGACCAGATTCACCTAATGAGGGGGGGATAGATGTGATTAGAACCCAGTGCTATCCCTTTCACCACACTCTCTGCTTCCATCCCACTCTGTCATGTCCCTTCTCAAAATGTGCCCTTTGTTGAGATGTCGATACAACTCCTGCTTTTATACATATACGATGCCCTTTCCCCTTGCCTAAATGCCCCTATATCAGCCAACAAATAACTTACCAACTACCATGGCGGTGAATTGAAAGCCTTTCTTTACAGATTTGCGATGCACTTGGTTGGGAAGGTTGGCAAAACCAACATAGCCTTGGAGCTTTTTACGTAGAACAGTAATCTATATTATTGGATGTGATTAGTCTCTCTATTGACAACATTGTTATATTACTGAAATCATACACCAGATGGGCTGTTGTTTTGGTCTGTTTAAAGCGATGAGTTAATTAAAAATTAATAACGTTTGTTTCATTAGCAACTTACCAGACATTCTTTATATTTTGAGCAAGTGTAGATAAAAAGAAGCAAAAAAGAGGTAAAAGAAATAAAAAAAGAGAGAAAGAGAGTGCAAAAAAGGGGGGGGAAGAAAGGGCGGATATATAGAAATCAAGGGCAACACACACAAAAACTAGCAGACTATTAGGAGAGCACAAAAATTAAGGGACCTCCATTTAGGAGCTCTCTTTTTATGAGGATTTCGCAGGCAAGAAACCAAATCACAATACCTTTTAATAAGTGGGGAGTTTTTAATGTGCTTGTGTCCTGGTGCTACGATTGTGTACCAACTTGACACGAGTCCTTGTTCGAAAAAGAAGATCATCGTCCTCGTCATTGAATGCATTTGAGCAGTTTACAAGAGTGAAATGTCTTTTCTTCCTGTTTTCAAGCATTCAAAAAGCTTACAATGCAAATAGCATGCGTCTGACATTAGAGCATTGCAGCACAAAAACTAGCGTCCTACCAAAAAGATCGACACATGCTCTTAGTAGCATCCCAATGCGCCAGATCGAGTCTCTGCCAAACAACAAGAATCCAAAATCACAACCATCATGTAATTTGAAATGCATTTATTTTAATCGCTATCACTGTCTGTATCTCCCTCTGATCCATGTACTTTGCTAGACCATTTCTTGGTCTTTTTCGCATTTCTCTCCTTGATCACCTAGAAAGTCTCGTGAATATCAAACGCAGGCCACACTATTCCATCATCTTACCTCGTTGTGAATCTTCTTTTCCAAGCTACTAGACCTTAAAGCACTCTTCATGATTTGTACATTGCGCTTCAATCTCTCTTCATTTGATAGAGCCTCTGCATTTAATTTGTCTAAATAATCCTCCATATGTCAATATTCTCTCTAAAACAAGGCTGGGAGAGCTATTACCTATAGGGTTCTCTCGCTTCTCGATTTGCTCTTGTAATAAACGGGTTTTCTGATGTCTTCCATAACGGATTTCATGCTTCACCTTTTTGATGCCTTTGTTTGTTTTGGGTAATTTGATTTTTTGGCTCTTTTTAGGGGTATCAGCGTCGTTTTTCTTGCTCGGTGAAGCAGTGAGTAATTCTAATGATTGTCGAGCTAAACGTGAGGACATGGTGTGTTGTGTGTAAAATGTCAAAAATACAAAAGAGATGCAATCCCAAATGTTTTCTACCCACACCTGAAAAAGAAAAAATTTATAGAGGCTTAGATTGTCATTTATGCCGCTTTTGTCTGATTTTTGCAAGCAGATGTAATTAAAGCTGGATCAAATATGGTATATAGATGCTCTAGCAGGATCTAAATTACGTCTATCAATTAGAGCTAGATACTCTGGTAGTTTGTATGGTAGTGCTTGCCAATTTTTGTCAAATGCTACGTTGCAATTCGAAATCAAATTCGGTACCTGAAAATGCCAAATGTAAGGTTTATATACTTGAAGGCATCCTTAAGAGCATAGTTACTCTCACTGAATGAAAAAAAAAAAAAAAAGGTTTGCAGACCGTGTATACATTTATGACTACGTGAAAGACGTATGAGTACAATATTTTATGTGATATCGCAAAGACTTGTATGAAAACTAGCGCGCAGCCATCAACATTGGCACCACCTTTGACAAAATGAAAATTTTTGTGGCAAACTGGCGAACAATCCATCATTGCGCTAATACCATATCGTAGCATGATACATGTTTAGCCCCTAGACACTTTTACAAGTCTAATATAAAAAATGAGTTGTCAGACATTTGCCAGGCATGGCTCATATTGTATATGATTAGTGATTTTATATCAGATCGCTATCAATCAACATACAAACTTCTTCTAACATTTTAGCTATTATTATTAATTTTGCGATATTAGCCAAAGGTCCACGGCAGCGCGAGCCACCTGAACGTAGGTAGGCTTCCATCAAAGGAAAGCGTAAGACAGGAAGCCACCCAAAGAGACAAAAAGGCTCATCGTAACGTAATAAATCTATGGTCCTCAGACACTTTCACAGCCTCAAAAAGGAAAGAAGTTGATCTAACAATTATTTTGATAGACTGACGTTATTAGATATAGAATTTAAGAAAGATAGAATGACTAACGGTAGTGCTACGTAAGTTGCCACCCACTTTCCATATGCTTCAAAAGCATCTATTACTGTATTGCCTTTCATGATGAAAGGGCATTGAGTTTGCCAGCCATTCCCACCAGCCGCCAAAACTAATTCTAACTCAGATGTTTTTTTTCCTCAACATTGGCCAGATTTCGCCTTTTTTCGACTTGATTGAACTATTCTGCTAGATTCGACTATATAAAATGTGATAGACAGCCCGTACTTCCTAATACGCCCCTGGTGGTAGGGCGAAGTGGTAGAACTCCCGTATGCCAACGGGAGGATCCCCGGTTCAAATCTTGGTGAACGCAAGTTGTTTGATTTTTTGAGGTAGTACTGATGTCCTCGTTTGGTGTTTTGTACTCTTATCCATGATCTATATTTTGACGATTTCCGTAAGACTGTACTGGCTCTAGGAGTCGCACCTTATTAGTAGTAGATTTCTTTCCCAACTTAGTTCAAAAATATCTTATTCCCCTTCATTGCAGACATTGGGTCCACCAACAGTCTTTTCTATCCCTCAGTATGACATTTAAAGGACTTTAAATAAAACCTGGAGCTCGTCTCCCCCTAAAAAAAAAGTACTTCCTAATACATTCTTGGGATACATTTCAAGGCGCATCGAATGATGGTGCTTATGGCAGATGTTTATAATAAACGCATCGAGCAATATCAAAAAATATGAAATGAGGTTTCTAGCAAAAATGTCAAAAACTTACATATAAAAGATACACAAACGACGTTTCAAGGGTTGCTTTGGATCGATAGCAACATTTTGATGTAATACATACCATAGTAAAAGTCATCATCTTCAAGGTAAAAAAAAAATGCGATTGTTTGATTTTCGATGAAAACCATGAGGGATACCTCATGCTTTTTGGTCCCCAAAAAGTTGAGCAAGGGTGGCAGGAAGTTAGTGCTAGATGAAAGCAATGGTTTGATACTATTCTGACGGCCTAAAACGGCCTTTAACACAAGAAATCACGGCTCAAATGCATCTAAAATACGCTGTGTTTTGCGCACAATCGAGTAATAAAGGGTAATGCGTGTATCAGATCGTTGAAGGCCACTTCCATCCAAAGTAAAATGGAGTCAAGCGAGCCATGTAATCATTGTCTGACATATCAATATGCTCGCCGTCTCCATCCGTCCATGGTAACCGGGATTTTGTTGAAATGAAATATATGACAACGAAATATACAAAGATACAGCCATTTAGCCAGGTCATCCTTGGCTGTAGCATCATTCAGCGTACCAGAACAAGCCCAGCCAACATAGACGCAAAGACTCATGTTTGACATGAGGCAAAACTACAGCGTGCATAGTCCCCAACACCTACATATGCGAGCTTAGGCTTTGATGTACTTATATCTGCATGGCAAGATAAGCTGCCTCCTTCGGATCCAAAGAGCTTATCAAAAGCAGCTAATACATCCAATCCGAATTATTGATTTCCATAGCAGTAAACTTATACCCTTTGCATCTCATATCGACATTTATAATTTCCTGGGCAAATACAAGATTTTATTGATATAAAATAAGCAATGTTTAATGTGTACTCATATCAGGCACACGCATTTAATGTGTATTGTATAGTTTTTCATTTTATTTATTGTAAAAAAATAATGGTCTCTCTTGGTTGCTTTTACAAAAAGCTTACAGGTTGAACCACGAGAAGGTGGAGACCAATCTCAACCCAAAAAGTGAAAGTAGGCATGGGGGAAGGGAAACACATGACAACACAGAAGACTTATTACAGAAGACTTATTACAGAAGACTTATTACAGAAGACTTACTACAGAAGACTTATTACAGAAGACTTACTACAGAAGACTTATTACAGAAGACTTACTACAGAAAACTTATTACAGAAGACTTACTACAGAAGACTCATTCCAGAAGACTTACTAGAGAAACCCTCACACCAAAGACACGAAACTCTCAAAAGACAAAGTACCAAAGACTTGAAAACCTCAGAGTGTGCCCTTAAAAAATCCCCCATGCGAAAGAATAAGACCAAATAAATATAAATATCTATATACTAGGACCAGAGAGAGCCAGAGAGAGCCAGAGAGAGCCAGAGAGAGCCAGAGAGAGCCAGAGAGAACCAGAGAGAACCAAAAGTATCCAAAGAGAACCAAAAGTATCCAAAGAGAACCAGAGAGAACCAGAGAGAACCAAAAGTATCCAAAGAGAACCAGAGAGAACCAAAAGTATCCAAAGAGAACCAAAAGTATCCAAAGAAAGCCATCAAGTAGAATAGAACCAGTCTTGAAATACCATAAGCCTTGTATTGTGAACCACCCTGATTCAGAGCATGTTACCATCCGTTATGTGCAGACAAGACAAATATACTTACATGATCACCAGTCTTCTAGTAGCGTCTATTGTTTTTGAGAGAAAAAAAAAAAAAAAGATGAAGAAAAAGATAAAGAAAGGACGTGAGATAAAGAGAGAAATCTTCTACCTTTTATACCTTGATTACAGTAGCAACAATTTAAGGAGACACGCAAAAAACACTTCAAACGCAATTCTGAACGCTACTGGCATCCAGAGACAATGCAACTAATACCATTGGAATCGCCTTCAACTGCCCTACAATATGATATGCATTATTACTACTGTATACACACAAGATATGATATAAACTCATATGGTTTATTTCGTTTATTGATTAAACACAGTCAGCTTGTTTACATTTACATCTTGTATTCGGTTGATAACGGAAAGTGAACAATTTGATTCGCTTTGGATTTGAAAAGTTCGAGCAAAATGTAAACAATAACGGGTTCTTTATCAGTATAGTTTTGCAGTGATTGCAGTATATAAATTACATGTATTCACTATTTTATATGTACAAGCAGAGCTGTCAAAGTTCTGGTGCTACTGTCACCAACAGGATATGCTCTTACTTCTTTGAAAAGAATGTAGGCAAGTTGCACGGAAAACAAACAAACAAAAAGTCATCGTTCAATTAGAGTGAGCATATTGGTAGTAGTGCAAGCAAACCCATTTGAAGCTATATTTTACAATGTGTATCCAAGTAAAAGGCAATCTTGATCCGCTGCTTTTGGGCCTGTAGAACACTTGGGTGACATGACGCCGCCTCAAAATACAGTATTTGCATGATTCTTAAAAAAGTGTGTATGTATAAACCAGTTGTCTGTCTTCGTTAGTGCTCAGTAGAAACCTCACATGTATTTCATAATTAGTATTGCCATCTATTTGCTAAAAATTCCTAGTAACAGGAGATGTGATGGCCCTTACACTTTAATAAAATGGACATTTGGCATTAGGTTCCCAAGCGTATATGGTATTATAGCATTGCCTTAGTGGCTGCTATAGTATAGCCTAGTAGTGGTATCTCAATGTACAGTACATCAAACCTCAAGTGCCATTTGCAATTTTGAATAGCAAGAAAGTTTGCGTTTCATATTAGGCCATTTATTTGAATATGTAATAAACAATGATTAATCCGAGTGTCAGAAACAAAATGTGCTTCAGAATCAGGCAAAAGTAGAGAGAATAAGCTACTATAATACTTTTTTCAAATTGCAATCCTCTTTATATTAGCTTCAAGATCGTAGATTACATTGATATCAGAAGCACTCAAAATCAATTGAATTCTCGCTTAACGTCTATTCCAGATTGGACAGATTTTGATCTAAAAACGACTCGGTTGATCTATTTTGCAGAATTGGACTATATTAGATGCGATGATCATCTTATACTTTCTAATGCATTTCTGGAGTGCTTTTCAAGGCGCATCGAATGATGGTGCTTATGGCAGATGTTTATAATAAACGCATCGAGCAATATCAAAAAATATGAAATGAGGTTTCTAGCAAAAATGTCAAAAACTTACATATAAAAGATACACAAATGACGTTTCAAGGGTTGCTTTGGATCGATAGCAACATTTTGATGTAATACATACCATAGTAAAAGTCATCATCTTCAAGGTAAAAAAAAAAAAATGCGATTGTTTGATTTTCGATGAAAACCATGAGGGATACCTCATGCTTTTTGGTCCCCAAAAAGTTGAGCAAGGGTGGCAGGAAGTTAGTGCTAGATGAAAGCAATGGTTTGATACTATTCTGACGGCCTAAAACGGCCTTTAACACAAGAAATCACGGCTCAAATGCACTCAGATTTCGCTATATCAGGGGAATTAAGGACTAAAAAGAGGAAATACCAGTATGATGCTTGTCCGTATAGGAAGTAACTAAGTGTATAGGGATGCAGAGCATCACATAAAAATTAGACCCACATATAATATGAAGGATTTTCATGTGTAAGTGGAGGGTCAACATGAAAGTAGCAGTATTTTGGCAAGATACGCAAGGGCCATTGGTAGCGCCGCTGTGGAGGCTGGTTCTCACCGAAGCGAAACGAAGGTAGAGCCACCCGAAGCATAAATACTCGTTTATATTAATTCAATTATGTCTCTTGTATGGTTATTGTTGGTACAAAAACCTTGGTAAATATAGTGGTTTAAAAAGAGTGTTTTACTATTATTGGCAGTTTCTTGCCGAATCCGCTTATTCTGCATTCCAATGTTGGTTTTTAAGCATTCAAGCAATGTTATTACCTGTCTACATCATATGCGAGATAATTGGTGATATGGCGCATACTAAATGTAGAAAGTGACAGGCAACATTTCCGCCTTCGGATTTAGACAATTCAATGAGGTTAGCTTACAATTCTTAACATTGAAGCACCCCTGTGATCTATTTTTGATCTGCTTTGAAAGATAAGTGTCAAATATAGCATTCACAAGCTACATTGGATACAATCAACATCCAATGATAAGCACTACTACGGGTATTTATTAACTAATACCCCCCCCCTGGATGTAAACTGCGATCCTGACCAATGGAGCAAACTCAAATATTACAAAGCGTCGACAAACGCCTGTACAGGTGAGACATGATCAATTACATGACCGTAGATTGTTGAGAACTTTAACTGTGCCTTTTGTCATTTTTCCATCTGACGTCCTAAAATACCTTGCTTTAAAACAACCTTTTCGGATGGCATCCGAGTTGAAATATACACCATGTATTTGATGAAACAGGCATACGATTGCATTATCTAGAATGGCTCGGTGATACAATACCGACTATTGTTGCTGTTTAGCGTGATTGCATAGCAGACGATGGAATTCTCGATAAAATGGAGACACAATGACTAAACTATTGTCAAGTTCACATCGGCCTCCTTTCCGAGTTGTTAGATTTTTCGATCTTGTCTGCCAAATGATTTGAGCAATTTTTCTTTCCTTCTTTTCGCTCCTTTAAAACAATATATATATGCTGTTACTAAACGTTTACTGCTTTGTGTACCTGATTGACGCCTCATCCGCGTATTTCTGGCACTGTGTGTGGAGTGTCTTGTTCGTACCACACAGCAATCAGTAAGCATTTACAAATTGTGCTATGACCAAGCCCTTCTGATTACACACGGCGGGTTTCCAACCATATAAAGTCGATATGTGAAAAAATGCTGGGGATAAACATTCCATTTTCCATAATTTAGGTTCCAAATGGCTTCTCGTATAGCAAGAAATAGCGTCAAAAGTGTACGTTCCAGGGCTCAAATGGACGGCGATGGCGCCAAAGGTAAGTTTCTGCATACAATTACTTGCTATAAGGCTAATTGCCGCCTTGTCCATAGTGTATCGTAGTATTGGCACTGCTGCTTTGCGTGATCTTGATCCATTCTTGATGCTGGACGAATTTGATGTCCATGCTCCTGGCGGATTTCCAGATCATCCCCATCGCGGATTTGAGAAGGTAATCTACATGTTGGAAGGCGAGTTTCTGCACGAGGACTTCAAGGGCCACAAGGGACGCATTGGACCAGGAGATCTTCAGTAGATGTCAGCAGCACGCGGCATTGTTCATACAGAGATTCCAGCAACCAAAGATTGAGCTCATGGTCTTCAACTTTGGGTCAATCTGTCTAGCAAAGATAAGCTTGCCGAGCCTAACTACCAAGAGCTTCCCAAGGAACAAGTGGCACACGTTTCGCCTGAGCCAGGCGTAGATATCAAAGTCATTGCAGGATCCTCCAATGGCACAGTCAGCCAAGCTTTTACAAGAACACCAACCATGTTCATCGACGTCAAGATGAAGAAAGGCAAACATATGGAGCAAGAGATCCCGCCCAACTATGCTGGATTCATCTGCACCATTGAGGGATCAGCGAAATTTGGAGGCACGGAGCATTTATCCGAGGCTCACCATACATTAGTTTTGGATAACAACCAAGGCAATTTCATTCCAGTTGAATCAGTTTCTGATGATACACATTTTGTGATTATTGCTGGCCAGCCAATCAATGAACCCATTGTTCAACATGGTCCCTTTGTCATGAACACACAACAAGAGAGCATTCAAGCGGTTTCTGACTATCAACAAGGCCGCAATGGATTCGAAGGTGCTCCTGGTTGGTCGTCATCGATCCAAAACAAATGGGATGCTCACCATTAGTTTTCCTTTTTCCAACCTGGAAACGGCATTCTAAAATGTGGATTTGGAAAATTAGAAAACACTAGATGCATTTTTTTTTTCTAGAGATTTTTAGTATAAAATAGCTCCAGAATTGCCCAAAGTGATCATATTGGTTCCTTTTTTTTTTTTTTTTTCTTGAAAAATCACATCTCAAAGTCAGCGTTTCATGGATTATTTATAGTAATGGTCAGAGCATCAAAGAGACAGAAATCACATAAAAAGTGAGTTGAGTTGCAACATGACCTGCGTGGCCGGAAATGTTGATTTTTTGGTGGTTGATTTGTAGTTACAACGACGACGACGACGACGACGATTACATAGCAACCAAAGCGAGCACATTGAAAAGAAAGTGTATAGATGATGATAACCACATGAATCAAGAGCAACAGGACGAACAAGAGGTTTTTTTTGTACATTGGCCATGTCTGTAAATCAGCGATTAACTGTGGCATTTAGGGGTCTAAAAGATATCAAGATACAGATCCGAACCAATGGATCTACCAAAAGTTAGATATGGCTCTAGACAAGATACACACAATGACACAAGAGATCACACAGCTTGTATCTCAGGTGGGAGACTTGAAATCTGAGATGCAGGCCATCAAGCTATCGATCCACAACAGCAAATATGCCATTGCAGACGATTTCAGCCATTCGACTTCTAATGAAGGTAGCACAGTTGATAGTCCAATACAAAATGCGCAAATTCCCAAAAGGGGGCACATGAGTACGACGTCAACAACTGAAGAGAATGTGACCAAAGGGCCATTCCCAAAGTATGAGCCCATTGACAGAGTTGTGCCGCGGCCCTCAACAAAAGAGCTTACCAATTCAATCGGAGGAAAATCACATAGCTTACAGTTTACCTGCAATCTTTACATTGATTTGATCACCAAGGTACTAGGCCCATCGTCAAAAACTGGTTTAGACTACAAGGCGATGGTGAAAGAAGCCATCTTAATCACGAAAGCCGTTTTATCTCACATCAAAGAGGCCAACAATATCGATCCTGATCTGCGTTGGAGTCGATTAGATCCTACCGTCAAGCTGGACGCCTATAGAAAACTAGAAGCAGCTACCGAACATTTGTTGCCACTGAAGGTTTGCTCCGAGTTTTGGGGAGCTCATGTATTGATTAGCAATTTCTGGCTCAAACGCAAGAAAAAGAGTAGCAGTAACGATAAGAGCAATACCACTAATACGCCAACATCACATCACAAACGAAAGAAACTCGCCACACCCTATATGGATGCTGACACACATACACTACCACCACCACCACCTGCTTTACCTTCCACCTCACATGATTCCACTACCACAACTAACGCTACCCAATACGATGCGAAAAGACAAAAGCCGAAAGCCTTTAGTATTCCATTCTTGACACATCAATAAACCCTTCATTTTATTTCTGCTTTTTTCAGTTGCTTAATGCGATATTTCTCCTTTTTTACTTTATCTGAATCAGCTAAAGGCCTATCTTTCAGAGGTTTGTAATGGCTTGTTCTGATGGATTTACCAGCACCAAGCAGAATTGTTGATTGCTCATACTCTGGGTGGTCCTTGAATGTTGGCATGGCTTCTATTTCATCGATGCACGTTTTATATAGTAGGCTTTTGATGACATGCTCTGTCCGAAACTGGTTAAAATGTCGCCATGTCCTCACGGGTGTAGGTATCTTGACGTCCTTCTCCTCATCTTGGTTGGCGTAAATCCATTGAATGCCATCAAATTCACAATCGTACAATAATAGCGGTAAATCACTGGCCATTGGGTATTCAGGTCTTGCGGGAAACGTGTTGATGTCCAGCAATTCTCGAACAATCTCTGGTTTTTCCAATGTCTGCCCCACCAGAAACAGAATCGCCATGATACACCTCACTTGGTGCCACAAGAATGCTGTTCCTTTGAGCTCTACCTGATAGAATTCATTGTTACTGGCAGTAGTGGCAGGCTTGATGTCTAATGAGACCACCGTGCGCTCGTAATTGGTTATGTTCTTGGATGGATCCAAGCGGCAAAAGTTTCTGAAATCGTGCGAACCCATCATGAAACTAGCCGCCTTCTGCATCAATTCTAAATCCAAGGTTCCCTTCTGGAAAAAATACTTGTATGTGCGCGATTTGCAGTCAAATCTTGCGTTAAAGGACGGGTCAACAGGCGCCCAAGCCAAGATGCGTATATCGTCTGGCAGCAGTCTGTTTAGAATTTCAATGTAGGGTAATGACGCTGTGGACAAAGATGAAGAACCGAGTTTGCTGTGGCTGCTTCGAACATTCAATGCAATCACTTGTCCCAGGCCACTCACGCCCTTGTCAGTCCTGCCGCATCGAGTAAAGTTGCATTGATCTGGATGTGTGATTAATTTGCACGACTGAAGCGCTTTGAATATCTGTCCTTCTACTGTAGGCGTCTTGATTTCGTCTCCTTGTGCTGCAAATCCAGAGTAGTTCCAGCCTAAATAAGCTACCTTTAGCGCAATGCGTTGCTGGCTGTATTGTGTCATGTCAAACGGCCTGCTCTTGTCATGTTTGATGGGGTATTTCGCGGTCGATAATTGATCTTCAAGAGCTTTTATTTTGGCAATCAGTTGCGGTCGAGAGAGAGTGTCGTAATTGGAAGGTACAAAGTGTGCTGTATTACTGCTGCGAATGCGAAATAAGTTCTTCAGCCATTGATTCATCGTTGACAGGGGAAGAAAACGAGAGAAAGGGGTGTGTGTAATTGAGATGGCGGCCAAGATTGTAATCCTCCTACACTCCTCCCACCCCTCGCATTTAAAAGTCCATGCATAAAGATGATGCGATGCTGGACACAAGCCTACCATTTATCTGTTGTATAGCTAATTGTATCCGTGTTGATATACTTGATCCCAATAGAAAACAGCTCATATTTCTCGATAGAAGCCTGCGTCACCTCACTGCAGTAAAACATAATCAAACATAGCGTGGTGAAAAGGCGACATTACAAATAAAATTAAAGTGTATAAGATGGTTTACTCGAACAATTTATTCAATACTGGTGATTAATAAATGGGTAATAATGGTAAAAGGATGATATGATATCCCATTGTAGAGCAGGGTACAAATTAGCGACGCAAGGCCTTGGCATAACCGCTCTCATTGACTTCATTTTCATCAGCCTCCTCCTCATCAGGCTCGTTTTCATTCTCGTCAGCCTCATGCTCATCAGCTTCATTCTCGTTTTCATCAGCTTCCTTTTCATCAGGCTCGTTTTCATTCTCGTCAGCCTCATTTTCATCTTCTTCCTCCTCATCAGGCTCGTTCTCACTGCGACGGTGTACACGGCGAGCAGCACGGGCAAGATCTCTACGAGACAAGACGACACGCTTTGAGTTGGCAACATTGGCACGGAGATTTCCGAGGACATCATTGACCCTGACATTATTGGCGATACCGGAAGCAGTGTTGTGGGCCGCGACATCCAGATCAGAGACATGAACAGTGTCAGAAGCAGTAGTAGAGGCTACCAAGGCAACGAGTAAACCAAGAGAAATGTATTTGATTTGCATTGTATATGGATGAATCCAAGTGTTGTAGGATAAAGTTTATCTTTTTTAATGAAAATCTAGCTTCTTTTTATATTTTCTTCGCTCAGTGGGTTCATTATACGCTAGATTCATCCCGCTATCCTCATCAAGCGTATAGCAAATATGTAGGTACATGCTATCTCTTTGAAAGATAAAACAGAAATCTATTATCATTCAACCTGCATTATGTATTGGTGGATCCTTGTCTAATGGTGGTGATGAACAAGAAGCACTTGCTCTGATTTACAGTGCATTTGGACTAGTATACAGGGAGTGAGGGGGGGGGGGCGTTTGTATATGTATATGTATATGCGATTTGTCGTGTAAATTACAAACAGTATATGCTTATCTCGAAGTTGGTGATTCTCCCAAGAGGCAATGTGAGCAGAAATATTGAGCATAGGTTTGGTGAGAATAGCGTATGAAATGAATGATGCACACAGAGTTTATACACTTGTTTGAATATTTGCAATTGAGCGCTCCTGCAGTGGATTGATCTGATCGAAATGAATGCTTTTATACTATGTACTTTACGAATGTTTTTAAAATGAATACGTCGCTTCGATTATGTTCCTAAAATGCTGGGATGGATGAGTCGAAATGGGGCTCTTCAGATAACTTAAGGATTATATCAGATTAAGGGCGGTATCAAAATAGAACATGTACTTTGCAAGTTCAAGATTGCAAGAATTCTTCGCAAAGTATATGGATGCCTTGCAGTGGCTTCTGAATAAGAAAGGTGCCACATAATACTAGTTTAGCGACTGCTGCATTATGTGTCTGAGCCGTGTATCTGCGCTGTTTTGTTTGTCTTTGTACAACAATGCAGTGTACATCAATGCAATACTGGACGAGTGCTATTGTCAGTATACATAATAGTCGCAGTATTTTATTTGACATGGCGCAACTCACTCTTCTGAAAGGCCTCTTAATTGTAATTGCCCTTTGCTCACACATTATAACTTTGATACGTAATTGAATTTTCGATAGTAAGAAAGACATCAAAACCTTGCAACATATGAAAGATTTTACATCATGTTACAATCGCTTTTTATATTTCATAAGTATGAGTATAAACCTGCTTTCTAGTAACTGCTCGATTCTTTCGAGAAAAGATATGATCGAAAGCAACTTTTATTTTCAAGAATTAGCAAGTAAAAATCATGAAATTTTGGATATTTAAGGATTCTCTTATAGGCTATCTTATCTGACCTCACAGAATTAAAGCTTGTATGTACAATTGTTGAGCATTTACGTAAAAACTGCCCCTTTTTACAAGTGATCGCTAGAGTGTAATGGCTACTAGTCCAAGCAATTGTGGTCAACATATAAGCGCTTCAGAATAGCATCTCAGTATACATTTCTTAGTGGGTATGCATTTGCAACCAGCACCAGATAGATGATCGGATATAAATGTCATGCTCACCGTGGTAGAAATAGGAGGCCTTGGCTTGTGATTATATACTAGAGTAGTTGATATGGTGGATGATCTGCAGTGCGTCAAGATGGAATGTATGGAATCTGCATGCACCATGCAAGTTCAACAAACGTCTAGACTCAAAGAAACCTCTTAGTTTTCCATCTCTTGGAGTATGGGCCGATATACTATATGTCGATACATATGCGCATTTCACCATCATCAAAGCAATTCAATATACTAAATGCACAGCATCAGAATGACTCACTCGTTTGCTGTAAAGAACTTTGGTTCTCTCAAGTATCTCATACATATAGTGAAGCTGTATATGATTTTCTCTCATTTCCTACAAATCACAGTCTTGATTGCATATGCCTCCTCCTAAACTGCATTATTGTACCAGAATAGCTTTTGTATCATATAGATAGCAACGAGAAAACTATCGTGTATGGTTTCAAGTATAGGTGTGTAGGTTTATTAAAGTATTTACTGCTTGGAGTAGTGCATAACCCCAAAGAATACAGAGATTGCTGCGCGTATCCCATTTTGCCAAATTACATTTGTTCTTCTTCATCCTCATCCTCCTCTTCTTCATCCTCCTCTTCTTCATCAGCCTCGGGCTCTTGCTCAGCACGACGAGCAATGCGGGCAACCTGCTCGCCAGACAGGGCACTACGCTTCTTGTTGGCAACATTGACACGTGCATCATTGAGGACGTCCTTGATCTTGAGATTGTTGGCGATACACGAAGCAGTATTCTTGGCACTGACGTTGGTGTCTTCAACCTTGATGACACCAGCAGAAGCCATGGAAACAGCAGCCAAGAGTAAACCGACAGTAAGGAATTTGATTTGCATTTTGTATGATAGAGATGTGTTGTATTGAATGAAGAAAAGGCCCCTTGTAAGTTGAAAATCTTGTCTTTATATACTCTAGAAAAGAGTAGCACATGTTGTTTTGCAATGCCTTGACAAGCTGAAAGATCAGCATCCTCTTTATGTATAAATGTGTCTACTCCATAAAACAGGTTATCCCTTAAAAGCCTGTATAGCAACCGTATACATACAACAGCGGCTTTACTGTTGTCCTTTATTTGGCGGCAGAAGTTCATATATGATATCAATACATTGGATGGATCAAATCCATTCACCGTGAGTATACCATTTGAAATACTAGGCGGTTTAAGCTACTGAACATGACACCTTGTGATGGGCTTTTCCTCACAGTAGAAGCGATATTGATTATGTGTCAAATATGTACTCCTATTTACGTTTTGGGTAACTTCCATCAAGCATTGCAGTGCCTGTATATCGTCATGTTTGTAGTGTTGCGCTTAAATGCATAAATGATACATTATTTTAGGAGATCAAGCTATATGTACTACCAAACGTGCTTTTTGATATAATGGTAGTTTATTTGAACAATTTATTATGATGTTGTAACAATGTAAATTAAGTGTATTAATGTGTAAGAATAAAATGGTATAATATGATTTAAATGAGAGCGTCAGTGAGCCCGTCAGTAAGTCCACCACTAGATGATGCAGTACCAGCAGTATTCGCTTCACAACCTGAACCCAACAAGCCTCCGCCACCAAGCAAACCGCTGGCAAGATCACGCTTTGATAATTTGGAGACAGTTTGTTCATCAACCTCGTCCTCATCCTCGTCCTCATCTTGCTCCCATTCACGACGACGCATGGCTTTGCTAGCACTGCTTTCATCGACTTCATTCTCATCAGCCTCTTCTTCATCAGCTTCATTTTCGTTTTCGTCCTCTTCTTCTTCATCACGCTCGTTTTCGTTTTCATCGGCCTCGTCCTCATCCTCTTCTTCTTCATCACGCTCATTCTCGCTACGACGATTATGGCGGTGATGATGCATGTGGCTGACGGTGCGAGCAACCTTTCTGCGGGACAAGACACTGCGCTTCTTGGAGGCCACATTGACATTGAGATTGTTAAGTACATCCTCGACCTTGAGATTGTTGAGGAGACAAGAGCCAGTGTTGTGAGCTCCTACGTTGGTATCAGAGACTTTGACAGTATCAGCAGCAACCAAAGTGGCAGCAAGAGCGATTAAACCAACAGAAAGAAATTTAATCTGCATATTATTTGTATGGTTTGTTTTTGAAGGAAAACGTTTATTTTGCTTGATTGCTTATATATACAACTGGTGTACGATGCTACAGGGAGATCTATGGTTCAAGAGTCAATATGCTTTTGTTGAATTCGTCGCTTGTTTCTTTGATTTACAGTTGATTCTATCATCAATTGATCTGCATTAGTGAACAAGCACAGAGCCATTTTGATCTGCATTGCTCATGCGTATCAGCTTAAACATGCTGCGGTCCTTTGCTCCTTTGCTGTGATTCCATCGATGATCAATTTGAATACTGGCTAATCAAAACATTGAAACATGGGTACAAGGAATCTAGAGGCACATCTCTCGATCGCTGGATTGCAATGTGGAAAATAGAGTGGCTACGATAGTATCACTGCAATTGCCTATCAATATGTGTGGCATCGATGTCTTTTATGGCTGATTGTTATACCACCAATGATTTAATACTTCTCTCTCAATGTGCGTTCCTGAATATATCTCTGACAAGCGCAAAACGGATGCCTCCTTGATGCAAGCAACTCACAGAGTAAGTGTGCCCCTTTGCTTACATGATCGACTTTGTTGTAGGGTAGATTTACTAATAAGTGAATTACATTTATTATATTTAGAGTAGTGTACATTGATTGATACATATAGTGCATTCTAACGTCTTCCCTTACGCTTCCAGTACACCAAAGCGCCAAAGCAGAATACATTGAATACAAAGAAAGCGATAATGATGCCCAAGTTTCTCCACTTGTGTGCAGCACTCCAGCCAAATGTAGTCGAGTAGAATTCCTCGCCACTATTGAAGGAACAGTAACCACACAATTCAGGCTGAACAGCGTCTGGATTGTCAATATAACCAGGAGCTCCGTACGAAAAGAAGTTATTGGTATAGTCTCGACATGTTTGATTAGGAGGAGGGAGGAACTAATGTCTAGATGTTAATAATGCGTTGATAACGTGACCACAAAGTGTAATATACCTTGAGTAGATCCTTGTCAGTGCAATGCACATTGATGTGCGATAGTTCGTTAGTAGCCAGACCTTCGATAAAGTAGTGGAACGGATTAAGCCAGTACATCCAGCTGCTCCAGAAGCGAGGCATTGCCTTCTCAGGCTGCATAAAACCAGCAAACAAGATGAGCATGGAGATGACAAGTGGGTTGATCACAGCAGCCATGGTAGGGTTCTCAGCAACAGATGCAATGACAAAGCCCAAAGTGACAGCCCAAAAGACAAAGAAGATCAAGACCAAGTAAAAGTAGCCTACTGCCTCCGAAGTGTTTGTCAAGCCTGCAGTCCAGTAAAAGCCAAACATAAAGAAGGCTGCCAAGAATAGGATATAGGGGATTTCAACCAGAATGACCGAAATGGTAAACGGTATCCAGCCATAAAAGCGAGACGCGTACTCTCTGCGGAAATACAGACGTTCTGTCATAAATTTGGGCTGTGCAAGAATGATGAGGATATTGGCCATCAAAAAGGACGAGAACAGAGCAAACAAGCGACTCTGCAAGTCAGAAACACTGTTTCCCAGCTTCCAGTAGGTAAAACCAGTGAGCAAAGAGGTAAACATAATGGTAGTAAAACGGCCAATGTTGTAATCGGGTGATCGCCAGTAAGCCAAAGCCATGCGCTTATGAACAAGCCAGAATTGAGTCCACATGGGTGTGGCATAGGTGAGTGCATGTCTCTGAGGGTTTTGGTCCGCATTTTGGTGTACTGACTCAAGCTCTTGCTCCAACTGCTTGGCTTCCTGTGAGTGCTCCCATACCTCGGCCCAGTCTTGCTTGGCTTTACCCGCCGTACCAGCACCAACCACCTCCAGGATATATTCAGCAGGATTAGCAGCAGGCGAACACTTGGGACCACCATTCTTTTCAAAATAGTCAATCATGATACGAGCATCTTCACCAATCTCGCCATGGTAAGCAGTACGTCCTCCACGCACAAGAAGCAACAGATGGTCAAAGTGATCAAACAAGATGGCAGAGGGTTGATGAATGGTACAAAGCACAGGCCAGCCAGCATCCGCCAATTTACGAATGAAGCGAATAATGTTGAAAGAGGACTGAGCATCCAGACCAGACGTAGGCTCATCCAAGAACAGCAACTGAGGCTTACCTACTAGCTCCATGCCAATAGTCAAACGTTTGCGCTCTTCCACAGAGATACCAAAGCCGTGATCCACTTCTCCCACTTGAGCATCAGCAATGTCTTCCATTTCAAGCAAATGAATGATCTGTTCAACATAGCTGTCCTTTTCGTGTTGAGGTGTGTCATAGGGTTGACGCAGATTAGCAGAGAATTGGAGAGCTTCGCGCACAGTAACTGCTGGCTGATGAATATCCATTTGCTCACAGTAGCCAGTAATACGCTCAAAATCATTGATCAAGGCTTCACCATTGAGATAAAGGCGGCCATCCACCTTACCAATGGTCTTGCGCTTGGCCAGTACATCCAAAAGAGTAGTTTTACCAGCACCAGAGGAGCCCATTAGCGCTGTCAGGTTACCCGGCCTGACGACGCCAGAGATGGAATTCAACAGTTGGAGTTCGCCGCCTTTGATGGGCACTGAATAGTTGACATTTTGCCATGAAAACGTAGTGCCATTAGAGATTTGCTCCATGGTCTCGACTTTATTTGCTTGCTTGCGACGCTGGTCTACGATTTCCTCTTGTGAACGAGCCTTGGGAGCCTTGCCTGGGACATAGAGCTTTGTGAGAGAGCCAATCTTGTTGACAGCACGGAATTCCATGGCCAAAGCAGTAAGCACAGTAAACAGCAGAAAGAAGCCTACCACAGCAACAAAGTCAGGTGCCCATAAATGTCTCGCATCCCACTGAAGCTTGGTAATCAGGTAATCGTCACCAAGCACAAAATTCTGTCCAGGATGACCGCCTGTCATGGTGCACACCTTGTAGTCCCAGAGGTCATAGCCTGGACCATACGGCACCGAGTTGCCAGCACCTTCACACGAGTATTCTTGGCCCTTCATCTCGTTAATCAGCAGTGTCTTGTAGCCATAAGCGATAGGACTGATCCAGTAGATCCAGTACAACCAAGGATGCATGTCAGGATACGGGATCACGTAGCCACAGTAAGTGATGGTTGAGATAAAGACGACGCCAGCAAATTGAGTAGCAAAAAAGAAGCTGGATGTGATGGCACCAAACATTCTGAAGAAGCCATTCATGCACATATTGACAAAGAATAACGTAATAAAGAAGGTAAAGAATCTGCCAGCGCTTAAATTAAGGCCCATCAAGAAGTAAGCACATAATTCAAACAACAGCACTATAGACATTGAATGAGTATACAATTTTTAAAGTGTGTAAAGGGTCAACATACCTTGAACAAGTGCGTACGGAATATCCATGACCACCTGAGCAATATAGAATGCAGAGGGTCGATAAAGTGCATACTGCTTGTGTTTCTCCAATATAGGCCGGCCCATTAGGAAATTCACCAGCTCGGTCTGTGATACTAGCGCATTGAATAATACGCTGAAGAAAACTGCGCCAGCTCTCGAAAACGCACTGCTTCCATCTTTTGGCAGGTTGTAAAAGCAAGAAGCTGTAATCAGAGATTGAATCAAGATGGTACCATAACGAGAGATCAGTGCTGGCATGTCTTTAATCAGGAGATGGTATTGTCGGATAGTGAGTGCCTTGACTTGTTGGTAAAAGGAGGCAATGAACGGGGATCGATTGGAAGCACGCTTTTGATGCTCTTGATTCATGGCCTCTTTGAACGTCTCTGAGGGTCGTTCCTTTTCTATCAGCTCTTGGTATGCTTGCAGTTCTTGCATCATGGCTTGGTACATGGGCGAGGCGTAGAACACAGACTGAAATTGCTCGCCGCACACCGGCACTTTGTCTTCGTAGCCTTCTCTGATTTCACGCTCCAATGGGTTACAGATACCAGTCAGGAAATCAGGTGTTGATTTGCGAGGAGGACAATAGAAGCCAAGGTCTTCAAAGTACTGCTTGGCAGACGCAACCGGACCAAAGTACAGACAGTAGCCATCATCTAAGAGTATCACCTTGTCAAACAGATTGAATATGCTGTTGGAAGCTTGATACAATGTAGCCACTGTGGTCTTCTTAAAGACATCTGTCATGATGCGGAGCGATCTAACAAAATCCAGGGCAGACGCAGCATCCAAGCCTCGTGTTGAGCAATCCCAACAATTGATGGTGCTTTGTGTCGTCATTTGCTCTGCAATGGAGAGTCGCTTTCTTTCACCACCTGATAACCCACGGAAGAAGGGGTTTCCTACCATGGTGTCCATCTGCTTTGTCAGTCCCAGCATATTGCCCAGCATATACAAAATCTTGTTGATAAACTCCTTTTTGGATTCATTGGGTAGACGTGTGCCTGGTGTCTTTGTACGTAGTGCGAATTGCAGTGTCTGTTTAGTTGTGAGTGTGGGGTAATGTTGATCTTCCTCCGAGTTATAGCAAGTCTGACCATGGAAATACTTTGCAAATGTATCATGATCGAATCCGCCATAGCTCACAGTTCCCTTGATATCGGTAAACGAGCTTCGCATGTTGGAGATGATACGCAGCAAGGTAGTACATCCTGATCCAGGTCTTCCGAGCAGAAGAAGCATTTCTTGATCTTTACAGAATCCAGACAGATTCTTCAAAATCACTTTTTTAGGCTGCTTGGCTCCAACACCAAATCTTTTCCAGAATTGGATGTTCTTGAGTAAGCCACTGATGACGGTAGGTATAGTAAAGGCTTCAGCGCCTAATCCCTGATAACAATAATAAATAGGCAGTAATGTTAGTCATACACAACTCGCTAGCAATGTCCGGCTCTCTCCCTCTCTGTATCACATACCTCGACCGATAGATCCTTCCAGATGACACCCAGATGCTTCAATTGATGGCCAGCCTCCTTACGATCGTCAGACATGCCATGCAAAAAGTTGCTCAAGTTGAAGTCGTTCTCACTAGCTTCGCCTTGTTCTAATTTTTCAGGCGACATGCCAGAGGAACGACGGCTGATATGAGACAACTCTTTCTGTAGTTCATGAAACTCACCAATCGCAGCTATAAAACGAGAGAAATAAACAGTTATGCACGGCGCACTCTTTGATGGTTAGATCGCGATCTTTGACTTACCTTCCACATTGATGTCGTCTCTTTCTATTTCACCAAAATCACCATTTCCAACAAACATATTGTCATCGCCACTGTTGGGATATCTGCCTTCGTCTGTGATGGTGCCTTCCTCTTGAGACTCTGAGATGGAAGATGTCTTGATGACTTCTTGGTGGACATCTCTAGGGGGTGGAGTAGAGGTGTCAGACAGATCTAGTTTCTGATTTGACATTTATCCAGAATGTGTTGGTTTAAAAAAGAAAAGAGAGAAAGAATTGGGTTGATAACAAACAATGTATTTATAGTGTTTTCAATCTCGAAACAAGAGGCACACACATTGTCTATACTGATACGTCGGCTTGTATTTCTTGATCTGCTCAAAAATGGTTACAAGGTTCGCTGTCGGTTGTAATTTTTCCGATCTATCATTACCATGTGTGCATACAAATGGATGTTGCTGCGGGTGGCTATGGTAAACAGCTCTCGTTACACATTGTGCGCTTCACCTGGAGTGCCCCATCATCTCTATGGTTTCCATTTAGAGAATAGATTACGCATTTATAGTCGACTTTTATCTAATACGCAGATCAAGTTAAGCTTATTCTCAATAAACCACTTTTTCAATTTCTTCAAGAAAGTTGACTTGCATGCTTTCAAATAAGCGCTTCATCAGATAAATATGATTTCCCGAAGCAACTTCATCTAATATATACCTTCTCAGAAATGCTGTAGAAAGACATCAAATCGAATCTACTGTTTTGTAGAACTCTGTACCGTTTTTCGCGCTAGAAATGGTTTATGCTTACGAGAGTTTGGCATCTAAAGCCTGAAAAGACGCCAATTTGTGTGATGGCTGTGTGTTGAAATTAATTGCACTTTCTAGGAGTCCATGCCTTGATAAACTTTACGGATTTGGCTTCCTGCTTTGCTCTTGAAATAGCGAATATTGAAATAGGAGGTGAAATTTACACAAGCCATTGTATTTAGGCGTTAATCACTTCCAAATGTCCTGGCCCATTCACTGCATTTTCTTGTCTATGCATGGGCGTCCTTTTGAGCACTTGAGAAGGGAAATCAGACCGATTCAAGAAGGGCTTTGGTGACACTTCTTTCATGATCAGGAGTCAAGTCGTTGCTTGATCACATATCAAGCCATTTCACATATCGCAAAATCGCTTACGTATCATCATGACAATCAAGTTATATACTCATTGTATTTGCAACACAAGGAGGCATAAATAAACTGAGAAGAGCTGCTAATTGCAAGGCAAAATGAGATCAGTTTCACACTGATACGTGATCCCAGGTGTCACCCCAGAGATAATCCAGAATTTGAATGCTTTTCATATGTTTATTTTGGGAGCACCTCTCAGATCAAATGGAAGATTTATCCGAAGTTGACACAGGCAGTTGTAAGCATAATTTAGTCCCACGTCTTCACAATGACTACGGAACAAGAAATCAGATCTCTTTGTCCTGTTTGTTTCTTGATTCTATGGAAAAGATGAATAAATGCGTTCTAGGCTTTTGTTCTAATGTACATGCACTTTACACGTATCTCTTCTTTGTTGTACTGACTGCAATATACAACATGAGTCAAAAACAAGATATTCGAGGTTCAAATTAAGAATACACTCTCTATTTATGTCAAATGGCTACTGATGTTTCACAATGGCAAAATGGATTATTAATTCAAGACGGGATCAACACACTATTTGGCCGTCGTTTTAAATTTGATAAAATTGAAAACCAAACAGCCAGCATTAAGGAGGGGCTGAGCCCCTCCTCCAAGAACATAACGCATCTAATTCTGAATTTAGTAACATTGACCTATAAGAGGGTTCTGCTGTAACGAAGCAAAGGTGAAAACCATGAATTTCAGGCAGCAAATCCGGCTGCTCATTTCCTCCACTGTTAATAAGGAAACCCAGCAGCATAATGCATCAAAAGTTGCATGAATTAGCATTACCAAAATCAATATGTCTACTACTCGAATTAGAAGTTGCACAGGCTGCAGAACTGCCCTTCCAGAAGGTTTCAGCTACCAAAAATGTGATTCATGCCGTGTAAATAAAAGCTATACAGCAAAAGCATAACCAAATTTGACAGCTTTCAAGCCTTCATATCTTGACATGTAGGCCTTTCTGAACCACCGGAATAACGCCAAACAATTGCAGTTGAGTAGTAGTAACTTCCTGGCACCTTTGCTCAACTTTTTGGGCCAAAAAAAAAATATGGTCAAAAATCGATCAAAAACCATGAGGTACCCCTCATGGTTTTCATCGAAATTTAAGCGATCGCGTTTTTTACCTCGAAAATGAAGACCTTTACTATGGTATATATCAAATCAAAATGTTTCTCTCGATTCAAAGCAATCTCTGAAACCACGTTTATGAGGTTTTCATATGCAAAATTTCGACTTTTTCGCTAAAAACCTCATTTTATACTTTACCAAATTGCTCTATAATCTCAATCAAAACACTTATTACAATTAGCACCATTGGAAGCGTCTTGAAAAGTACTTCAAGAATGTATTAGGAAGCATATGGTGATTATCACAGTTTATATAGTCGAATATCACAGAATAGATTAAAGAGGTCGAAAAAGACGATATCTGTCCAATCTTGAGCAGAAAAAAAAATGAGCTGCGTTTGAACCAATTTTAGCGGGCGTCGCTCCTGCTGGCTGGCCCAAATGCCTTTCTGATGATGATAATAATGATTAGGATGCTGATTAAATGTGGATCATAAACTTGAAAGGATAATCGCTTAGCCTGAATACTTTTCTGGGAAGTTTTGCCTCATAAAGATGTCTTTTTCAATGACAATATCTCAAAAAAGTCGCTGTAGATCTTACGCAAATCATGTATTTACATATGACCAGCGTTATGTCACCATCTTAAGGGCATCGGCATCAGCAGCGGCGGATAGCAATGACAATTCTACTATCAGAACATAAAGATTGTGGTGTAAAAATGCTGCATAAGACTTGACTTTTCTTTCACATCATTTCAATAATAGGCTTCGTTTGATATCAATGTAAGCAAAAAGGGTGCTGAGGGAGATACCACCTCTCCTCCTCCAGGCTCTAATATAACCTTCGCTTACTAAACATTGATCGTTTAAAATCCACTGGATATACCTTGATTTTATTATATTTGATTTGAAATGTCTTCTGCGAGAGCCCGCAGGGCGACGCCATCATCGAGCACAGCGAGAAAGATCGGCTAGTGCATAAATACAAGACTTACGTAAGATCTACAGCGACGACCGCTAAAATTGGTTCAAACGCAGCTCATTTTTTTTTCTGCTCAAGATTGGACAGATATCGTCTTTTTCGACCTCTTTAATCTATTCTGTGATATTCGACTATATAAACTGTGATAATCACCATATGCTTCCTAATACATTCTTGAAGTACTTTTCAAGACGCTTCCAATGGTGCTAATTGTAATAAGTGTTTTGATTGAGATTATAGAGCAATTTGGTAAAGTATAAAATGAGGTTTTTAGCGAAAAAGTCGAAATTTTGCATATGAAAACCTCATAAACGTGGTTTCAGAGATTGCTTTGAATCGAGAGAAACATTTTGATTTGATATATACCATAGTAAAGGTCTTCATTTTCGAGGTAAAAAACGCGATCGCTTAAATTTCGATGAAAACCATGAGGGGTACCTCATGGTTTTTGATCGATTTTTGACCATATTTTTTTTTTGGCCCAAAAAGTTGAGCAAAGGTGCCAGGAAGTTACTACTACTCAACTGCAATTGTTTGGCGTTATTCCGGTGGTTCAGAAAGGCCTACATGTCAAGATATGAAGGCTTGAAAGCTGTCAAATTTGGTTATGCTTTTGCTGTATAGCTTTTATTTACACGGCATGAATCACATTTTTGGTAGCTGAAACCTTCTGGAAGGGCAGTTCTGCAGCCTGTGCAACTTCTAATTCGAGTAGTAGACATATTGATTTTGGTAATGCTAATTCATGCAACTTTTGATGCATTATGCTGCTGGGTTTCCTTATTAACAGTGGAGGAAATGAGCAGCCGGATTTGCTGCCTGAAATTCATGGTTTTCACCTTTGCTTCGTTACAGCAGAACCCTCTTATAGGTCAACGTTGCCGAATGTTAGGTTAGATGCTTAGTTGCCGTGGTTTTTCACCTTCGCTTCGCTACGATAAAACCGCCTCATAATAGCCCAATGTTACCAAATGTTGAATGAGATGCGTTATGCTCTTGGTGGATGAGCTTAACACCTCCTCCAAACCCCCTTCCCAATGCCGGCTTCGTCGGTGGTTTATTCGTCTCAATTCTTTACATTTTTGAAATGATATCATTTGTTTATCTACTTTTTTTTTGAGTATTTTACAGTATATATAATGACAGATGAGGAGCGCCATATGCTTTTAAAGCAAAAAGTATAGCATATATGACTGTATGTATTTTGTTAGAACATCTATGAAGGTTTAATATCCACATTAAGATGGAAAGATTCTTTATTAGAGGCTGTAAATTTTCCAAAAATGTCAATTTAAAACAAAATCGATCTAGTCAATATTCATATTTTCAAACTTCGAACTCATTCAGTCTGGTGGATAAATCGAGATGAAGGCAATTTGGTGAGTGGAACTGTGTATGCTATATAGCATATTGCTTTTTAGCAAAGCTTCAAGTAGCTTTTGTGACTAACTGAAGACTTTCGATAAGAAAAACCGAAAACATGATGATTCCACAGTTATTAAAATGATCGTTAGATTATGGATTTGTATAGTGTAAGAGATAACAGACACGCTTTATTGAGGCTTTCCCTTTTTGAAATCTGCAACCACTTGCTTATATAAATTATCGTCCGTCAAGACATCAGCTGCAGTCATTACAAGACATTTAGATGCACGAAGCGTATCCTTGTGGGCAATCTCTGTCTTGGAGGCGTCTGTAAATTCCTTTGTATGGTTACCAGCATCCGTATGAATAGCGTACATGGGATGAATGCTAGGCACAGTGTAGCTGACATTGCCAAAATCAGTACTTGCCACGACAAGTTGCTCCTCTTCCGTGCGGTCCTTGTAAGTGATGCCCTCCTTCTCCATGTAGCTCTTGAAATTGGCTGCCATGGTGTCATTCATAAAGACATCATCGATGGATCCTATATCGTGCCATTTCATCTTGACTTCACATCCAGAAGCATATGCAGCTCCCTTGAAGCATTGCTCTACTCGAGTTTTGAGGGATTCCAGTTGGTTTTTGGTGAGAGAACGAACGTAGTAAGAGGCAGAAACGTAAGATGGGATCACATTGGGTGCTTCACCACCATTGGTAATAATGCCATGCACTCTATGTATGCACACATTGCGTTAGAACGACTTTAGCAGACTCCAACAAATATCTTTCATGTACCTGTCAGTGGGTAAAATTTGCTGTCTCATCAGGCCTAAGCTAGTAATTGCTTGTACCATGGCGTCCAGGGCATTTACGCCTTCCCATGGTGCCGTACTAGCGTGTGCAGGTTTACCGAAATATTCAATTTTAACATTGTCCAAGGCCAATAGCCTACCGTACAACATATCTTGAGCCATGGGATGCTATGCAGTTACACAGTGTTGCTTTAGTACAATAAACCCGGGAGAAAGATTTCACACACTTACCAACATGAGAGCTACATCGACATTATTCTTAATAAGACCTTCCTTGACAAAATTAATTTTCCCACTGCTACTCTCTTCTGCGGGTGTACCGAATAATACAACTGTGCCCTGAACTAAATTATTATCCATCAATGCTTTCATACTGACAGCACAGGCGACACCTTGAATGGCAATCAGATTATGGCCGCAAGCATGTCCAATGCTGTCATTTACAAGTCAGTTTTGGGTATGTGTGTATGGTTTGTATAGTGTATTTACCCAGGTAATGCATCATATTCACTAGCAAATCCAACACGTCTGCCAGATTCATTGTTGCTGAATATGGCCAAGAAGGACGTCTTGAGTCCAGCCACCTCACGAGTCACCTGGAACCCCTTCTCCTCCATGTAATCGCTCAAGATCTTACAAGCATTGAACTCTTGGTCGCCCAGTTCTGGATTTTCGTGGATCTAAATCAGTAGTAGATGAGCATGAGCAGGTAGTAATTCATGCGCATTCTAGATGTGTACCTTGAGACTGATATCTCGAAGCTCCTTGTCGATACTCTCAATGGTAGATTCAATCGATTGCTTGATAGAGTTGCTCATAGTCGGTTTGTATGTATGGAAAAGAGCAGAGAGAAGATGAAATCATCAGAAACATTTTATGGTAGTGGGATTCATTAAAAGATTTACCGAAGACATCATGATGATTTATGGGAATTATTGTTTTTGACAGATTTATCGTGCTTTTTGATAAGATATAGCTGCTATCTTGTACCTGACCAAGACTGTGTAATGTCCCGATCTCTCTGTAGAATCTAACCTTTTGTGTATGGCATGACAGAAAAAAATAAGGTTGTAACACACTTGTTTTTATTGACTCAAGAAATGTCCATCATGACACTCTTTTCAAACGAAAACTGGTCTAATGCTGATTTACCAAGGTCTTTACCTATACCAGATTGGCCTCTCCCACCAAAGGGCAACGAAGGAGGCATGATATTGTACGTATTGACCCATACAAACCCGGCCCTGATAAGACGAGCAGCTTTGTGAGCCTTTTTAATATCTTGCGAAAAAACGCCTGAAGCAAGACCATATACAGACTGATTCACACGCTGTATGGCCTCATCTAGATGGTCGAATGGTTGCATGACACTAAGGACAGGGCCGAATATCTCCTCGGTAGCTAACGGAGCATTATCATCTACATGAGCAAAGATAGTGGGTGGGACAAAATAGCCCTGAGAAGATGTTGTTGCACTGATGTTTCCCATAAGAAAGGGTGCTTGATTGCTTTTTTCCACATAACCCAAGACTCGTTTATATTGCTTGTCATCAATTAGGGGGCCATATTGATTATATTCATTGTCTCCCTCTGCTGTGTCTAATGTTGCTTTCCAGGAACTGTGAACCGTGCTGGCCAGCTTATCCAGGAATGTGTTGTAAATGGATCTGTGTACAAACACGCGTGAGATAGCACAGCAGTTTTGTCCCGCATTGGAAAACGCACCCATAGCAACAGTATCAGCCGTTGTATCAAGATCTGCATCATCGCAGACAATGACAGCGTTTTTACCACCACATTCCAGTGTCAATGGCAGCAAACGATCGGCTGCTCGACGCATAATTTGTTGTCCAACTTGAGTCGATCCTGTAAAACTGGTCTTGTCTGTCTTATCAATCAACGCTTGGCTTGTTTCAATGCCGCCGGGTAGCACGTTGATCACGCCTGGAGGCAGGATATCGGTTGCTAATTCAGCTAATGCTAGTGATGATAATGGTGTTTGCGGTGCTGGTTTGACGATAGCGGTGTTACCAGCAGCTAAAGCCGGAGCAAGCTTCCATCCCACTAGCAATAGAGGATAGTTAAAAGAGGTGATCAATGCCACTGTACCAAGAGGTTCTCGAGTGGTGTATGTGTGCATGTTGTGCAATGCTTGTGATTGACCGTAGAATTTGTCACAATAGCCAGCATAGTAACGCAGACAGTCGACCACATCACTGATCTCATAGAGTGAATCACCTAGTGGTTTGCCAGTCTGCAATGACTCAATGTGTGCCATATCATGGTCATGCTGCTCTAGTTTCAGAGCGAGAGCTAGCAGACGATCTCTGCGGTATTTGGGATTTGTTTGCCATTCTGAAGTGGCAGATATGCCTTTTGCACTTACAAGCGCTTCTTCTACTTGCAATGGAGATGCTTCATGTACGTCGACTAGGTGCGATCTATCATTCGGATTGACTAATTTTCGTATGTGTTGAGATGAAGGCTTTACAAATTGGCCATGGATATAAGGAGAAAAATGTTTGCCAGTGATGGGCCAAAGAAGTCTAGACATACAATTTAATAAACAAGAGGTATGGAAAGACTATTAATATCTCCCCTGCTCTCTAAGCCTTCAGTGCGCGCCGTACTACCTACCAATTGTTTGCCCCTCAAACTATTTTCAATTTCCTCCCTCTTTTATCGCTTAATTTACACTACACGTGCAGTGCAGCAGTAATGGACATTAATTGAAAATGCTCAATGTATATTTATATCAGAAAAAGGAGCCTTTTTGCTCTCAAACGTTTCAAATGGAATCTTCTGCCCTCCTTCCTTGAGAAGAATATAATAATGAATTAAGATACTATGCTGCTTGATTCAAAGGAGTCGATTTTTACAGAAAAAATAGTATAAATAATTGGCAAAATCCAACTCGAAATCAACATCATCTAACCATCTTATCAAACATCGCTCTCTAAACAATGAAGTTTCTCTCTCTTCTCGCCATTCTCTCTGTTGCTGCCTTGGTCTCTGCTGCTCCATGCCGTGATAACAGCCATCATCATGGCAATGACAACTCCAATTATGAAGATAACAGCAACCATGAGGATAACAGCAGTTCTGGTAACAAGCATATCACTCAAAACATTGGCAGTGTTGGCAGCTCTGGTGGAAACAAGGGACTTGTAAGTAGTTGTGTAGAGAGGTTCATTAATAATAGATATTAACTGTATAGTAGCTCTCTGGTCTTCTCGGCGAGGGTTTGTTGAGTTCTACAACCAACAACAACTATGTCAATCAAAAGGCTGAAATTAATTAGTTTATGCAAACACACACACACACACACCCGTTAGCATGATCCCCATGTTAAGAGTATTCAAAATTCATTCCCATTGTATCCCTCTTCCCATCGTACTCTCTTATTTACAAATCCCTAAAATAAACATATTTTGTTGAAATTTTATTATACACTAGTCTTCTTACAACCAAGGCATCCAGGTACACTCCATCTGAGCCATCTTTTGAGGATTACTAGCTTGAGAGATCAGATCAATCACATTTTGATTTAAAGGTTTGCCTGCATTCAATGTCTTTTCGCGATCTGCTTTGCAAGACAAGAATTGCGCTTTTGTTTGAACTTGAAGTACATTAGTGTTGATTCTTTCGCGGAATTGCACATCAGTGACGGAACGATGATTTGCCAGATGCCATGTAGCGAGCTCATCTCGAACAAATAGGCACAAGTATTGATCCAGCTCAAACTCGGGTTCTGTTAAACAACGGGCTGTAGCCATCAAGCAGCTGGTGAACAGACCTTCAATGCCAATAGGGGTGATGAATTCTTGAATATTGGGTGTAAAACGGAAGGGAATCGCTTCACCATTACCAAACAATGGATTTGCAGAGTTCCAGCCTAAATACAAGGTCAATCAACCGGTTGCTCGTTCAACATCCACTCTTACTTACCAGGTAAAAGCTCAGTCATCCAAACATTACCCGTGCTGCGAGAAATCATAATTTTGTGAGGCATGCGATGGCCCACACTAAATATGTAAGCCATGAATGTAGCTGTTGCGTACTGTGCAGTGAAGCGTTTACGAAGCATCCAATAATCCGTGTATGAACTCATGGTCTTGAACAAATACTACAGAAAAGGAGACGTTAATGACACTAATACCAAGAATTGCAGATTGCAATTCCAACTTACTTTGCTGAGGATGTTGGATGGCACCATATTGGTCGAGATGTAGTCATTGATTTCCATGCGCAAATTCAACAATTCAGTCTTTTGGTTCACAATCTATCAGATAGTTAGTGTCTAGAGCATAATTCATATGTGCTCATTTACTTACATCCTTCTGCACGTGCACGTTGTTTTTAAATTTTTCCACAAAGCACACCAAGGGGTCATCCTTGTGCATGTGCACACTGTCACAGTGATCTTCATAAATGTCATATAGCGAAGTGTAAGAAGGATCATCCTGCACCATTCGCACATTGGGAGCCAGAGGTACAATAGCAGGCAAATGGAACACCAAGTTGCGCATACGACTCTCTTTTCTGCGCTCCAGAATGTAGTTCAGCATACGGAACAGCTGCATCAATCGCTCTTCACGACGGAACTGGCGAGCCACCGGGTTTTGAATCAAGAAGGGATGAATGGTGCCATCATGGCCGCGAATGGTCAAACGACGATAGCAGTTGCCATAGCTACGGATGATTTCCACCTCGGGCAGGAAACGGTCGATGCGCAAAAAGTCGTTGGCATTGTCCTTGAGCAGCAAGTATTGGCCAGGAATTTCAACATCGTCAAACTTTTGGTGTTGGAATTCAACCAGATAATGACTTGAAGCTTCCAGTTTGTGTTTGCGAGGACGGGCATCTAGCATAGCTTCAAACTTGTCACGCCACAATCTCAACTTGGCTACGTATTCCTCCAGATTCAGCTTGGTTTTGGCGAAATCATTGACAAAGGCCGTCTTCATGTGTCCAGGATAAAGGCTGTCAGCGAATCGATGGATATTTGCAACAGTAGCATGGGTTAGTTGGAATGTGTCGTTGGGATTGGTCAATCGTGTCAGCAATTGCTGAGCTCCCTCATTGTACAAGGCAACCACCAAACGATACATGTCTTCATCCGCTTGAGGCTTGAATTTCAGTTGAATTTGATCCACCATGGTTTCCATGGACAAGGCTAATAGAGGATAACCAGTTTTGAGCATCGACATGATCTCATCCAATGGGCTGGCGGCAGCAGCAGACGTGTTGATTTGCGTAGGCAAAGGTCCTCTGTTGTTGTTGTTGTTGTTGCCAGGAACAGTAGGCGTGGATGATACTGCAGCTGCAGCGGCATTGGGTGAAAATCCTTGTGCAGGTTGTTGCTTGGGTGTAGCAGAGGATGTTCTGTCACTGGCATGACTGACAGCAGGTGAAGCCTGAGATGCAGCCACTGGCGTACTACTGCCATTCTGAGCTTGTTGTGGTGGCGTTTCGGTACTCGTCTCTTCCGTCTTGACTTGTGCCGTGTCATTCTCTTTCTTGTCAACTACAACAGCACTCTCGCCTGTAACTTCCTGCTTAACAGCATCAGTATCACTGGATGTCTTTTCCTCTGTGTTTTCTTCCTTTTGATCCACGTCCATGGCATCTTCTTTGGCAGATGTAGACTCGGTTGCTCCATTCTTATTATTACTATCAGCTGTAGCTGTGGCTGGCGTAGTGGCATTGTTCTGCTGCTGCTGCTGTTGCTGTTGCTGAGCTGCTTCAGCGGCCATATTCGCTTGCAACACACTGGCACGCTTCAACATGTCCTCTTTGGCTGTTCTCAGTTGGAAATGCAGCGCTTGAGGGAACTGTTTGGCGATGCGAATCAAGATGGCACGGGCATGTCTACCTTCACGATGTTGCAGTGCTGTCAACAATTGGGGGATAAATGTGATCCAGTACCACACAGGCCATTCACCCTTGTAGCCTTCCACAGCACGCGATATGGTGCCATTCTGATCATCCAAGCTCAGTAGCCATAAGATACGCAGTAGATGCTTACGCGACTTTGCATTCTTGTACAAACCAGCTGCTTGCAAGTAGCAACTAACTGCATTGTTGGCCCACGACAGATCCTTGGGATTTTCCTTGAAACGGCGGTCATTGTATCTGCCCCATTCAGCCCAAGCGCGATGTAGAGTCATGTCAATCTGAACAGCATTAACATAGGCTTCATTGGCTTCGTTGTTGTGCTGTAACTTGGCCAAGAACATGCCCTTTAGCGTAAAGAACTCAGCCTTTTGTTGATGCGTAAAGTACATCAAGTTGGTGTTGTTGATCACGTCCAGGCCAGCTGTCAATTCATTGGGGTTTTGATAGTAGCATTTGGCTTGTTCACGCAGCTTTAAAAAGGCTTCCTGGATTTCAATGTTGGGCAGTGTGTAGATCTTGGTCAAATAGTTGATACAGACATCGTACAGTTGGTGCTTGCGGGCAACGTGTGCGAATCGATTGATGATCCAGGCAGTTTCATGGTAGCCACGATAGGCGTAAGAATGTCCACTGCTAGAGTTGTTCTGACCAGGTGTTGGTTGAAGCATAGGGATCAGCGGCAAGTAGGTACGGTTGATAGCACTGAAGATGTGCTGACGCCATGCCACAAGATCACTCCAGACATTGATGTCGTCCCACATGTTGGGCAAACGTTCACGCCATGTTCCTAGGATACTGCGAAGTTCTGCGGATCGTTGATCCAAGTTCTGAGCGTTGGTGCTAGAAAGACTCTTGAAGATCTGACTCGCCTCAGAGAGCTCCAGGTACTGTTGAAAGGTTTGCAGCAAAGGCAAATGACTCTGAGTCACCACAGAAGGCAAAGCATGCCACTGACGAAGCGACAGTTGGACGCCTTCCTCGCAAATGCGAGTAAACTCGGGCAACTTGTCTTGGCTGGTCTGCGATTTGATCAGTGTCAAGAAGCCTTCAAAGATCTTTTGACGAGGCGCAGGGAAATCAGACAGCTGATGTAGTGATTGCTCCAGTGCTTCTCTCTCTGCTGTCCAATCAGACAAGCGCCAGGCACACTCCAGAAGTAGATTGGTGTTGTTATCGTGCTTGGCGAGATCAGACAAGATATCCCATTGCTGCAGCTTTTGAGTGCACATGATCCAGTGATCCTCCCATAACATACTCTCTGATTCAGTGTGAGCCAAGATGCCGCCACGCGCCTTGATTTGAATGTTTTCATACATGTGTTGTGCTTGTTGCCACATGCCGCACTGCTCGCACGATACGGTCATGTTGGTTTCAGAGTAGACACAACGACGACGCCATAAGCCATAGAGCATGTCTTCTTCATCCAGTGCTGTATACATCTCTGCTAATGCATCCAAGGTACGTTGCTGGTCCTGCTGCTCCTCCTTGGGAACGTCAGTCAAGCGACCTGTGATGGCTTGCTTCTGCAGCATTTCAATGGCCGTGTGCCAGCAGTTGTGCGTCTTGCCCAGGTATTTAATCAAATGAGATGGAGTAGGAATGGTGGGGGTGGTGTTGGAAATGCCCGTCAGCAATGCTTGCACCACATTGGGTCTGCGCTCCGCTTGTTTGGCATGATAGTCCTTGGAGAGCAGTATAGTCAGCACCTTGGCAATGTCATGCCTCTCTACGTTGGTGAGCGCCGTCCAGCACATGGGGAACAGATCCACCCAGAGCCTGAACGCGGTCTCATCATCCAGATACTGCAATTGTCGAATGTCATTCAGCGTGTTGCTCACTTGAATACCCTGCAAGTTCTTCAAGAAAGTACGGTGCTCCTTGACAATACAAGCAATGCTTTCGGGCACATCCACCTTCATAGCTGTGTTGTCTTGGTCAATGCTGCTGGCAAAGATGCCAATGGGCTTGACCTTCAGCGTATAAGGAGCAGACACGTGTGTATCAATGTCGACAGATCCCACCAGCAGATCCAAAGCCTGATGCAACCAGAACGAGTTAGCCAGGGGCTCCCAGTTTTGAATGCCCAGAATATAGTTAAGACGAGCAGCCAGTGTTTGGCCGATGCTATCATCAAATATCTTCATGAACTGGCCTCGGATCAGTGGATTGTCGTTGCGAGTGCCCAGCAAGAAAGCGTGTTCCATACGCACTGTCAATTCAGAGCGAGCAAACGAAGGATCGCTGTAAATCTTGAGTACCAGCGTCAAAAAGTCTTGGGTTAATTGTGTGTTGTTTCTGGACTCAATGGTCATCATTTTACCCAGCAAGCCAGCCTTCTCCTTGATGGTAGGGATAGGCTCCACTTTACCAAGCACCCATTCACTCAGCATGTCCAGAATGTTGCGCAACAGAGAGATGTCAGGCGACTTTTCAATCAGCTGGATCAAGCATGTCAAGAACCAGCGACGTTGGTCTCCCAAATGAGCAATGCGCTTCTTTAACAGAGACAGACCCAAGATCAATAAACTCACTTGTGTTTCATACGATGTGGTGGTGGATGTTGTGGTTGAGTGGGTTGGCATGGTGTGCTCTTTTGTCAGCAATTGTAGTACCTTAACAAGGCCAGGCACATGAGGATCCAAGTACTCGTCTTGACTGTGGCTGGCTGCTTGCAGTAGTTTGAGAACTCCGTAAATGTTGGTCATGTTGGTGAATCCTTCCTTGATAATGTACTCGACCAAGCTCATAAAGGCAACCACTTCAGGCGAGAGTTCGGGTTGCGCTGGCGTGGGGTCCACAGCAGGTGCGACATTACTATCAGACAAGTCCTTGTTGCTAGCCTCCTCTACAGTAGTAGTGGCTGTGTTATTATCTGTAGGTGCAGCTGAGGCAGGTGTATCTTCCTCCATAGATGTGGCTTCATTGTCAACAGGTGCCTCTTCATTTGAGTTTGTGTGGTCTGCTGAAGCGGTGGGCGATGTATCCATGGGAGTCTTTGTTGCACTGGTTGGCGTGGCATCTTCTACATGACTTGCGGCACTCTCCATCTGTTTGGCCATAGCAGCCTTGTACTTGTCGATAGCGCCAATGATACACACCAACACAGGGTACAGAGCAGTCTGGATACGCGTATTCTCAGATCGAATACTGGCTTCTAACAAGCGATACAATTGACCCATATTCTCAATAAACCAATCTGTGTCTCTGTGCGTGATATCAGCATTCAAAATTTCCAGGGCATGACAAACACTAGACACCACCATTTCATTGGAAGCATCTTTGAACAACAGAGAACGCTCCACATGTTGAAATCGCACATGGACATCCGACCAGAGATCTGGCTTCAAGAAGGACTTGACGAGCTCAATGGTTCTCTGCACAAGTCTCTTTTGTATCATATCAGAAGGATTGAACAAGATGCAGGAAAGTCGGACCAGGTAACCGACGACGCTTTCACGCAGCGTAAGGCTGGGTGAGTATTCTTTGCTGCTGTTACTGTGCGGTGAGTTACTGGATGTGGATGCAACAGCTTTGACTTGACCAGACGAGGTTTGCACCTGTGCTTTCTTGCTAGGACTCTCGTTGGGTTCATTTTGTTGATCTTGCATTTCAAAATCACCATCAGCGTCTATTTTACGTTTGGAAGGAGACCCAGGAGACGCGGCTTGCTCTGCCTGTTGCTGCAAACGGATGCGTTTCTGCTCCCACTTGATAATCAACTCGGCTAATTCCACAGTAAGCATCTTGTGTTCCGGTGTCGCGTTCTGTAGCAAGCCAAGTTTAGGCAGTGTATTTACGATTTGGGGTAAAAAGTGTTCACGGTAGTCAAAGAAGAGATCAGCATGTCTGATCAGCAGTTGATACACATTGACCATTTGTGAGATGCTGTGTGTGTCTTCTACCACAACCTTGCGAGTCAATCTCACCCAGGTAGGCACACGCTCGTTACTGCCTTGAGAAGCAATACGCAGCGGCAAGACGGGAGCAATGATATCCAGACCTTGTTTGACCAGCACTCTTGCCTCGGACGAATGAGCACGCAACAGAGCGGCGTAGATTTGAATGGCAATCTTACTCGGTGTGTCATAGGCAGCAATGAAATGAGCAATCAACACGTAGGCAGCTTGCTTGCTCGTAGCGTCTTCCAATCTTAAGTAGTTCCAACCAAACTTGATCACTTCCTTGCGACGATCAGCCAGTAGTTGAGGCGCGTATTGCACAATCATAGCAGTCATTTGCAGTAGCTCAATTCGCAGAGAATCCTCCGTGTACTGATTGTCTTCATTAGCTTCCATCATGAGGTTGGCCCAGATCTTTTCTAGGAGCTGCTCCATCATGGCAGCATCCAGAATCTCGGTATACTCGCCATTCTTGCGCACAAACGTAGCCAGCAGTGCAGGATTCACAATTTGACGCAGTGCCATCATCTTGAGATAAGAGGAGACCGTGTTGTCCGTAAACAAGGCCAAAAACTTGTCCAGAATCAATCGCTTTTGCTTGGCAGATGACTTGAGGGCAATCTTTTCCAGCAAAAACTTTTGTAAATAGGAGAGATCTACTACGGACTCCTGGGCAAATAGAGACACCAGATCAAAGACAATGTCAATTTCACTAGGATTTCGCTCCAGATACTCAACAAAAATCTTGGTCAGCAAGAGCAACTCACGTGTGATGATGAGGCTCTGCTGTTCTTGCTCCTTTTGCTGTGGTGTGAGGACCTTCTTCTGTCGTGAGCGCCACAACTCCAGCAGCGCGTCTAATACATCTCTGTGTGTATCGAGGAATTCAGGCGTGTAGTTGAGCAGTGTGTGCACAATCATGACACCGCGATAATGAAGCACGTTGATGGGTGTCGATGCAGCATGCTCCGTGGGCTCTGATATTTTAAAGATTTTGCTGATCAATTCAGTCGATGTACTGGCAACTTCATCGCGCAGTCTGGAGGCGTTCTCCATATTGAGAATATCAATAAACAATTGGCAGCACTTGGGATCATCCAGCTTTTTGTAAAAGTACTCGACTGTCTCGGTGGGGTATCTGTTGAGATACTTGATCAAGTTGGGTCGGAAAGGGCTGGACACAGATCGACGCAAATGACCTTCCATCTCCAATACAACCGTAATCAGATCATCCAAAAAAATGTGAGCCGTAGCAGGCAGCAAGTGGAAGATGTTCAAAATAGCCACGATAATCTTGATTTCATGGTTTTCGCTCAAGGGTTTGCCGGCAGCCTCCTGCAGCACTTTAGGTTCTGCCCACTGTTTCAAGTGGTCCAGCAGTTTCTTGCCAATTTCCACCTTGAAATAGTTGGTCAACAGCTCCAGCAATCGTGCGAGTCCCTCCAGGCCGGCCACACTCAGCGTCTTGTGGTTGGAAAGCGTGGTCAAGATGGGACGTAAGCCCTGTTGCAGCAGTTCCTTGGGCAGTTTGTGCTGTTGAGCTAGCACTTGCTTCAATCCACGGTGTGCTGCTTCCACAACCTCCAGCGACTTGGAATACAAGGATTTGAAAAAGACTTGGATGATACGAGCGCGTGTGTGCGTCTGTCGCTGACTGGAGAAATCAGAGCATGCCAAAGCAGCAGACAAGAGTTTAATACAGACGATACGCAGGTTCATCAGCGACGTGGTGTTCTTGTATTGCGAGTTGCGGCTCTGCAGTGCTTGATCTTCAGCATCTGCCAATGCCAGAGCTTCGTGCAGCAGGCGCGTCAATTCGTCGTTGAACTCCAAAAAGGGAGGACGCAGTGTGAGGCAGTACGTGATGGCATCAATATGACCAATTTGCATGGCAAAGGGCAACGCTCTCAGGGGCTTAGCAAAGATGGGCGCCACAAGACGTTCGCGCACGGGAGCCAGCAGCTCGGTTACTTCGTTGCCTGTCAGATCAGCCAGCAACTGGAAGGAAGATTGAATCGTTTCTCGCACAGCACTGTTGGAGTTGGACAGTTCACTGAGCAGCAAGGTAATCAAGTTTTGGAATTTTTGCTGTGCTTCAGCTGTTTCGCCGTCTTCAGGGCCATTGCAGACTTTAAGGACATGAGACAGTGTCTGTGTCGCTTCTTCCGTATTGACATTGGCCATTTCTGGTGCAGCGTCCTTCAAGACAAACAGCAGGGATCGAATGAAATCCAGTTCATGCTCACGCATCCATTTGGTGCCCAAATCCAGCTGAGAACTCATGATAGAGATACCGAGACAGCCTCCACGCTTCTTGAACCATTCAGGCTTATAGCAGCAGGAACAGAATTGAGATGCAAACACGCGAAAGATGGGCAGCTGATCCACATGCTCTTTGGATCCAAAAATGGCTGTAGCCACGTCGTAGCAGGCATGCAATGCCTCTTCACCACGCTTGCGAAGTTGGATCTGAGAAGAGGACATGACTTCCACAATGGCTTCTACGAGGATGGTTGTGTTCAGATGTTGCACTGTCAGACGTTCATCCATCATGTTGGCCAGTGGTTTGCGGCCGTTTTCCTTGGCTTCAATGGCTTCACCAATATGAAGTAGCGTGAAATGGCGACAGATGTTGACAAAGAATTTCCAAGCATCATCGCTCAGTTCAGGGATGATGGATGCAGACATGACAGACACCAAGATGGATCGCAGGGCTTCTTCTTGTGCCACTCGCTTAGAGACGTATTTGGTGTAGCCGTTACCAGCCAGTCGTTTGGGTTTCATGCCTGTTTCATTCAAGGTGTTGCCAACGACAGAGTTGTCTTCATCTACTGTAATGCGACCCATATTGGCAGTGACGAGACTAGCAGTAGGAGTTGATGCACTTGTAGTGGTGGTGGTGCTAGTAGTAGCAGCTGGTGTTGTAGTGGTGGTGGTGGTGGTAGCGGTAGTAGCTGCAATCTCCTCGTCCGATGAACGATCTGTAAATTGCTCTTTGACTCGCTTATACAAGGATTCAGCCAAATCGTCAGGTCCCTCATCCAGCTCCAGCATCAAAATCAAGTGGGTCTTGAGGAAATTATAAGCGTGCTTCTTGTAGACAATGTCTGTTTGTGCAGTGGTCAATGCATGAATAGCAATCTCCAAGCACTTGTCCAGAGGAAGTGTGTGTGGCGTAGGGTTGGGATCAAAGACCACCTCCAGCGAGATACCGCTCTCAATACGTGCATTGAAGCCTAGCTTGGGTGGGCTCTTGAGCATACGACGATTGCGACCACCCAACTTACCCAAAATGCGCATGGCAGCATGGCTGTGTTGCTGATTGTAAGGCAATGGCTTCAAATGTTTCCAGAGAGCGTCCATCAATTCAGACATGACAGGCGCCATGATGTGGTCCAAGAATTCAGGGTTTAAATTATCATTGCAGAGCTCCATAGTGCGCAAGCCTTGAGACACCAGGTCTTGGTCTGCTTGCAGTGCAATGACAAGAGGACGCATCAGGTAAGGAAGATACGGCAGCAGTGTACTGAGGCGCACAGGCACAGCCAAACAGAGTTCCACAAACAAATTGCGCATGTCCGTTTTGTGCGCAAGAGACAGTAGCGAGTTGAGATTCTCGAGAATTACCTGGAGCAGAGGCGATACTTCTTTGTAGAGCAGTTCAAATCGGCCACCACCAATGCTCTTGAACAGGGCGCGCAGCAGCAAAAAGTAGTTGGCGGGCTCTTTGGCCTTGGCAGCTAGTTTGAAGCAGGACATGACCAAGTTGGCCAAGTAAGGTTGAAGAATGCCCTCATTGGCATCGGGAAACAAGTTGACAGCCATGAATGCGAGTCTAAACAGATGCAGCATGACGGCAGAGTAGTGAAGATTGTCCTGTCCCAGCTGATCAATGCGGTCCACCAAGAAGCGAAACAAGATGCCCGCAAAGCCTTGTGTGGTAATTTCATTCACTAAAAAGTACTGCGACAGATGCAGCAGTGAAGTGTTGATCAGCATGCGGTCGTAGAAAAAGTCGATTTGAGAGGCAAACAGCTCTTGGAAGACAGCAGGATCCAGCAGTGTAAATACAATGGGAAACGTATCCAGTACTTCCTTCTCTCCGTTCTGTTGCAGGTTCAATTTTAAGCATGTCTCAGTGGATCCAATGGTCCAATTGTCCTTGGTTTTCTCTTCCTCTGGTGGTGAATAATCAGGCAAAGAGCCGTCAGGTCCATAATTGTCCACATTGTAGTACTCGAAGCATTTGAGGCCCTCTCGGAACAAGCGGGCAAACAGCTGCACATCATCCTGCGAGAATCCACGTGCAAACTGAGCGTAGACTTGAGGGTTGCTGATCTCTTGTCCTGGCGGCGGCGGTGGGTTGCAGTGGCGAAGACCAATGAACAGCGGCTTCAACCCAATAGCCAAGTTTTTAAATAGAAATCGACCGTCCTTGATGCCGTCGTGAGCTGCTTCTGACAAGAAGGAGGCTGTATGAATGGAGCGTGCATGGTCAAAGTCAATCTCTGTAAAGTCGTCATTGTCCTCTTCCATGCTGCCGTTTTTAGTCGTGGGGGGCGCATTCTTCTTTTTGTACTGCTTGACACAGGAGCTGAATTGGATGTTCAGTGCCTCAAATTTACTGGCAAATGCATCCAAGATGCGCATCAGCAACTCTCGTCCCTCTGACTTGTCTGGGATCTTCATGATGCAGTCTATCAGGTTGAGCAGCAATTTGCCGCACATGGTTTGGATGCTGGGTGCCAGTGTAGCGTCGTGCAGGTTGCGAGAGTAAATGTAGATGGTGCGCGAGAGTTGAGAAGCGGTTAGCTCTGCTCGAATATGGTGAATCAGATCTGCCAGCATGCTGTAAGCCAAGGGTCGTAATGTGTCATGTGCTGTCACTCCTGTGCCTATCAACACCTTTTCGTTCAATAGTAGATCGATCTTGGGTACAAACGATGTGCGAAAATCAGTGGATAAAATGTGTCTCGTAGCCACTAGCAGTTCTTTTCTGGTGGCAGAGGATTCAGCTGGGCATTCTCTCAGTAATCGCAATACAAAGTCAGGAATTTGGTGTTGGTAGGGTCGTAACAGGGCTGTATAACTTCGCAGAATGTAGGCCAAAAATGACATGGTCTTGACTTGAGCGATAATGAATTCGTTGTACAGGCTTCTCTGTTTGATGGCAGGGCTAACACCTACAAAGACTTCTCCTCTAGCAAGTGCGGCATTGGCAGCTTCCATCTGTGGTTTGGCTTGCAACCCCAATGTCTATACAAATACACGTCAGTTGAAGTTGTTTGACATGTGCGTAATGAAGAATGGTACCTGAAATATCAGTGGTATGAATTTCATAATGTTTTCAGAGGCAGAGCGTCTGTAGGATTGAAACAGCAAGACAACAATGATAGGGCATTCTGTCAAGACCTTGAAACTAAACATGCTCTTTGCCAATACTTTGGTTGGTATCTCGGGTGTGTCGGCTGCTGGAGACATGGGTCGAGGTGATGCTGCCGACAATGGCTATTGCATTTGATGAATAACTCCACTCCAAGAGACGCACACACACACACACACACACACACACACACACACACACACACACACACACACACACACACACACACACACACAACTTACTGTAGTGATATCAGGATTATCAAAGGCATCTTTGACTGTCTGCTCCATGTTTTGAAATATCTCTTGCACAATCTCCAAAAAGGGCTGCACTTGGTCCTCTAATACTTGCCGAAACGATCTGTGTAAATCAATAATGATCTTGACACAGACAACCGCATTGTCCTCGTTCTCCACGCGAAGAATCTTCATCAACGCTTTGCATAATTCGGGTACGTATTCCTTCAATGCTTCTGTTTGTGGCAATCGATAAATGATTTCCAGTAAAATATTTCGTAATTTCTAATGACGAGAAAGAGAGAGCATCAGTATGCGACATTGCCTGACAGGGATATGTATCCAGTTGATGTTTACCTGCTCAGGTGCATTGCTGATAAAAACAGGTTGATCGTTTTGAAGTATGTCAAGAAAGACTGGTATCAGCGTCGACAGAAATTTGGGATACTCTGCTGTCTGGAACACCTCTACCTGATCTCTCAATTCGTTGGCAATAGTAACTTTGAGGTTGATACCTATAAAACCGTTTGTTGATCGTTATGAGTGAAAGACACATTTGAGCACATCATGTGCGCGTACCTAGATTTGCATCGCCTAATCTATGAGCAAAGACTTGCAAGGTGGTCATTGTGTGTGTGTGTGTAAGTGATATGATTGCTGGTGTCTGGTATCTTTTTCCGTCAAAAAGTGAGTTGTTTGTCTAGGCTGTAAAAGTTATAATTGAAAGCGTGGGGTTTTGATCCATAAATGTTGGGTGCTTGAGAGGAAGATTATGTGAATTGAAGTGTAATTAGGGATATATATGTACAATAGCAACGCAACTGATACAGTATGCTTGTTAAAAATTTTCAATTGAGGAAAGAAAAAAAGGACGTGAATGTGCACTGCAACTTTCGAATAGCCATCTGTGTGCACGGACTAGAAGCACTGCTACCAACCGGACCATGATGCGAGCCGCAAAATCTCTGCCCTATTCCTTTATGCAAGCTGTTAGGTCTGCAGATCATCGCATCCCTCGATTCATCGTATGGCATGTACAAGCCGTTTTGATAAGCATACACTATTCTTTATCTCTCTTCTGCATAAACAAATTTGAGCAAAATGGCATCTCATCAGTTGCCACCTTTATCGACAGTCGATAGTAGCTTCATGTCAGACCAAGCAAATGATGAGTATGTCATGCGCAAAGAAGAGAAAACTGCTGTAGAACTTTGTGAGCTGGTGCCTGGAGGTAAGCCACGAATGAGATGTCTCAGAACCTGACTAAATCCATATTCTTTTAGGCGAGATCCCAAAGAAGAGAAGCCCTGTAAAACACTATTTGTGCTGCATCTGCTGTCCTTGTCTTCCCATGTGGACTAGATATGGTTGCTGTGCCTTACTATTGCTCTTTATCATATTTTTGATTATCGTAGGTGTCTTGGCAGCAATATTTAGAGTCCCAGAAGTGAATTTCAATGGACCCACCAAACATCCTGATGGCTATGCTCCTTTTGAGAAATCCAATGACACGCTTGCCTTTAGCGTCAACTTTGGACTTCAAATTGGTGTTGTCAATGACAACGTCGAAAGCATCACGTTTGAATCTATACGAGCCATTGTAAGGTATATACATCCTACAGAGCAAACAATTCAGCGAATTTACCTTTTAGTCTAAAGGCATATTACCCAACTGCCCCTAAAATTTCGGTAGGGGGTGGTGAGATCTTGAACGTACATATACGATCCCATGGCATTACCAACTTTACCTTTCCCTTTTCGATAAAATATGACCCAATGAAAGATGAGGGCTATGCAATGCTCACAGATATCGCCTCTAAATGCGGTTTACTCGGTGGATCCAACAAGGAGGATTTATACATTCAATATGATTTGATTCCTACCATTCGAATTGCAGGCATAGCTATATCGCCAACGATTTACCAGTCTTCACATTTTCCTTGTCCAATATCAGTGAGTATCTCTAGCGCCATTTCTGTCAACCTTGCCGACTGTATTAACGCGATGTGTATAGTCTGGGCAACTAACCATGGGCCTAGCGGCAAGTTTGAATGAAGATGACTCTGATGAAGAAGACAATGTTGGTGAGGATTAGTAGTAGTATGTATTAAAAAAAAATCTGAATACATATATAATAGTTACTTACGCGCAAATACTACTATCAATCAGTAAAAAAGCTTTGCTAAATTGATGTGGCATTTTTTAAAAATTGCGCTTTGGATGGCCTGAGATACATGCGACAGTACATGGCAGCTGTGGTGCAAGCTCCAGTATTCTTCACTGACTTTGTCTGTATCATAACTTTAAATCTGTTGAACAGGCCGAAAGTTTAGCTGGTCTGGAGGAAGAGATAGCACGGATATTTATTTTTTCTAGACTGTGGTATCATAGTTTTGGGTTGAAATTATTTGAATTTAATGAACTGTAAAAGGGGGAAACAATTATAATGCAAATATGAAGCGTTTTGAAGGCTATTAGGCAAATAAGGCCAAGGACAAGGTTAGGGGCAAGGTTTGGGCTTAAATCTAAACAATATGGCATAGGTTAACCAACTTTTTTTTTCCTGAGGAATTTTTTTCACTGTTTCTAGCAACATGCTATAGTCGCATAGATGCTACAATTGCTGTATATAGAAGTTTACTTCAGTTACTATATATTATGACATCCCCTGCTATATTTGCTTGAACTCAGTAAAAAACATCACAGACATGTTGGATGAAAAGATACCTTCTTCTATATATACTACACATATTATATTTCAACTTAAAAGGAAATAAATAAAAACTTTGGTTGGTTCGAAAAGAGCGTGTTTAATAAATAAAGATGTTGCGTATAAATGTAAAAAAAAAAAAAAAATGAATGATATGTATGATAATGGAGAATAATGTTTCTATCTAACATAAAGGAACATTGACGGCTAAACCGCCTTGGCTGGTTTCCTTGTACTTGGACATCATGTCTACACCAGTTTGACGCATGGTTTCGATGACTTGATCAAGCGATACACGATGATCTCCCTCACCGTTCAAAGCTAGTTGAGCAGCAGCGATTGCCTTGACAGCAGCCAATGCATTACGTTCAATACATGGCACTTGCACAAGACCACCGATGGGATCGCAAGTCAAACCTAAATTGTGTTCCATACCGATTTCAGCAGCGTTTTCAACTTGATCTACGGAACCACCCATCACAGCAGTAAAACCAGCGGCAGCCATTGAACAGGCTACGCCAACTTCACCCTGGCAACCCACTTCGGCAGCTACAAAATGAAGTTAGTATCATGCAAATAACAGTGCATGCTTTGCTCTTACCTGAGATACTAGCACCACGCTTAAACAACATACCAATAGCAGAGGTAGTCAGCAAGAACTCCATGACATCTCTCTCGGGGTTCTCAGAGATAAACTCAAGGTAGTACTTGAGAACAGAAGGAATAGTACCAGCAGCACCATTGGTAGGAGCAGTGACCACACGACCACCACAAGCGTTTTCTTCATTGACAGCAATAGCGTATACAGAGAGATAATCAAGAGCAGGCAAGACAAACTTCTTCTTGGGCTTCTTTGGCAAGAATGTAAGTGCGAGAGGATATTGAGTATTGCTGGCTTCAGGTGATGTGGTCATGGTAGCTTCTTCTTGTGATCCGCTAGCAGGAATATAAGATTGGCTATAACCTCCGGTTTGGTTCAAGGGGCCACCATACAAACCCTTCAAAAGCTTGTTGTATAATCTAGGAGCACGACGCTTGACACGGAGAGAGCCAGGAAGATAGTCATCGGGTGAGGCCATGACACCGTTACGAATAGAATCATCCATGGTGTTCCAGATTCTCAAAAGCTTCTCTCTAATCTCTTCAGGCGTACTCCATTTCAATTCGTTTTCAAAGACAACTTGAGCAATGGTCATGTTTTCACGCTTACAGACGGCCAAGAGTTCTTCAGAGTTACGGAAAGGTAAAGAAACGACAGCGATATCTTGTTCACGACGTTCAGCAACGACGGCATCCTTCTTGTTGATCTGCTTGTAGTACACGTTTTCACCATGATCCATTTGGGTTTCAGCGTTCACAACGAAGCCACCACCAATACTGAAGTATTCGTTTGTTGCAATCATGTTGGAATCCTTATCATAGGCGCAAAAACGGAGGCCATTGGGATGTTGGGGCAAGGTCTTGAAATAGTTGAACACCATGTTCTTTTCGTAATCAAAAGTGATGCGATGTGTGCCGTCCAAACGGATCGATTTGTTTGTTTCAATGTCTTTCACACGGGATTTGATGGTGGATGTTTCAACCTTGTCAGGACTTTCACCTTCAATGCCCATCAAGACAGCTTCTGGAGTACCATGACCTACACCTGTCAAAGCAAGAGATCCGAACAAATCTAGTTTTAATGAAAAAAAAAGGAGGTTAATTTCCGGATTTAGCTGTGTTGAGAGCAAGAGATAAGCGTTTGCTTCCTCGGATTCAAAAACGTAATCAATTGGCTTATCAATAGACATGCGGAAAGATAACTCTCTTTTGCTATTAATAGGCCATTGCTCTCCCTCTGTTACCTTTGGAACGATACTTTACCTACTCGAAGAGTAACTACTTTATCCAAAATGTTGTGTTCCTTTAAATCAGTGATGAAAATCTTTGCAGCACGCATAGGGCCGACAGTATGAGAGGAAGAAGGTCCGACGCCGATCGAGAACAGATCAAATGTAGATACCACTGCATGATGGTCGTTTGTGTTTTCAGAGGTGCTAGCGTTGTCCTCTGCTTCAGCAGTGTTGGATGTAGTTGTAACGTAGCGTTTCAATGTCTGATAGTGTGGTACAATCACCGTGCGACCTTGAATCGACGGATATTTCTTCAATTGACGATGAAGAGCTGGTTGAGCAACAGTCTTGAGGGAAGTCGAGAATCTTTTCAAAGCAAACATTTGTTGAAAAGTGCTTTTTTTTTATAAAAAAAGGGAAAAGAGGGAAAAAGAAGAAGAAGAAACTTGACAAAGTTGGAAAAGAGAGGGAAAAAGGTTGATTTTATATTGCAAGCACAATATAGGTACATTTTTCGGTAGAAATTCATCTTTTTTTTTTTCTTGATAATGGTCACTTTACCCACGGTTTAAGCCAATAGAACATGTTGATTTCATGTAATTTGACACGGTGGTTCAGTTTATAGAACTTGCCTTGGACACGGTGATCTTACCACCTTCTTCAAAAGGTAAGTCGTAAAAGATTTTATTCAACCACAACGAAAAAATTAACTATCATGATGATGAATGATGAATTCATCCACACTTTATTGAAATTAGGGAATTTACAATTTTTCCTTGATACGGCCCAATGTGTTTTTGAGCTGATCTTGAGAGACATCCTTGAGTTGAGGCCATCCGACGATAAGGCCTTGCTCTGGGTTAGGCTTAGGGATAATGTGGAAATGAACATGAGGAACTTCCTATAAAAGAAAAATATGTTAGTTGTCTTGCATTATAAAGGTAGAGCATGCATGTACCTGATGAGCCATACGGCCGTTGTTCTGAGTGAATGGATTAGAATCTCAACTTTGTCTAACCTGTCTGCTTATTTTGCTTTTCTATGCTTACCTGCAGCAAGTTGTATTGACCATCAGCCAAGCCAATAGCAAGAGCTACCTTTTTAGCTACAGGCAACATGTCAGCGAGAATATCGTCAGGAACTTGATGAAAGAACTCTGCGTGATCTATATAGGGAACACCAAAATGTTACTCCATTTGTCGGGTGCTTGTAAACTAATTGTGTGCCTAGTTTGGCGATGTGATGATGGCTTACATTTGGGAATAACGAGCTATGCGAGATGCAGGTATAAATCAGTATTTCGACATTTATACTATTTCACACATCAACACTTACAGCATGACCTTCGCTCAAAGGATTAATATCGAGGAAAGAGTAACTATATCGCGTATTAGTCCAGGGAAGCCGAATTCAAACATTCAAATATACCTCTTTTCTGTCTCGATGATCTTGCAGGATGGGATATCACCCCTTTTCACGAAAAATCACGTTAGTCATGTACAAAGCAACCTGTTCGATAGTTGTATTACTTGATGATTTTACAGAAAAGACAGCTATCAGATAAATGCTCGGTAGACATGTTGTATTGAGGATACAAAAGAGAGCGAAAAAACCATTGCCACTGATGTTTAAAAGGGGGACATTTACTTTTTCCGCTTATGAGAGATTGTGCACACAGAATCGCTTAAAATCTAGGCCGCCTCTTCCGGATGATGTTTATAAGTGATATTCCCATGGTCAATCAAGAAAAGGAATCCATGATTTCTCCTGCGTAGCCTGAGTAAGCTTGAGTTCTTGCATCTAATGTATATACTGTAAATCATTCAAAAAACGTAGACAAATAAACCATATCCTTTGAGAATTTTAAAGAATTGTGTGCCGTACAAGGTGAATAAAACCACCAGCATAGCCGGCAATGAAAAGGGTATTTGGAGGAGGTGCTAAGCCCATCCACCAAGAATATAACGCATCTAATTCAGCATTTGGTAGCATTGACCTATGAAGCGATTTTGCCGTAGCAAAGTGAAGGTGATAACCCATAGCAACTAAGCATCTAACCCACCATTTGGTAATATTAACCTTAACGAGGGGCTTACCGTAGCGAAGCGAAGGTGCAAAACCGTAGTATTCAAGCAGTAAATTTGGGTTTTCATTTCCATTATTAGTACGCGTCAAAATTTGCATGAATCAGCTTTACCAAAATCAATATACCTTCTATTTGAATCAAAGATTGCACAGGCTGCAGAACTACCCTTCCAGTAAATTACAGCTACCAAACATGTGATTTATGCCGTATAAATACACTCTATAAAGCAATACATAACCAAATTTGACAGTTTTCAAGCCTTTGTATCTTGACATGTAGACCTTTATGAGCCACCGGAATGACGCCAAACAATTGTACATGAATAGTAGTAACTATCTGACACATTTGCTCAACTTTTTGGGGACCTAAAAAAACATGGCCAAAAATCGACCAAAAAGCATGAGGGGTACCTCATGGTTTTCATCGAAAACCAAACGATCGCATTTTTTACCTTGAAAATGAAGACTTTTACTAGGGCATATATTAATTCAAAATGTGTCTCTCGATCCAAACCAACCTCTGAAACCACTTTTATGAGGTGTTCATATGCAAAATATGGCTAATTTCGCTAAAAACCTCATTTCAAATTTATTGAATTGCTCAATAATTTCAGTCAGAATACTTATCACGGTTAGCACCATTGGAAGCGCCTTGAAAAGTACTCCAAGAATGTATTAGGAAGGGTAGCGTGATTATTACAGTTTATATAGTCGAGTCTCATAAAATAGATTAAAGAAGTCGAAAAAAGACAAAATCTGTCCAATCTTGAGCAGAAATAATAAGCTGGTTTTGAATCAATTTTAGCGGGCGTCGCTGCTGCTGGCTGGCCCAAATGCCTCTCTGTTGATGACAATGATGATTGCGATGCTGATTAAATGGGGATCATGGAATTGAAAGAACAATTACTTAGCGCAAATAATTTTTTTTGGAGCTTTGTCTCATTGAAGAGTCTCTTGCAATGACAAATCTCAAAAAAAGTCGCTGTAAAATTTACACAAGTCCTGTATTTGCTCATGACCAGCTTTATGTCGCCATCTTATTAAGAGCAGCAGCAGCAGTGAATGATATGACAATTCTACTATCAGAAAATGGCGATTATGATGTACAAATGCTACATAAAACTTGGAGTTTCTTTCGCATTGTCCCAATAGGCTTTGTTTGATATCAATATAAGCAAAAAAGGGTGCTGAGTGAGGTAACTCCTCTTCCCCTCCTGGCTCAGATATATCCTTTCTTTTACTAACTAATAATAACTAATAATTGGTTGTTTAAAATCTACTTGATATACCAAAATGTTATAATATCTGATTTAAAATGTCTTTGGCGAGACCCCACAGGGTGGCACCGACATCGAGCGTAGCGAGACAGATCGGCTAGTAATTCCAAATATAATACATTAATGGTGTCTCCATTTTCAAGAGATTGATTAGTTGATGTTCTTATATTCTGGGTTTCGCATCTGGATGAGCAATTTGCTTTTATTAAACCTGCTATTTCAGATACAAAACTGCAATGTAGAGATTTTACATAGAAAAGTTGCACAAACGTGGTTTCAGAGGTTGCTTTGAATCCATACAAACATTTTGATTTAGTACATGCCATAGTAAAAGTCTTTGTTTTGGAGGTCAAAGACGCGATTGTTTAATTTTTGACGAAATCCATGAGGTATCCCTCATGCTTTTTGGTTGATTTTTGGTTGATTTTTGGCGATCCCAAAAAAGCTGAGCAAAGGTGTCAGAAAGTTTGCGCTAGTTGAGAGTAATTGTTTGGTGCCATTCTGACAGTCTAAAACAGCTCCTATCACGAGAAAACACAGCTCAAATGCACCCAAACTTTGCTGTGATTTGCATCATTTTGAACAGTAAGAGATACTGTTAATAAGCTATCCACCAGTATACGAGTTGTTTCCACTGATACAGACACGAAGCTTCGTACAAGAACCACATCTGTAGCGACATGTCGTTTCTAGCGACTTCGTAGTTGTCAAGGAATATTTGATTTATGATATTTCAGTATATTTCAGCAGGATGAGTTTTTTTTTTTTGCGATAAATTGATTACTGATTATGCAATCAAACAAGAAATCATACATGTGCTACTGCCTGCAATGCTTTTTTTCGAGTTCCTGCCCAACAGAATGAGTCTTGGCTAACTTTTTGACATAATCCATTTTCAATGTGGCTGCCCTAGTCAAACTGAAGAAATAAGCATGGAGGCAAGATTGCCTTTTGATCAGATGGATGCAATAGTCAATTATACAAGCAGCAACTATGAAATACATCTATTCTAAATTAAGGGGAATGCTCATATGTCCGTCATTCTCATTGGAGGATTCAACGCGCACATTAATTATGGAGCGGGTACCATTCATCAGCATGCTTTTCTTTCTTTTACATACACATTCAATCAGCAAGATATAAGAAATGGCCAAGTGGTGGTGGGGTTATAACGTCATAACTCTGCTTTGTCTATTTGTTCTGTCAGTGTACAGCAATGATCAAGAGCAAATAGAGGGATTTTTTAGTCAAAGTGGACATACCAACAATTGGGCAGTTTTGGTAAATAGCTGAGAACAAGGCAGACAAGAGCCCAATTCTAACCACCCAGTATTTTAGGTCTGCACCTCTCGCTTTTGGTTCAACTACCGTCATGTAGCCAACACATTGTCCATGTATCGCACAGTCAAGCGACTAGGCATTCCGGATTCCAACATTATATTGATGCTGGCAGACGATGTCTCTTGTAATCCTCGTAACAAATACCCGGCAACAGTGTACAACAATGCCAATCGATTATTGGATCTATACGGTGATAATGTAGAAGTAGATTATCGAGGATATGAAGTGACGGTAGAGAATTTTATTCGTATGCTCACGGGTAAGTTGGCATTCAGAGTGGAAGATACTGCGTGGCTGATACGACTTGTTGCACACACTAGGCCGTGTCTCGCCTGATACTCCTCGTTCCAAACGACTACTATCAGACGATAGATCCAACATCTTGGTCTACATGACCGGCCATGGAGGAGACGAATTCTTGAAATTCCAAGATGCTGAGGAGATTAGCGCCTACGATTTGGCAGATTCATTCAAGCAAATGTCTGAAAAGAAGCGATACAACGAGATTCTATTCATGATTGACACCTGCCAAGCAAATACTATGTACAGTAAGATTAACTCTACCAATATCCTTGCTGCTGGCAGTAGTAAATTAGATGAAAGCTCCTATTCAGTAAGTGTTCAGGGTAGTGGATGGGCATGCGTTTAATGCTTTATGCTATCTAGCATCACACAGATTACGACATTGGTGTTGCTGTCATCGACAGCTTTACGTATTACAATTTGGAATTTTTAGAGAATGTGGATCAGACCAGTGACAGGACATTACAGGAATTGGTAAGATGGGCCAGTGTAAATTTCATGCCAATGCTAACAGGTATGGATCTAGTTTGATACATATGATCCAGTCAAGATTGCCTCTCATCCAGGCATTCGCTCTGACTTGTTCAACCGTCCTTTGAACAAAGTCAAGGTGACAGATTTCTTTGGCAACGTACAAAATGTAGAGCTTACCAAAAGTCGATACCCACTTGTACAGCAAGAAGATGCGGTAAATGATACAGTAGCAGCAGATTCATTTTCAACAGATCAACAATCGTTCAGTACTGCAGACACAGTCTCCAGTAAACATTTGCATCACTCATTCTTGGTAAAGAAAAAGACAGACACGCGTTATTGGATTCAATCAGGATTTGGTGTGCTATCAGCATTAGGCATTGGCTATGTGATTGCAACCACCATCATGTCTTGAATCAGTGATAAGCGAAAAAGGACGACAATAGGCCTTTATTATATATAAACATAAGAATAAAAAGTTAATGGTGTATAATATCATAGGTAAAAGTGGGCTTGGTGGAAGGGGGAAAAAATCTAAATATACAAAATCTGTCTATATGATATAGCAATAGTAGTAGTAGTAGTAGTAGTAGTAGTTATAACACAGTGTTTTTTTTTGGGGAAGAGGGTTTTCACATGATGTTGCATGAACAGTAAACTGGACCGGAGGATTCTCGAGGATCCCAGTCTCCGTTATGATTTTCTTCATGTTGATATTGCTTCGTAGTGATGGATGAGAAACTAGACATGGCTAATGTGGCGGGCATCTCTGGCAAGGTGTATCCAGAGTCAATATCACCCTTCTTGGACAGCGCTGCTACGGCTTGTGAGTGATAATCGTCTTCGGCAGTGGCTGTGGTATCGCTGCTGCTGTTTGAATCTTCTTGCTGTTGCTGCTGCTGTTGTTGTGTTGAAGTGTGATGGTTGTTTTCAATGTTTTCCCGTTTTCTATCTTCCCAAATGGATAGATTTCGTTTGATGTGCTCCACCGGAAAAGAGAGTTCTGCATGCGTATGATATGAGTGGGCTACTCACTGAGGCGGATCCCATCCTGCTCTTCCTTACCTTGCATGGATTCACTCACACTCTCAAATAGTCCGACGGCAACAAATCTGATGAATCCAATTTGGGAGTCTTCCAAAATAATTTGAGATCTGTCATTCATGGGCATCACACTCAAGCCCAACTCTCGCTCTAAGTCACCTTGCGAGGCAAACTCTTCTACCAGTATCTGTGCCCATTCGTAAGCTCTAGGAAAGGGGCGAGCAACATTACTAATATCAGCACATTTGATCAAACCACTGCAAAACAAGAGCCTCTCCTCCAAGCATCTCGGCGCATCCCACTCGTTTGGATCACTGTCTGCCAGTCGCTGCTTTTGTTCCTTGATTTTGGTCACATAATCACCGTGTAACGCCATATCCGTGGCCAAAATACTTGTAATGACTAATTTTCTAAATTCGACATATTCCTTGGAATCTGATCCACCCAGAATGTTGTCAAACTTGTGCTTCTTCAGTAGCTGAAACAAGGTCATTGCATGGAAGCTTTCTAATACGGAATTGTCATTATAAAGCAGCGCCAGAGGAGCCGAGGTATTGATCTAAAATATGTCAGCTTCATTTGCTTCCAAACACAAGACAAGCCTGCTTACCAGAAATGCATTATTCACGCCTGGATGTGCTGTGTCATGCCCAATAGCAGCTATAAATAGTGCGAACAGATCTTTTGGCCTTAGTATACGGTATGTTTTTGAATTTGTTATGCGTGGAGTTCCATCGGCAAATGGTACCAGACCCAATTGACATGTAAAGTAATATATACATTGCAGCACATCCACTGCATGAGCAAAGTTATGGTATGGGTTTTCATCATGATAGATACTAGCCAAATCCAATATAAAACTATACAGCTGGTCTATCGTCATGAGTGAGTATAGTACTTGTATTTACATGGCTGTGTCTTCTATTCACCTTGACTGAATTTAGTGATTTCGTCCAGTAGAAATACTTGAGATATAATGATGACTGAACAATGAACGAGGTCATCATGAGACAGGTTCAATGGACTGAAATCCCAACTAGACACCTTCTTTTGCAACGTCTCTCGATGTTCACTGTAAAGAGTCAAAGGGGATTAATACTTCATTTTTCCCATGTGAGCAGTAAGGAGGTGTTTCTGTTATTGTCTATAAAAGGAGGGAAATATAAACGGGAGGAGGGAGAGCAGGGAGGGAGAGAAGTAACAAAAAAACTTACTCTGTTAGTTGTTTGCATGTTAATGTTGACGGTACTGGTAGATACGAATCAATGATGGCCTTTGTAAAGCTAAACAGATGCATTAATATCCCAATCACTGCCACTGATTTGTGCATGTAGGTATTACTTTATATCTCTGCTGTTGATAGCCTTGATGCGATCATGAATGCGATCCGGTAAATAAGCCGAGTTTTTATTGTTATCATGGTTGCTATTGCTACAGTGCTGTGCTGTTGTGGGTGTGATGGGAGACATGACTGAAGTGATTGTACTAATGGTACTACAAGAAATAAGATGATCTTGGTATAACGGCGAGGATTGCTGATGATGCTGTCTACGCACTAGTGTCTATTTAGAGGGGTTTCTCATGAGTCCTTTAGTCGACATGTCGTTTGCACTCTAGTAAATACCAGAAACAACGTCTTTATCACATCAGATCGTAGGGGCCGCAACACATAGTCAGCAGCACCCAGTTGGATACATTCCAACATAAATTGCGGATCGTCTTTTGTCGAATACACTACAGTAGGGCGCTTAGTAACAACTCTAGTACAATCAAAACAAGCACACTATAAAATTACCAATGACAGGTACAGCGTCAGATACTTGTTCAATGGTGTGAGATACAGCTTGAATTTGCTCCTGATTCTCCATAGCATCATCCAATTCCATGAGCAGCAGTGTCGATGAAGACGGGAGCAGTTTAATATAGTTCAAGCATGATTCAAGGTTTGTATCTTTATGAACTTGTGATTTGATTTGATTTCAATTTTATTGATTTGCTCTTCATTTTGTGTAGAAATGTAATAATTACCATGCCCAAATGATCTTTGCAGTATATCTTTCTCGGCTTCTTCTGCTTCCTTGTCAAATACATCGTCATGATCTGAAATGTAGAATGGGTTTGTTTGTTTTAATAGAATAATTGTACATGTTTGTGGATCCATTTATAAAATGAAATGAAAAATGAAAGGGGAAGGGGCTACTGTGTTGATTTTGATGCTGTTTCGTCTATTTTTTTTTTTTTTTGTGTGTGTAGTTGATTTGATTTATTTTCGAAAATTAAAAGTGAAAGAAAGAGAAAGGAAAAGGGGGAAAATGTACAATAAAGAAAAAGGGAAAACAAAAAAAAAAGGGAATTGTGAGAGTGAATTTGTTAGCTATTCAGGTAAGACAAAATAATTTTGTGTAAAAAAAAAAAAAAAAAAAAAAAAAAAAAAAAAAAAGTAAGCTTTCTGTCTGTTTCGTTTGAAAAGCAATGGCATTAGAATACACAGTGGGAGAGAGAAGGGGTTTCAATCACATCATTTGTTGGTGACACTCTGGATGGCACCTGCCTAGCCAAACTGCCTAGCTGTCTTAATCTAGACCTTTCCCCCCCCCCCTCCTATTATATCTGCGGCGCCCTCTTTACTGGTCCTCTGCATTTGGTATAATCAATATGATTTAGCCATGATTCAATCTGTCTGTCCATATTGAACTGATATTTCCTGATGATGGGTGATTCAAATGCTGTGAAGTAACTGTCCACTGAAGCCGCATCGTCCTCCTCTTCATCCATCACTATTGCTGGTGGATCAGTTTGAGTGCCCACCGAAATTGTTGGTTTGTTAAGGAGCATATCCAGCTCATGTTGTAATATTTCCATGTGTTTACTTGAATCTTCTAAATTCATCCGTAATTTGCGATTCTAAATGTTATTGTTAGTACTTGGCTTTGTCTGTCTGTCTGTATGCCTAGATGTACTTGTTGTTTCAATTGATACAGATCAAGATCCTTGGTCATGATATCCTCTAAATGATACAGGCGCAGCTTCAGATCGAAATTTTCCTTCTTCAAGTCTGTAATTAGCTATATATTAGGGTTAGCCGACTTGGCACATGTCATGCAATTAGCTTTACCTTTTCTACTTCTTTCATAGGTGCTATTTTAGTCTTTGTGGGTGGGGGTGGTGGCTTGTTGATCTCATTACTGTAGCTGGTGCTGTTACTACTATTACTGGCAGATCGACTCCATTGCTGATTCAAGCCAGGTGGTTTACCCAAATGCGATGAATGAAATCTCTTGGTACTGTATTGCATAGCACTGTTATCTGTATAGCAAGACCGAGGTGTGTGATTGAATTCGTGCATGGATGATGATGAGGAGGATTGGCTACTGCTTGCAACTGACTCCAGGCATGAGAAGCTTTTTGATCTATCCTTTATTAGATTCGAATCAGGAGTCAAGTATGTCATTTGTATGTATACTTTATAAAGGAAACAGCGAAAAAAAAAAAAAAAAAAAAAAAAAAAAAAGTAATCATAAAGGGAAATTTTACTCGATTGAATAAATAGTGATAGAATATATCCGAGTTTTATTGCCATCTCGAGAATTGTGATGCTTGTTGTTGCTGCTGTGACATGGACAAATTGGAGCCTTGTTGATGGTTATTGTAACTATCAGTCATTGCGCCATCTGGATTGTAAGTGAACCCTTTAAACTGCTCTTGCATCGTCTTGGATATCTGAGAATCTTCTTCAGCGGCGACTGATTCAACAGGTTGCTCTGAAGTAAATTCATCGTCAAAATTGGTGGTGTCATACATGTTCTCCACAGATGGCTTGAATGGTGCTTGTAATTGTTTCCTCATTAACTTTGTCCAATCAATGGATCTAAAAAACGGATGATGCCTAATTTCATCTGTACCTCGATTTCCTAAACGCTGGTTTGGGTCTCGAGTCAATAAGCCTGTTAGGAAACTGGATGCTTCATCTGACATGTCATCTGGAAAGATAAGTGGGTCTCGGAGGATCTTTCTGTACATTTCATCGGTGTTTTCGTGGTAGAATGGTGGTAATCCTGTCAACATTTCATACAATAGCACACCCAATGTCCACCAGTCGACGTTCTTGGTATAACCTTGACCTAACAACAGCTCTGGTGCTAAATACTCTGGTGTTCCACAAAAAGTATTTGTTCGTTCAGAATCAGTCATGTTTAATTTACATAAACCGAAATCACACAATGCAATATGACCGTTATAATCGATCAGGATATTCTCTGGTTTAAGGTCTCTAACGAATAAATGTTTATTTAGACCGTGTTGATGTGGCACTCCATATACATCTCACTTACCGGTACACCACATTGAATCCATGCAAGCACTCCAAGGCACAAAACAATTCCGCTGTATAGAATCTTGCTCTTTCTTCATGAAACCTCCCTTCTACTTGCAAATGATGAAATAGCTCTCCACCATTAATGAACGCCAATACCAAATACAGTTTGTCGGGACTCTGAAATGCAAACTTGAGTGGTACAATGAACGGATTTCTCACTTGAGCCAGCACCGTCTTCTCTGCCATTGTATGCGTCACTTCAGAGCGTGAGATGATACGAGACTTTCGCAAAACCTTCATGGCGTAGATACGATTTGTGTCCTTTTTGCGCACCACGTACACTTTTCCAAAGCTGCCTCGTCCAATCACTCGTAACAGATCAAAAGATTGGAATGAGATGCTGGTCGTTTGTTGGTGAGGCGTGTAGCATGACTGAACAAACATGGCTCCTGTGCCTCCCATAATGTTGTAGACTTGATCTTCTAAGGCTGTGGATGTGAAATTGGGCTGAAATTTGACTGTGCCCAAGAAATGATCGTTGGCGGTTCTGGCAGCAGGTACGCCTCCAGTTTCTTGATTTGGTGGTTGTCGCAAGTAGATGGATATGGCAACAAGGGATTGACAAGAGACATCACTGTTTCAAGAAGTTCATCAGTCTGATGTGAGTGCCATGCTTGAGGATAGACTTACAAATTGGCTCTGTAGTTGTATACAGGATTCGATGTGTCACCACCAAGAGCATCAATCAATACTTCATTTTTATCAAATTCCAATACAACATAGGGTAGCCACCAATTTTGCTTTCTATGAAATGATTCTCTTTTACTACGTTGGAGAACAGGTAGAGGACCTGTATTCGGTACCTGTGCACCTTGCGGCAGCGTAATGCCTCTTGCTTCACACACTCGAATGAGCAAGACGCCTGCCCTAGGTTGTTCAGTAACTAAGGAGATGTTAGTATAACGTTGTTTTAACTAGCATTGCGTTACATACACTCAGTGTTCATATTTTATAAAAAGAGAGAAAAGAAAAGAAAAGAAAAAAGAGGTATATCAACTTTATGAACACTAGATCCAAAAATAAGGGGGGGGGAGGGGGGTGAAGGGACACCCAATAAAACGTATGAACAAAGATCCGAGTAACTTAATTAACGTTTATTACCATATTATCCCCTTTTTCCTCTGATGACAACACTCATTTTTATTTATCCACCATGCAAAGTTGAGATAAATACAATTTCATCCTTGTCTTCTAGCTCGTACTCTAATTCATCGCACAATTCCCAATCCACATTATTGATCAAGACCAAAATACCAGGACGACTGTTACATACAAGAAAATCAATACCACAACCACAGAAAGAATCAAACAAGCACTTACACAGTGTCCTTTTCAACAAATAGATCCTTCTTTTCAGTCATCATGGTATCGCGGATATAAAGGATTAAATCTTGAAGATTGGAGGGCTTGCCTTTTTCGTTGGTAGCAGGAAATTGGATGCTGTGCTTGCTAACATTTTGGAACAAAAGCTCCATGCCTCCACTACATGGCTTATGAGTACGGCATTTGTCAATTATATCTGTATTCAAGGTTACCTGAATTCAACGTTGATGGTCAAATTTGACATTGTTTTATGTGTATCGTAATGTGAAAGAAAAGAATTTGTCAAAATGCAAGACGACAGCTTTTTAGGTTCATGGAAAAAAAACTTGCTTGCAGTGACTACTGTATTTGAATTGATGGATCAAGAAATAGGCCTTGATCTCTATGATCCACCTCACTTTATGTTGCGGTTATGAATGACTATCCACTGCCATTTGTACATCACGCATGCTATTTGAACTCCCACAGATGCATTTGGCCGAAAAGAGCAACAATATCTGCAGCAATTTCTTTAAACCTCGTTAGATGAGCTCATGCCACATCATTTGAAGAATACTTGAAGTCGTTCAGGAATTACCATGGAGCGCAATTTTATGCTGATCATGTACTTTGCGTTTATAATTAGCTACATGTTGCTATCTTGCCTGATCGAGCTTCTGACGCTACGTTTTCTATAATCAATGGCGCCTGAGGTGTATGATTCACTAATACATATTCATTGAACCCTTCTCATTACAGCAATATATGTGAGGCTTTAAATCTGTCTACACAAACGATGCAATTACATTCGTTGGTTCTTCGATGCATCAGTAAATTAGTTTTGAATTGTTCCTGGAACGTTCGATATTGCTGTTAGATCAGGTCGTTATGTAATAAATATTTCATTTTTCAGCTGCTTACTTTTAAGAGAGAACCTTTTACAGGCGACATGTAACTGCAGATACAACTTTTCTATGTGCCTTACGCTTGTATCAACGAGAAGAATTTATATAAGGGCAGATAGCTTATTAACAGTATCTCTTACTGTTCAAAATGATGCAAATCACAGCAAAGTTTGGGTGCTTTTGAGCTGTGTTTTCTCGTGATAGGAGCTGTTTTAGACTGTCAGAATGGCACCAAACAATTACTCTCAACTAGCGCAAACTTTCTGACACCTTTGCTCAGCTTTTTTGGGATCGCCAAAAATCAACCAAAAATCAACCAAAAAGCATGAGGGATACCTCATGGATTTCGTCAAAAATTAAACAATCGCGTCTTTGACCTCCAAAACGAAGACTTTTACTATGGCATGTACTAAATCAAAATGTTTGTATGGATTCAAAGCAACCTCTGAAACCACGTTTGTGCAACTTTTCTATGTAAAATCTCTACATTTTTGCCAAAAAACCTCAGTTCATGTTTTGTAGTATTACTCAATACGTTTATTCAAAGCATATATTTTACTTGGCACCATTGGAAGCGCCTTGAAATGTACCCCAATAATGTATTAGGAAGCGTCGGATGAGCATCACACATTATATAGTCGGATCTGGCAACATAGTTAAATCAAGTCGAAAAACTATCAAAATTGGCCAATCTGGAGTAGACCAAGGGTCTGAGTTCAAATTAATTTTGGCGACTGGAGGAGCCGGCTGGCAAACTCAATGCCCTTTCCATCACGAGGGCAATACAGTAATAAATGCTTTTGAAGCGTATGGAAAGTAGGTGGCAACTTACAAAGCACTATCGTTAGCCATACTATCTTTCTTGCATTATATATTTAGTAACGCCAGTCTATCAAAATGCTTGTTCGATCAACTCTTTTCCTTTTTGAGGCTTTGAAAATGTCTAGGGATCATAAACTTATTAGGTTGCGATGAACATTTCGACTCTTCGGTAGGTTACGACCAAAGCGAAGTGTAGGTCAGGAAATTAACCTACGTTCAGGGGGTTTGCGCTACCGCGGGCCTTTGCTTGTTTCAATACATCATACCTCAAACAGAAGCAATACACATTTCGTCATTTTTCATATTTTTTTTTAAAAAAATAAGTAAATTTCATTCTCACGGTTGCTCTTAATCTTGCTAATGTAATGATACGACGCACAAGAAACTAGGTCGATTCAATAAATCGGTGACAAAACACAACTCACCATGATACTGAGATTGAACAGTATGTGCAGCGTATGGTGGTTGCTCCCGAAATATTCCTCACATTTTACATGTCATGTTGCTTTTAAGAAACAAATAGGAATGAAACATATGATTGTTTGTGTCTGTGTATACACGTTTCTTCATAGAAAAAAAAGTGTGGGATGTTAATATATATCAAAAGCAACATGTATATCAAAAAATCACACATTCATCCATCAAGTCTTGTCCTTTCTCACGTCGAGTCAGGGAGCCAATCAATGGCAAACGACAGCTAAAAGGATGTGTCAGAATGATTTCAATTTCTCAAACCGCAACAGAAACGTTTAGCCATCGAGTATCTGATTTGTTAGGATTCGTATTGTTCTACAAGTCTTTTGAAAAAGGGAAAAGAGGATTTATCCAGATTACACAATTCTTTCATTTTGGACAAGAAGAAAAGGGCACAAAAGGTGCTGAAATTATTCAATGCGATGAGAGATAAAGCGAATTGATAGGAAGCAGCCATGAGCCATGTAACGAATAAATCAAAATCAAATGTTTATCAACTATCAGCTGGCCATCAGTCGAGAAAAAAAAAATTAGCTCGGGTAGTTTATCCACTAGTCAATATTGCGAAAAAAAAAAAAGTATAAATACTGGAGGCAATTTGAATTTTCACCTCTTTTTTTTTTTCTCTTTTCTTTTTTTTCTTTTTCTTTTTGGTATTTTTACCCTTTGAATAATCATTATAACACCCATGCTGGCCCTCCCTAACACAATTACAAGAGAAGCAATCCCTCCTGGTTTCATAGGTAAAGTAGAAGCGAATTGGTTTAAATAAATGGAAAAGGGAGGTGTGGGTGGTACCATTCATTTAAATTTGGTCCCTGGATCTGTTTGTATTAAATTTTTTAAACAACGTTAGATTTCGCTTCCTCTTCATTCGATGCCATCTTGTTTCCTAATGCTCCTGCCGAAGTAACACCTACTGCAGCTGCGCAAAATGATGGCGAGATCAAAAGAAGAACGTCCCATTTACCTGACCTGATTCCGTTCATCCAACTTATTACTGACAAATGTGATGTCCAACCTATTCATATGGTCATGGCACTCATGTACGTTCAAAGATTCAGGAAATCATTGCCTGCTGGTAAGTTGCACATCAATCAAATAAGATTTTCAATGCACAAGACTGATTACATTGTGTTTTTGTAGGATACAAGGCTGAACCTGAAGCTGCTCATCGTATTTTTGTTGCATCTCTGCTGGTTGCTAGCAAGTACAGTGAAGATCGTTGTCTTTCCACAAAGCAAGTTGTTAGAGCTACGGGTGATGTTTGGTCCATCAAGGAAATTACTCAAATGGAATTAGCTTTCTTGAGATTCTTGCATTGGGATCTTTATGTGAGTCATGAGGAGATAACCAAATTTCTTCATGATTTAGGATTTGATATTCGATCTATTCTACCCAATCGTCCTATCCTGTTGGATGATACTCTTTAGAGTTCGTTTCTTTTTCAATCTTGATACCCTACCTTTACCTTGTAAATAACTACTATTTGTATATATATATACCCTATAACTACAGCAACTACTTTACGGCCTTGTTAGTCAACGCTCTTTTACTTTCAGAACACATGTACAAGTATATATATAATAGACTATTTACAAGCTGTTTTTTCTTTCAGACAACATTAATAAACCAAACAGAAATGAACATCTTCATTTTATGTGGCCAAATTCTCACGTTTAAAGCAATGGCTTCGTCATTCAAAGTGTCATCGTTGTTGCAGTTATTACAAACAAACATGTAATTACCTTTTTGTTTACATTTGATACACAAAATTTCATTCTAATTGCAACAATGGATTGCTGGGGGGGGGGAAGGAGCCTCATGCATAATGCGGAGATCATTTCTTCCGTTGCTGTTCAAGTGCTTGATTTCATGATCTAGCAAATGTTCAAATGAGAATAATGGAAAAAGTCATTTGCTATGCTGTGAGTGGATCATAATTCAAAAGAATTACTCTCACGTGGGGCCTGTTTCATCATAGGATTGGGGGGGGATAGACATTATGAACTGAACATGAATTTCAAATATCATAGATTTGACATCTACTGTGGGATATGTCGAAAGAGCAAGCCTGCAATCATACAAGTTAGCGAAGCACTCAATAGTCTTGACTTGATGATGTGATGTGTTTTCCTTACGAGATTGTAGAAATCCAGAAAGAAGGGCCAAAAGTTTAAAATGCTGTTGGCACGCTACATTAACGTGTATTGCGCTTGGATGATTATGTTACTGTCATCGAGCCCAGTGAAATGCTCGGGGCTGCCATGAATACCGTATGTTGGCACATGCTATACATGCTTGATATCGTTCATGACCTTTTTGATCTTCAGCTTATCATGTTTAATTTCCAATCCCAAGGCAAACTGAATTAAGGTTGCAAAATCAACCAACCACAGTAAATAAATAAATGTCTGAAAATACTAAAAAAAAAAAAAAAAAAAAAAAAAAAAAAAACTTTTTCTTTTATTTACTTTTTTCGAATATTAGTTACGTTGGCAATAATCTATGAAATTTGCCAAATATCTCGAGTCAGAAAGTATTCCGGAATGGAGGAGGGCTTACATCAACTACAAAGGCCTCAAGAAAAGATTGAAAGCCATCGAAAAGGTAAACTCTTGTTTAGTTCTTGCATTAAAATGCACAACAATCATATCAACACATCTGTCAACTTAGTACCGTAAATTGAATCATGTCGAGGAAAACGTTCGACTTCATAACGCTATCCAGGATATCGACGATGCACCAGACTTGGATTATCCTAACAGACTAGCAACACCGAGAAGACCAACACGTACCCAATCCTCCATCATAGACAATAGATCCTCTGGATTACAGCCCAGAAGCGTTTCGGCTAGTAATTTATTCAAGCGATTTTCCTTTCACTTCAACAGACAAGACACAGAATTAGGCAATGTCAATCGACCTTCTATACCAGGTAAGAGGCGATGCATGCAAAGCCTTTTCTCCAAGCTCAACAAAAACACAATGTAGCCCTTGAACTGCAATCTATTTCTGTGTTGGAAGAGGCACTTCGGCATGCAAGCGAACCCGAGCAGTACTTTTTCGTCATGCTGGATGGAGATTTAGAGACAATATCTCGATTCTACGATGGTATGTGAAAAAAGGAGATGTGTCATTTACTCGTCTTAATTCATCATTTCGCTACACAATTAGAAAAGGAAAAAGAAGCGGAAGCCAAATACGAGGCACTTAAACTTCAAGTTCAATTAGTTCGAGATTTCGCAGTGCAGTTATCACATTTGCATGTAAGTTTTGTTTAGAAAAGAGATCATCACATTATATTTATTGAACTTATAGTCTGAGCACGATATCATATCTGCTGATGGTCGATTGAATCCAATGAATTGGTTCAAGGGGAGAAGAGGATCCAATGAAACGGATATTCCTGATCTACCAGCTTCCGTAGAATACAATGGAGATCATCATATGAGTTACAATGTAACAGTGGGGGAAAAGATTGCCCTGAATGATTCGAAACTAATGCTTACTCTTTATGAAAGGTGGCAAGGAGCAGATTGAAAAAGGCCATTACCGAATATTATCGTAGCTTGGAGTTGCTCAAGTCATACAAGGTAATACACGCATCATGATGTCAGGTTACACATATTCATAAGATGGCCACAGATTTTGAACGAAACTGGATTCCAAAAGATCTTGAAGAAGTTTGATAAGACAGCAGGATGGAAAGCAAGCGCACTGTATATGGAGAAAGTGCGCAGATATCACTGGGCAAAGTCTCATAAACTAGATGAATATCTGCAGGACACCGAGAATCTGTACATTCAGGAATTTGCGGATGGACATCGTAGACGAGGCATGGCAAAACTTCGCATCCCAGAGCGAGACGATCATTATACACCCACAACCTGGAGAACTGGTTTCTACATTGGTCTTTCTCTCGCACTTATGGCTCGAGTCACTCAACTTGCAACCGATCCCAATGTGCAGCAACAGCTCCCCAACTTGGAATACAACCTTCAGATCTACGCCTGCTTTAGCTTACCCATCTTGTTCTGCCTTGGTTTCTCCATTAACACACTCGTCTGGACACGATCTCACATCAACTACAAGTTTATCTTTGAATTTGATCCGCGAGACAACTTGGATTACCACGAATTCGCCGAATTACCTTCACTGATGCTGCTATTGCTGTCATTTATGATGTACGTGGACTTTTCTCAGTCATTTGCACCCCTTGTTCCCTCTGAACTATGCCCCTTGATTTTGTTTGTCATCATCATGGCTGTTTTGACATGTCCATTCCCTATCTTGTATTACTCTTCTCGTCGCTGGCTCAGTCTCTCCTTGGGTCGTATCATCCTCAGCTATTTCTTCCCTATTGAATTCCGTGATTTCTTCATTGCAGATGAACTCAATAGTTTGGCTTATTCTTTCTGGACATTTTCTTACTTTGTTTGTGCCTACCGCTTTCACTGGAATAACATGTCAGCCAATTGCCCTGTCAAAATCTTCTGGTATACCCCATTCTTGGCGTGTTTGCCTCCTTGGTGGCGTTTTATCCAATGTATTCGTCGTTATCAGGACTCCAGGGAAAAAGTGCATTTAGTGAATGCTCTCAAGTATACCACGAGTATTGGATCCACATTAGCAACGGGCTATCGACGAATGTATCGTAAGTATATCTCAATGAAAGTTTTGTTCAACACCTTGCTCAATATTGTTTACTATCAGCCAATGCATCGATGGAAGTCATTTGGGTCCTGTTTTGTATTGTTAATTCATCGTACACTTCAATCTGGGACATCAAAATGGATTGGGGGTTACTGCAGCCTGATAGCAAGCATTTGCTACTGAGAAACGATCTTGTATTCTACAGATGGACTTACTATGTCGCTGCCCCTCTGAATATTATCCTTCGTTTTGGATGGACATTGAACGCTGCTGGTTTAGGATATAAAGGTGAACTCATTGGATTTGTCACTGCGTTATTAGAGGCTTATCGACGTATTCAATGGAACTTTTTCCGTCTCGAAAATGAAGTAGGTTCATGACCGAGCATCGCAAGCACCATGTTGACTAATCAAATGTAATAGCATATCAACAACTGTGGTAATTATCGCGCTATCAAAGAAATTCCTTTGCCGTTTGCTTTCCGTGATGTCAACAAGTCGTCTGCTTCTGTTGCAGAAGAAGGTAGCATACAATTACCCATGGAGCCTAGTGATATTACTTCGCCTGCTGCCGCTGCAATCATTCCTGGACGCATGACGACACCTTATATTGACAACGTGTCTCCCGTGGGATCCTTTTATGGTCGTCGTGATTTCGAGAATAGACATGATTTGGATGACGGTGTCAGTTCAAGCGGTGTAGGCGGTAATTTGAAGCGTCAGCCATCCATGGTAGGCGCAGTTTTGGAGCGCATCAAGTCTAAGAAGGCGACAAAGGCTTCGGATTCTTCGGACACTGACTTGGATGATGAAGAAGAAGATAGCGATTAGATCTTTTGTATTTATATTATTTGTATTTGTTTGTAATTTAGAGTAAAATGAAAGACATGGATGCAATGAAAATTATCAATGTAAATTTTAATAGGGTGATGGCAAATGAGAGTGTGGTTTATTAGTAAAAAAAAAAATGATAATAATAATAGGCAAGGGGTTATAATTGCTACTAATATTATATATCCAAGTTAAATTCATGCCAGCAAAACGATTCTATGGCCAAAAAGCATTGGAAAACCCAAATAAGAACAATCATACAAGACAGAAGTCATCAAAGGTAATAAGCAGTAGACAACACGAACACTTGCTACAAGAAAAGAGAGGGACAGGGGATAAGAGAATGGAGGGAAGTAAGCAGATCAGTCAAGACTTGAATTACACCCACACAAGGAACCCACAAATCATTCAAACAACCCAACTCCAGGCAATCATTGTAAACCCACAAAAGACACAATAGAATCCCCCTTCAAGACTTCCCTCCATACAGAAAAGAAAAGGCTCTCAAGAGATCTAAAATAATAAAGATGTCAGATATGAATATACAAACACAATACAAGCAAAATGTCCATCGACTGAAATGCTGAAAGGTAAAGTTGAAGCTGAAGCTGACACTGAAACTGAAGTTGTTATACGCTGATCTAAAATCCTCACTGAAAAGATTCCTCAAGTTCTCAAATGTATACATTTCAAGTCTTGCAAAGAGACACCAAAAGTTCTCAACGTAGTGAACCAATCAGGCTTGTCTTGAATCAGAAGACCCAGGAGACAGAACCAGAACCTAGAAATCACCAGATAGACCACCAATAGAAGAGAACCAGACCAGACCGTGAAGACCAAATCAGGAGATGTGTAACAATAAACTAAATTTAACTAATAGTAATAGGAGAAAAATGGATCCTTTGGAAAATGACGTAATGTTGAAGGGATGGATGAAAAAGAGATAATCAGTCAAACAAATGTGTGTTGTGTTGAATTACTTGGAGTGGATTAAAGCGAACTGAACTAATTGAAGTATATCATGTAAAGCAAAGTGCTCTGCCGCTATGTTGTAGTGTTGCATACAAAAAGAAACTGGAATGAGCGCAACGAGGTTGAATTCAAACTTAACCGAGACGTAGTGTACACAAGAGAAGCACCATGAGAGGAGGTCGATAACTGAAACTAGACATACTGGGAAAATGCAAATCAGTGCAAACGAGTGTTGTGAACGAGACTTAACCGGAGAATAAGGAAACACGCATGAGACCTGCTGTTATTCTTGTGCGCAAATATGGAGGAAAGAGATATCAGTGCAAACGTATTGACTTGAATTACTTATCGGCAGCCAATGCGAGAGAAAGAACCGAACCGATACAATGGGAAGTGTAGCTACTAAGAATATCTATGCTGCGCAAACAGACAGGTGAAGCAAACGAGAAACATTTCGTGACGCTTGATGCAAGAATTACCACCAGAATAAAGCAATAAGAGAGGCCTAGGGAGAAAACCAACTTGTAGATGACTTGATACAGAGTAGGAAATAATTTAGCATAGTAGAAAAAAAAAAGGTAAAGAAGAAAGAATAAAGGCAATGCATTGAGAAATGCCTTCTATTTATATCTTTCTCAGGAAGAAGCAGGTGATATTTCGAGTGGACAAACAGAATTTGTTGCTTGAATACCATATGTGGATAGATGATTCCAAGTTTATTTTCTCTTCACCAATAAAACGATTGATTTAAGGCTGCATGCTGCATGATGGTTGGTGCATTATGATATTTTCAACAGTCCAAACATCAATTAGCTTACGAATGTTTCATGTTCCAGACTTTCAATGCAGCAAGTTGCCATCCTGCTCTTGATTCCATCAAGATAAGGCAGTGATTTATAAAAGTGTCGTGCACATCCACCATGATTCATTCGGTATAGATATACTTGGTACTCGAATCTTTTGTTACCGAGCGAATATATGCGAGTGGCCAACTTTTCTGGACTGAAATGTCCCGAGTTATGATGCTGTCTTGACTGTTTACCCATGACATCAAAGTTTACAACTGCATAAGGAAAAGCTAAAGTTTGTAATTTTTACTGAAAAAAAGTCTTTTGAGTTAAAGGCAATTATGGGAGCAATCTAGTCAACAATGCGTTTTATCTTGTACGGTCCAACCAGCATCCCTTCTCTTTCTATAAAACTGCTCAACAGTCATACAGAAGGTGATGAAAAGATAATTAGTCAAACAATAGTTATTAATGGCACACTGCAGATCGATTAGATGTCGAATATCTATGATTTATATAGGTTCTTACTATCTTAAAAGCTATCCATAGTATATTTTAGCCTTACAAAGCAACTAACACTGAACTTATCATGAGAGCAGTGGGGCTACAAGTGAGATACAAACTCCATAAAGCCTTGATGTCTCAGGCCAACCAGAGGCAAAATTAAGAGGATTCAGAAAGCACAGCTTATTAACACCAAAACAATCAGAAAAGTTTGCTGAATCTATTAATATAATTTTTGTCTGGTTTGCGTTTGCTTTTTGCTACTTTCTCTGTCAAGATGAAGTGTTTTATTAGACGTCTTTGGTGTTTTTCGGGACAGTAAAGTTAAAGCTAGACTAAACATCACTCAGATATACTACATACACAAAATTACCACTGTTAGAGAGCCAAGAAGCAGAAATTTTTGGGCGTAGATATTTACATGTTTATACCATCAACTGATGTAGCTATATCCTCTGCAAGTCGCAAATGTCGTGCTAAAACGCGTCAAAAAAAACCCAGAAAATCAGGTTGGTATAACTGAGTTTGAAATTTACTGACCTCACTCAATGTGCACCTGATTTGATATAACATTTGTACATTTTTTTTTATACTACAACCCACAACAGAATTGGCGTCTTATGCACTTTGAGTGTGGTTGGCTTTGTTCATTTTGAGGCGTGTATCAGAAGCTCTACATTACATCTCCAAATATTGGTATGGGTATTTTCCAGGTGATAGTGCATTTACTCGCAATCTTACCTGCTTTATGTACTTTCAGAGTGTGGATGAAGTATAATATATTTCCTGTGTGTGTGTGTACAGAACGTGATGGAGACTCCTAGTGTACTATACTATAGTTTTTGCTCATATTGTTCTAGTGATATGTTTATCAGTGCCTTCTTCTGGCTTTCCTCTCGCATGATCTTGTTACTTGCAACCAGAGAGCAATGTGTGAACCGAAAGTTGCTTGAACTGAAGATGATGGAGGCAAGTTGACTTTAGAGTTGGGATCGAAGCAATAGAATCCCAAGTCAAACACTTGATCAAGTGAAATTGTACTACAGTTATTTAGCTTTCGAAAGTTTTTCTGATAAGAATGCTTGTCTTCATTTCCTACAATAGAGTGGGTGGCGTGGTGTTACATTTTTGTACAATAACAGATAAGTCTGATCCGAGGATCAACTATTTATCTATCTATGCTATACTACCAATGCAGCAAAAACTGAATGACCGTATTATAAACAGAGCAGATAGTGGATTGTGGAATCCCAAGACAATTTGATGTTCTCAACGAGTGTCGTCGTACCAGTATTGCCAGTAAAAATTTTTTTTTGGCTTTTTCCTTGGGCTCCTTTATCATTGGTTCAACGCCTTTTAGAAGCTGATATATTAAACGTCTTGTTTCTCAAACTACCAATCTTTTTCTTTTTTCTTTTTTTCTTCCAAAAAGGTAAACTTCTTGGTTGATTTTTTCGTTTATTCTTTTGATCTTATATATCTACATATAACAACAACAAGAACAAACTGTAAAAAAAAACTATAATCACAATGGAAAAATACCCTCACGATTTTGATCCAGCTTTGACTGAAAAGTATAGTCAAGGGTCATCTAATGGCAATGATGAAAACGAATCTGTGGCCACTGGGCACAAGCTCTTTTCTAAACATACATTGATCAATTATTTCCCAAGATACAAGCTAAAGACGTCAGGTATTTTTCCAGAGCTCTATTGTGATGATATTAGAATTGCCTTTTAATGAAAACGAAAAAAAAAAAAATCAGGTGCTATTTACATTGATGAAAGACCTCCTCTTTACCAATGCTTCTTTATGGGTATCCAGCATGTCTTGGCCATGTTTGGTTCTACTGTGCTTGGTAAATCTCATGTAATCATTGATTGATAGACACTGCATGCTCACCACAACTCCTCCATGTAGCACCTCTTATGATGGGATTTGATACAAATAGTAAATATTGACATAGGCTATGATCTGACAAATCCACATGTTGACACCTTGTTTAGCTGCCTTGTTCTTTTCCGGTATTGGTACCATTATCTTTTATATTTTCACTGGCGGAAAGGGTGCGTACCATCTATGACCTCTACTTTAGACTCGATCGACTGAAAATTTTTGCCTCTTAGTTCCATCCTATGTTGGATCGTCATTTGGCTTCATTGGTGTTGTAGTTTCAGCTACAGGTTACAATTATACTCCCAGTTCTGGCCGCAATGAGCATACTGATATTGCCTGTGGTGGTATTATCGTCTGTGGTTTGGTGTATGGTGCCATTGGCCTTGTCGTCTTCTTTGCAGGCTCTGGCTGGATCGATGTCATTATGCCTCCTGGTAAGTGAAAATAGAACCTTTTCCCATACTTCCGGAATCGGAGCGGCTTTTGAATAGATCTCTAACCTTATCAATAGTTGTAACTGGTACAGTTGTCATGACCATTGGTATCCATTTATCAACATCTGCCTTTCAAAGTGCCACCCAGACTTCATTTGACGGCTGGATGGCATTCACTACGGTTATGCTGATCTCGCTTGTCAGTGTCTATGCCCCTGGTATGTTGAAGCGTATGCCTATCTTGATTGGCATGATTATTGGTTATCTTATCTATTTCGGCGTTGGTTACTCTGGTCATGGTCCAGCAATCGATTACACTGAGTTGTATGCCACTCCTTGGTTCGCTGCCCCTACGTTTGTCAAGCCCAAGTTCGATGGTCAAGCCATCAGTGTCATCGTCCCTGTCTGTGTCGTCTTGTTGGCCGAGAATTTAGGTCATATCAAGGCCGTGGGTGCTATGGCTGAGAAGCCTTTGGATAAATATCTCGGCCGTGCCATCTTGGGTGATGCCGTTGCTACGATTGTGTCTGCTGCAGCAGGTGGGCCAGGTACAACGACGTATTCCGAGAACATTGGTGTCATGGCTGTCACTCAAATCTTTTCAACATTGATCTTCCTGGTGGCTGCTGTTATTGCCATTTTCTTGGGCTTCATCCAAAAGTTTGGTGCTGCCATTCATACCATCCCTGAAGGTGTATTCGGTGGTCTTTCCATTATCCTTTTCGGCTTGATCACAGTCTCTGGTGCCAGAATTTGGGTTGAAAACCAAGTTGATTTCAAGGATTCTAGAAACATGCTCGTTGCTGGTGTTCCTGGTAAGCCAATTGAGGCACAATGTTGAAAAATGTCTAACCCACCTACGATAGTCATCATTGGTGCTGCCATGCAAACCACATTGAAGTGGGGTAACTTCCAACTGGATGGTATCGGCCTTCCTACCTACTCTGCCATTCTCTTGTACCAAATCTTGCGTGGATGGGATAACCTCAGAGATCTTTTTAGTCGCAAGAAGAAGGAGAGAGCCATGAGCATTCATTCTCAACAAACCTCTGCCGTTGTGTAGAGGATCGAATTCACCCATGTAGACTGTAAATATCTCGTAATTAATTAAAACCACCCTTTAATATCGTTCATTGTTCAGTTCTGTCAATGAAGCTCACCTGGACAGACTGCTTTTATGTTTTTCCGTCTCTGGATTTAATTTGAATACAAACAATCCATTGTTGTTTCTTTTATCTCTCTTTTTTCCATAAACTCGATATCAACGTGTAAAAATATGAAGTTTGGGTTCTTTTCGTCAGACTACAGTGATCAAGGGACGGCAGATGATGGTTTGTAGTCTTCTCGGTAATGGCCAATGGGCGCATACATGTACTCATGATATGCAACAATTCAGGAAGCTGGAAGTTTTGTGGGCTTGACAAGTCGCAGCGCATGTTTGCATTTGGCGGTTGGTAAGCTGTTGGATGTGGCAACTAGACTGTGTGCTTGTATGATTGACATGCGTTTTACCTACCAGTTTCGTTGCAGGCGCTCTGTTGTCTATCTTGGTAAGATAGCAATGCTATTCTCGGGAAATATGAATATTGAACTGTATACGCCGACATTGTAGTCAACCCTGATTCTTTTGGTGGGCAATGTTGTTGCTTTTTGTATTATCTATAGCTGTGGCAATATCATTTCCTTGTTCAGGTAAGGAAAATGAGGGGGGGTGGGGGGCTTTGAGAAAAGAGGTTATTCACAAACAACTCTAAATTCAATTATTAGTTTAACGTTTATTATTGGTATTCCCAAGCAAATCAAAACCATGTTTGCCCCAGGTAATTTAGACAAAGTGCATTTCCTCAAGACAATGTGCTCAAGCAGCATTTACACTCATAGTTCGTTTTTGGGCAACTGTTACTTACATCGTACTGCTTATTTTGACACTTGCCATGTCCATCTGGGTATGAACCACCAAGTATTACAGCTTGTATTGTGAAAGGTGATACTAAATCCATCGTTACATCTAGTTGAAGAACTTTGCATTGTCGATTGTCTTGGTTTGTATCCAGTTTGCTGCCCTTGTTTGGTATTCGTAAGTGTTTCTCTAGACACAATCTTATTAAGCATGAAATCTAACGTTTCATCCGAATTGCAGAGCAAGTTATATACCTTACGGTCGTGAAATTATCCGTCGTTTCTTTGGAAGCTGTGTAACTTCCATTTAATTTGATTGTGGAGAAAATTAACAATAAAAGATGTACATACAACAGTAATTTGAAAGGGTTTATTCAGTTGCATTTGTGTAAAAAGACCAAGCCAACATTCTTTCGCGTGTAATAAAGCCGCTCGGTGAGATCTGTAATACTGCCATGAACACCTTTGATAGTGGATGAGTTCGTCATGTGTTGAAGAGTCGCGTTCTAATGTTGGGTTATTGCCATCGTGTAGGTTTTCTGATGGGTCTATCGCCTTTGATATGGATGCTCTTGAGCTACGACTTATTTTCATCGTTACTCTTGTCATCATCGCCCTCTTTCACCTTATCTCTAGCCTCTAAAAAGAACATCAAATCACGAACTTGGTCGCCGAGTACTTTTAATGTAGCATCCTTGTCATCTGCATCTTTCTTGAGCAATTCGTTGTTTCTGATTAGGGATTTTGTGAGCTATTCAATGGAGGAATCATGCATTAGTATATATACATCCAAAGTGCACAATTCGCATTGCATTACCAGTTTTTCTTCATTCAAATTCTTTTGCATCGCCTCATATTTGTCCTTGTAACTGAGTGCTCTCTTGTCAGCCTTCTCCTTTTCTTTCTTGACATCAGTAATAGCTATATCCAGAGATATTCCCTTGTCAATCAGTTCTGTTTTATGCTTTTTAGCTGCTTCAATTTCTTGGCTGATGGTCGACACTTGGCTCGTTAAGTTGGACAGCTCCTCCGTCAACGCGTCTAATTGCTCCTCGTAGTACATTCGCTGTGAATCCAATTGCGATGTAAGCATGTAGGTATAATCCACAGATATTGAATCTAATTTCCCTTGCTGATGACTGCCCTGAGCACCCAAATTATCTGCGCTGCCAGATCTACTGCTGCCAAATCCACCGACAGCTGCTCCATCATGACCGTAGCCACCAGATCCTGACCCAATATCCAGTCTCATCATGGACGAGTGAATTCTCTTCATATGACCGCTGTCTTCTGGAGCTACAGAGTTGTTTTCGCTGCGACTGGGCAATTCGACAATAGCACCATCCACGGTATTCTGTATCAATCGATGCACATAGCCATCTCCCAAGTAATCCCATACACGCTGTGTCTCGATCTCCAATGCGTATAGGTGATTTGTCTCCATGAAATGATCATACGCATGCGCCTCTTGGTATCTTCCACAACCCACATGTCCACAAACCATGCAAATCCATAAACTCTCCGTAGAGGAGCACTCAAAACATTCGCATTGTACTTGCTCGTATTCATAGTGCGTGTTCTTCTTGGCTGATGATGCTGACAATACAGGTCGTTGCGAATAGCGGCATACAGGACATTGATTATGGCCCCATTTATCGATGCAGTAGCATTGCGTTGTGTGATGGCACTGGATATGCTGTAACCCCGTGATGCTTTCGTCCATGCGTTCCAAACACACAGGGCATGTCGGTAGCTCTGCCATATCCTGTATCTCGTGTGCTATATCTTGACTTAATGTCTCGTTTAAATAGGGGTATGATTGAGGTGGAATGGCGACTGTTTCGACTGTATTGGATTCTAGGTATACAACATGACTAATTTCAGGCTGTGAATTTGTTAATAATAGCTCTTGGATCCATCTGATCAGGTAGTTCCCACCTCTGTCATGTTGAATCGTCTTCCATTGAACTTTTGATAGCAAGCAAATGCTGATTGTCGATCTTTGAACTTGAGTAATACTGTGTATTTGTTGGGCGAGAAATCTCTATACAGCAGTGTTCAATACATATGCTTTGCATGGTCATTATATATGTGCCTTACCGAATGAAGCGATAGCGCTCGATATGCGAGTTTGCTGATCCAAGAAAATCTGTGAAATCTTTGAAGGTCATGTACGAGGGCACAGCCAATATACACAGTGTGGTATCTTCATCTTGTTCAGTGGTTGATGCATTCAATGATTGTTCTTTTGCCAGTTTCGTATCTGGTAGCTCTTGCTCTGTTAATGAATGATGGCTCCTATATAGATGCATGACCCCATAGCCCAGATGATGCGTCGATTCATCCATGCGCTTCTTTTTCTTTCTGGTATTGTGAGCTGATACATCCATGGCTGTCATCTCGATAGGCCCAAAGCGAAAATCAATTTGACCTTCTAAGCTATGATTTGAGTGAGGCTTTACGTTGTGAATGGGAGTTGGAGGAGCGTGCTTTTGTGTTGACTGCGGTGGTTGTGAAGACCTTCTTCGTAATGGGGGTGCTTTGGCATTGCTGCTGTGTTTATAGTTGCTTAAATAGCTGGTAATCTGTACATTGATCGCTGGAAAGGAGCCAAAAAAAGTGCTAGGAAGGTCGAGCTTTTCGGGTGTATACAAGACACATTTCAATTTATAATAGAACATGGAGAACAAGCAAAGTCTATGGACTCATGTGCCTCTTGAAAGCCTAAATACGTGCGGTAGAATGTTACACTTCAGTCACATTTGTACTAGCCGATCTATCTCGCTACACTTAATGTCAGCGCGTCGCCCTGCGAGTTCTCGCCAAACACATTTCAAATCAGATATTATAACATTTTGGTATAGGAAGTAGATTTTAAACAACCCATTATTAGCTAGTAAAAAAAAAAGTTATGTCAGAGCCAGGAGGAGGAGAGGAGGCATCTCCCTCAGCATCCTTTTTGCTTACACTGATATCAAACGAAGCCTATTATTGGGACAATGCGAAAGAAAATTCAAGTTTTATGCAGCATTTGTACATCACAATCGCCATTTTCTGATAGTAGAGTTGTCGTATCACTCACTGCTGCTGCTGCTCTTAATAAGATGGCGACATAAAGCTGGTCATGAGCAAATACAGGACTTGTGTAAGATCTACAGCGATTTTTTTGAGATATTGTCATTGCAAAAGACATCTTCATGAGGCAAAGCTCCCAAAAAAAAAGTACTTGCGCTAAGCAATTGTCCTTTTAATTTCATGATCCCCATTTGATTAGCATCGCAATCATCATTGTCATCAACAGAAAGGCATTTAGGTCAACCAGCAGCAATGCCACCCGCTAAACCTGATTCAAACTCAGCTTATTTTTTTCTGTTCAAGATTGGACAGATATCGTCTTTTTTCGACTTTTTTAATCTATTTTGTGATATTCGACTATATAAACTGTGATGATCACCCTACGCCTCCTGATAGATTCTTGAAGTGCTTTTCAAGGCGCTTCCAATGGTGCTAACTGTAATAAATGTTTTGACTGAAACTATTGAGCAATTTCATAAGATTTGAAAAGAGGTTTCCAGCAAAAATAGCCAGATTTTGCATACGGAAGCCTCATAAAAGAGGTTTCAAAGGTTGGTTTAGATTGAGAGAAACATTTTGAATTAATTAATCTGCCATTTATTATCACGAACAATCGTTGGCATTCCAATGTCTAAAAAATATGAAAAGTATGCCAATTATATCATCGAATATAAAATTTGTATTTTTTTTTTTAATCTGAAATATGTCTCAAATAAATAAGCAACAATTGTACCGATAAAAATACAATTATGTCATTAACTGGTAGCTTTCAAATTTTATCGGATTTCACAAGAACAAGAAAAGACTTATTTGAATAAGATCAGACAGAAAAACTAAAAATCATCTATTGATGAAGATAAGAGTTATCCTATTTATACTAAATTCTGGATATCAAAGTAGCAATGCAGTATCTTATACAACGCTTATCACATCTGACGAACCTCAGTACCTTGATAGTTGAGATGCACTTCAATTGTCATAGCTTGTCCATGTAGTTGTACGACACAGACATACTTACCTATCATCAAGAATACTTTAATCTTTATAGACAATTGTAGTCCTTTTGGCGGCACAATGCAACTATATGATCTAGCATCCATTAAACACTTTCATGCGAGGCGGCGTATCATCATTTCTAAACCAGATCTTTAAATGCGTAGAAACAATCAGTTCAAGCATAGATCACATTAGATCATAAGCTTTGGCATGAAACAGGATTCACTGGCGGTCCTAATTATTGCATGCTCAGGATAATAGATTAGATCTATTGTACTATGATCCAAATCAACCCATCTAGCACCTTGTCCTCATATCAAATCTCTCAGTTTGAATAGTAGTATAACACCCTCTTATTTCCAATCTAATAAACGATATTGTTTACCGGATTAACCTCATACTCTTTTTCTAAGTAATTTATTTCTGATAATCAGTATGGCTAATGCTGGCACGCAAAATGAATTTTATATGCGGCACTCTAGCAAAAGCTATCCTTTAGTATATATGTTTGGACAATTTGGCTGTAACTAAATGCATTCTTTGAGTAGGTTTGTATCTGTTAACGCTAACCAGCCTAGTTTATCACCAGAATATTTATATGCTCAATTTCCTTATTAAGAAGGCTTTACAAGTGTCTAGCTACTGTAAATCAACAAGCTCTATTTCTGATGCATAAATCTTGGGACAAGCGGCACCCCATCCTAGTACATTTGTGGCCAACCCTCACATTTAATACGTGATTTTCTTTCGTATCCAGATTTATCTGTTCCATATTATTCACAAATGGCTATTACAGATCCAAAGGGATTGCCCAAGATGGAGTATGTTCGCTTTGGCAACACGGGGTTACGTGTAAGTGTCTATAGAAGCATTTTATTACGGTCGGGCCCACATATTGAGTAGTATATACTTTTTTACAGGCACCTCGTTTTGCTCTCGGTTGCATGTCATAAGGTTTTTCTAAATGGCAATGTTGGGTGAAGGATGAAGAAGAATCTCTCGAGGTCATCGGCAAAGAAGCCTATGCTGGCATCAACTTTTTTGATACAGCTGATGCCTATTCAAATGGAGAAAGTGAACGTGTCCTTGGGAAAGCTATCCAAATGTTCAATATGCCTCGCTCTCGTATTGTTGTTGCGACAAAGGTCTTTTATACAATAGCTGGTGTTGTGGAAATTGATGTACTAGGCAGACAGCTAGATGGCGAGTCAGAGTACGTCAATTCATTTGGGTTTTCTCGCAAACATATCTTCGATGCATGCAGCGCTTCTCTTGAACGTTCTGGATTGGATTACATTGACCTGTATCAAATTCACCGCTTTGACCATGTCAGTATATCATAATGACAACGTATATGCCTAGTCTCATGTAGCATTCCTTGAACTTATAGTATACCCGTATTGAGGAGACTATGGAGGCTTTAAATGATTTGGTCAGATCTGGCAAGGTGAGATACATTGGCTGTAGCTCTTGCTATGCTTGGGAGATTCAAAAAGCAAACAACGTCGCAGAAAAGAATGGATGAATGAAATTCATTAGCATGCAAAACCTGTATAATCTAATATATCGTGAAGAAGAAAGAGAGACCATTCCATACTGCCAAGATAGCGGCATAGCTTTGATCCATTGGTCTCCATTAGCGAGAGGTCTCTTGACTGGCAGGAGCCGAGACGACTAGAATGGAATCTGATCGTGGCATCAACTTGTTCTTTGCTAAAAAGGAGAGTGCTAATAACGATGAGATTATTGACCGCGTAGCGCAAATTGCTGAAAGATCAGGTCATTCACCAGCTCAAATTTCTTTGGCATGGATGCTTTCTAAACCTCACTGCACAAGCCCTATCCTTGGTGTTGGTAACTTGGATAATCTGTATGATGCAATAGGAGCATTAGATATCAAGCTGACTGGGCAAGACATTCAGTACCTTGAAGAGCCTTATATTCCTCGCAATTTTATCTACATGTCGAAATAATGTATCGAATAATAGCTCTATGAAATATGCTGTCCTGGTTCAATTAAAGCATGAAAAGCTTGTTTATTAAATGCAAAAATGGAATTAAAAGGAACGTGGTATAATCTACTGTAAGTAGTCAATGTTAAGCATCTAAGGATGCAGCCTGAATTATGAGAACACTCGTGTTTCTTGTTCCATGCTTTAGTATGCTGTATCCAAGGCTTCCAAGTGCTACTTCATAGTCTTTGGAGTCTGTGTCAGAGGGTGTAGAGGCTGCAGAAGAGGCGGATGATGTGGGCGAAGCTGGAGCAGACTCTTTTGCGATACAATTGCGTCCTACGATAACTAAATCATGCTTATTCAAGGGCCTGGTCAGAGAATTGCTGACGGCTGTGCCATTCAGACTACTGACTTGTTGACAAGAGATGTTGGACTGCACGTATGAATCATCGAATAATCCATCCAATGTTGTGCTTTCATCATCCGTGTAACGAGCCACAGATTCATTCGTAGCGTATTTGATGTGCCTGTCTGCTCCATGTGTTACGACTCTCAGGTCTATCTTATAACACGCTTGCAATCGAAAGGCAAAGAGTAAAGCAGCTCGATCATCGTGAGTGGCATCTTTGTAGGCGACAATAATCTGAGGCGTCACATCGAGATCACCATCCTGAATCTGACCAAACCCACGGTCAATGAACAAGCCAATGTTGCAGTACTGGATCGAGAAGGCGCCATTGACAAACTCCAGCTCAGCATAGTTGCTGTCTAATAAGGCGGCTGCATAGTTTTCATTGTTGATAATGTAACGGTTGATCCAAGGCAACAAGATGATGTCAGCATCGACATCAGATCCATAATCAGACACTGTTTTGATGATATCTGATGTAGCGCACAAGTCAACATGCGTTTGCAATGAACGAATGCCTATCAAATTAGCAAATGTACGCAGCACGTTCAAGACAGGATCTTGACGCCGAGTTTCTCGTAAATCCTTGAATTTCATAACGGCAGAGGTACGTTGTGTTAACTCCAAAAGTCGCAGCGCATGCACTTCCACAGAGGTCGTTGCTTTATCTCGTTTCAACAGTTTCATCAGCGCCATGATGGATGGAATTGACTCGATGCGATTGAGCATGGTGAGTAAACGATATCGTTCGTGGCCCACTGCCTCCACAGTCGATAACTTGATGGTGCCTTTATCAACAGGAGTGTCTGGTTCTGAATCTACACGATTGTCATTTCCATGCATATAGGTGTCTTCGGCTGCATTCGCCGTTTGCTTTTGATACCATTCAGGATACAGCCATATAACGACAGGCGTTGTCATAAAGGTAGTAACGAGTGCCATGACAACCATGATGACGAACACTATGTACTGTTAAACCCGAGGACTCCCAAATGCAGCAAGCGATGGCCTTTACCTTGATCATTGAGCACGCCAGCATCATGGCCGATATTGAGGACAATCAACTCTACAAGACTGAAAGGAGGTTACAGCATTGCTCTTTGTACCACATACATGCTACTTGCCCTTTGCAGTTCATGAGAAAGCCAACCGTAATGGATTCACGGTTCGTCATGCCACAGAGTTTTGCAGCTCCTGAGCAACCGATAATCTTACCAAAGCAAGCAAGGAAGATGACGAGTATCACATAGCCCCAAATGACACCTGTATCTAAAAGACCAATCTGCGTTTTCAATCCAGAAAGAGTGAAGTACTATAGCAGCAATCTCAGGAACGCATTTCCTTTCTTTCTAAATACAGCACTTACTAATGGCAAAAACAAGATGTTGACCATATCCTCGATTTTTTCTGTGATTTTGATGGATAAACCATGCTCATGCGGCACAATCACACCAGCAATGAATCCGCCAAAGATTGCATGCACACCGATGATGTTGGTCACGAAGGCCGAGAGCAAGACAGTCATCAGAGTCACTGTCATTAACAGAGGTGAAGGGCCATTCTCGTACGAATTGGTGTAAGAACATAACCTTCGGTACAATGGACCAACAATGAATATCACAAATAGCGTGAATCCAACTGCAGTCAAAAACACATACAGTGCATCAATGCCGCCCGACGAATTCAAAAGCGCTACCACCAATGCAAGTAACACCCTAATGAATACAAATTAACCCCTTTGAACCTTACTTTCCTCCTATATGCAATATTGTACCAGGCTGTGCAATCATTGATTAATCCGCTTGCCATTGTGATAGCGCCTACTTTGGTGCGAAGTAACTTTAATTCAGCTAAAATACGGGCCAAGACGGGAAATGCCTGTATCATAAACTCGTAAATAGACGGATCAACACTTTCAGGAAGCAACTTACTGTAATTGACATGGCTACACCCAAAAAGAGCAAGAAACTTCCAAAATTGATGCTATTATCACCTTGAAGCTTGTACAGTCCAACACTCACAGCCGCACCGAGACCAAATGGCAAGGCCATGCCAGCGACAGCAATTGCCATGCTTTTATGCCAATCCTGACGGATGACCTGGATATCAACTTCAAGGCCCACTTGAAACAAAAAGAAAACCAAGCCTAATGTTGCAACCAAGTTCAAGAATGGCAGGGATGGAGGAGGGAATATAGTCTCCATGAACCCTGGAATTCTTCCCATTACTGTAGGGCCAAGAATAATACCCGCAATCACTAATCAAACACTCATATCAATGATGCGTCACTCTACTGAGCATCTGATAGCTCACCTTCTGATATAACTCGAGGCTGTCTCAAGTAGCCTAATGGAATAGCTATAATCCTACAAAAGACTAAGATGATTGTCGTCTATGCAAATATATATCAGCTTCTCAAGATGTGCGGTGCTGTCGACAATTGGTTACCTGTATAATGAACAGTACGATGGGATCAGATGGGTTATATTCAGCAGGGTTTAAGCCTGCAAATACACCAGCCTGCGATGTAGCAGCTTCAGAACTTGACATTCTTGATAGATATAGATAAAGAAAAGAGCGCCATCAGATAAATTAGGAAAAATGAAACTTGAATACCCCAAGCGTCCGGCATTGCATCTCGGAGTTGTCTACTAATGACAGTGTGGAGGGAATCGTTTTGACGTTCATACTGTGCCAAATAGTGCTTCTTTCATCACATGCCAAACATTGAGCCTTCCAATATCTTGTGCTCCGGCTGTGCAATCCAGCTTCAGCAGTAACGTATTACCCTCTTTGAATCAAATAGATTTCACAATACAGCATTTGTATTTCAACAAAATTTTTATTATTCCATGTAGAATAAAGGGTTATAGTGATAGAAGAGAAATATATATAAGCGAGAGAATTAAATATAACATTAACAGGGCAACGAATTCATAACGAAAAACCTAGCCGATAAACTATGGATCAGGGAAATAAAATCTATTGTATTAGCCAGCTTAAAGTCTAGGTTTTTCGTTACCAACAATTCATAACTTTTGTGCGAGCTCGGCTTCACGTTCACTCAAGTAACGTTCAGCATCGAGGGCAGCCATACAGCCAGAACCAGCAGAGGTGATGGCTTGACGGTAACGCTTGTCTTGGACATCACCAGCAGCAAAGAGACCAGGAACGTTGGTCTCGGCAGAACCAGGAATGGTCTTGATATAACCCTCAGAATCAAGTTCAACTTGTCCCTTGACAAGAGAGTTTGCGGGATCATGACCAATAGCGTAGAACAAACCAGAAGCTTCAATTTGGCCAGTTTCACCAGTCTTGTTGTTCTTGGTAGTAACAGCGGTCAAAAGGTTACCATCACCCAAACATTCGACAGGAGAGGTGTTGAAGTGAATTTCAACCTTCTCGTGAGCCTTTAATCTGTCACCCATCACCTTAGAAGCACGGAGCTCATCACGACGAACGAGGACGTGGACCTTGGAACCATCTACAATAATCGAATGTCTTTAGCGATCCATGGACATGATGATAAATCATTCTGAGTATTCTTCCCCCTTCTCCGATCTTCCATTTTAGTCAGTCGAAGGGGTAAGTGCCAGGTATACTTACATTTAGTGAGATAGATGGCTTCCTCAGCAGCAGAATCACCACCACCGATAACAACCAAAGGCTTGTTTCTGAAAATAGGAACAGCACCATCACAGACAGCACAGGCAGAGATACCATTTTGCCAGTACTTTTCTTCGCCGGGCAAGTTCATACGTCTAGCAGAGGCACCAGTGGCAATGACAACGGCATCAGCAGTGTCAGTGGGCTCTTCTTGATCCTCAGAACCTTCACGCCAAATCTTGAAGGGACGAGAAGAACAATCCAACTTGGTGATGGTCTCGGTCTCAATGACGGTACCACAGTTTTCAGATTGTGCTCTCATCAAATCCATCAACTCACCACCCAGAACACCCTTGGGGAAACCGGGGAAATTCTCGACATCAGTGGTGGTGGTTAATTGACCTCCAGGGGCGAAACCATTGGCCATCATACCCTCAAACATGATAGGGTTCAAGTTGGCACGAGCAAGATAAATAGCAGCGGTGTGGCCTATTCATCATCAAAAGAAAAAATTTAAGACTTTTTTCTTGCCTTGTGCCCATCATCATTTCGCATCATCCAATGTACTTACCAGCAGGACCAGAACCAATGACAGCGACTTGACGGTGTTGAGGAGCCATGTTGAAAATTGAAGTAGTAAAGTTTCTACGGGAGGAAAGAGATATACGCGAAAGGAAACGAGAAGAAAACATTATTTTCTCAATACAAGATTTCGTTTATTAAATAATGAGATAGGGGTTGGACAGGTATCTACAAGAGGTCTTTCAAATCAAGATTCAAATATACCTTTCCTTATAGACTGTGACGCTAATTACTAATACACTGGCCAATGGTGCTTGTTGTGTATTACAAAGCATGTGTCCAATCGATGCTCTTGATCGCATTTGACCCGATCTCTGGCACAGGCAACACAACGTGAATATTTCATCATACATCATCATGTGATTTACATCCCTGATAACCTGGCATTCGATGTATCTTCTACATTTGCTGAATAAGCTATTTGATGTTTGCTTTATACGATATGCCATTGCTATTGAACTTTGTTTGGCATCATGGGAACCAGATTTGCTAGTTTAGGTAACACCATCTCCGAAAATCAGATAAGCAACTTGCCCCCCAATGTAGAACTTGCTTGCATTAATGTGTCGGCGGACAGACAATAAGCGATCTATTGCAGAGAATGGCCTTCTTATCAAGTAAATCAGGCAGTGTAATATCAAGACTGTAGTATTTGAGAAAGTCATAGCACTTAACTTGAATAATCGTCTTTGAAGCCGTCGATAAGTTGTGTACATAGATTCAAAAACTTAACCAGAGGCATATGAGATTTAAAACATCGAGCACCAAGCAAGGCTCGAAAACCTTTGTTCGCACTTATAAGCATGCTCATGAGACCCTCCTGAGTGAAGAAGAAGAACATCCAGTCTGAAATCATATTAAAGAGGATGCCCCCATTCGACTCAGTCCTCAAAAGAGATTGGAGCTAATTGTTGGTGAAGATAGATGCATTCAGAATCTGCCAACTGTCAACAAGATTGCAACCATCATTCCCAATCAATATTCAGATTCAAATTTTAAGAATATCCTCGCCGCATACCAAACTAGCTATTCAGCCAGTGACAATAGTCTCTTTAAACAAATCAATGATACGCATACTGCTTTTATGCGATATTGAAGTGCTGCAAATCATGATTAGGAAGTTGCTATTACATATAATTCGGTGGTGATCCAGACTGGTTGGCGTTACCAGATATGAAAATTTCCAAAGAAAGGAACAGGAATTACTCAGGCTAATTGATAGTCTTTTCAATTCTGATCCCCATTCAGTCAGCATCCTAATCATCGTTGTCACCATCAGAAAGGCATTCTGGTCAGCCAGCAGCGCCAGAATCAATTCAAACTCAGAACATCTTTTTCTGTTCAAGATTGGACAGATCCTGCCTTTTTTCGACCCGATTAAACTATTTTGCGAAATTCGACTATATATATAGGCATAATCATCCGATACTCCCTTAAGCTTTCTAGGAGTACTTTTCATGGCGCACCCAGTGGTGCCCAGTGAAATAGATGTTTTGACTGAGCTTAGTGAGTAAAATGAGAAAATATGAAATGGAATTTTTGGTCAAAATGTCGAAATTTTGCATATGAGAATCTCACAAAAGTGGTTTTAGGGGCTGCTTTGGATCAAGAGAAACATTTTGATTCAATATATACCATAGTAAAAGTCTTTGTTTTTAAGGTGAAAAACGCAATCATTTGATGTTCGACAAAAACCATGAGGTACCCCTCATGGTTTGGAGTCGATTTTTGCGATGTTTTTTGGGTCCTCAAAAAGTTGAGCAAATGTGCCAGGAAGTTACTGCTACTCGAGTACAATTGTTTAGCGTCATTCCGGTGGTTCAGAAAGGCCTACATGTCAAGATATCAAGGCTTGAAAGCTGCCAAATTTGAACGTGAATGGCTTCTAGGGCTCTAGTGTACACTCTTGTTTGTCGTCTGAAAACACACAGTTTGTGTGAATGATGAGGTAAATAACCAGACAAAAATACTTTCTTAAAATTATTCTTTATTTAAGATGAAGATTTTACATTGTCTATTGGAAACGACACCTGTTATACTTTTTCTCCAAGCTGTGGATTTCAAATGTTGGATGAAGGCTGACTGTCGATTTTCAATGAAAACAGCGCAGGATGAAGGATTAAAAAAAGGATGAACCAAGCTTGTCTTTCATAGAGTCTTGTTATTGTTCTGTTCATTTCTTGTTTAATCTTAAATCTATGGATGGGCTATCAAGGATGGTTGATGTGTTGTATATAGTTTTTGCATGCTGAGTGTTGTCATAACAGGAGATTATTCACCTCCGAAACTGTTGACAATGGTAATGGCGTACAAATGATGAAAGTATTTATAAGCAAAACTTTTTTTCTTTGCACTTTTCTTCCTTTTGTGTATTTGCATGATTCTTTCTCGTCTGAACCAAACACGCTCTTATTTCACAAGTATGATTATCAAGCCTGTTCCATGTCTTAAAGACAAGTAAGTGTTACGATTTGTTCACATTAGAACTTGCAAATATCCAACCTATTGTTATTATGCAAAGTTACGCCTATCTTTTATTGGACCAAAAGTCAAAGCAAGGTATGTATGTTGTATAATGTTTGCCATCATTCACAAAGTCATAACGTGCATTCAACCCTCCAAAAGCTGCTGCTGTGGACCCTGTTGAACCTGATCATGTTTTAAAGGCTTTGGAAGCGTACCCAGATTACAAGCTGTCCATGTAACCATCCTGATTTGTATGTCACCAAGCAAACTAAAACTCATCAATCCATGTTATAGGGTCCTCACTACCCATCATCATTGGGATCATGCTGGCGGAAACCCCAAATTGCTGAAAACACATCCTGTCACTTGCTACGGTGGATCAGATCAAGTGGATGGCGTGACCCACATCGTCAAGGACAAGGATACCATCCAGCTAGGCGATTTGACCATCAAAGCACTTGCTACAAGTGGTCATACCATGGATCACATGTGCTACTACATTGAACACGAACAAGACCGTGCCGTCTTCACTGGCGATTGTCTTTTCAGCAGTGGCTCAGGACGCATGTTTGAAGGGTCTCCTGACAACATGTGGAACGCCATGACCCAATTGCTACAATTGCCTGACGATACCAAGGTGTATTTCGGCCATGAATATACTGTCAGCAACCTCAAGTTTGCACAACATGTGGAGAAAGACAATCAAGATATCAAGGACAAGATGACATGGGCTCAACAAACAAAATGCACGACACCATCGACCATTGCCAACGAGAAACTGACCAACCCCTTCTTGAGGGTTAATTTGCCTAAAGTCGCCAAGTTGATTACAGATGATGAAAATGCATCAGTTAGTGAAGTTTGGGGAAAATTGCGCAAAATGAAGGACCATTTTTAGTTTGTTTACGAGTAATAAAGTGTATACAAAATGCGAGATTTATTTAGACGAGGATGATTGAGATAATGATGGGACAGTGGCTGTGCTAGCAACAGGCTTCTTTTCCTTTCTTCTAGCAATACGCCTCTTGGTATAATCATTCAAGTGGTGGCTACTGTGATTACTCAAGCTGCTGCCACTGGTATTGGTTGTGCTACTACTGCTACTGGTATGAATGAAATTGTTAGGCGCTTTTCTCATCTGCACTTGCAACTGATTGCCATGCGAATCCACTGCAATGAACTTATCGCCATCCTTGTATCCGCTAGTAGTCGTGGATGCTGAATGGCTGGGGGATCCAGTAACAACACCAGAACGATGCATAGAAGGAGGAGGGTGTTGTCGATGTGTTTCAATAAATCCTTCTTGGATTGTTGGTGATTTTGGTTCATCTTCTTCTGGAATCACGGCATCTGTAGTCTTCTTTTTCTGATGTCTTGGTATAAAATCACCTTCTAGCAAGGCATGGTCTCTCAAAAACTGTGACAATTCTGTCCATCCACCACCCACCCGCACCATGACCATCTTACTCTTGAGGACGCGACAATACGCCAATTTGGGATTCAAGTTACCAAACCAATATCTACCCACTTCGCCAGGTACCATCTTGACCTTGACTCGGTAAGGTGTTTCATTGACAATACGGCCAATCTCCATATCCAAGTCGTTGTCTGGATCTGCCACGTAGCTGTTGAGAGGCGGTTTTGTAACTTTATGGGTACTTTTTGATTTCAAATGTGTCGCTGATTTGGAAGGTTGATGTGGTGGTGGTGGAGTCAAGTATCTGGATGGCAATCGGGTGGTGCTTGTGGTGCGAGACGATGAAGAGGATGACGACGTGCTGCTGGCTGTGGGCGACAATCGCTGCCTTGCTACATCTGCGCGATCGCGCAGTAAAGAAGATGCCTTTCTGGTGGGCAAAGATGATTTTCTGATTCTTGCATGCTGATCTTTACTATCCTGCGAGGTGTCAATAGTACGACTGAGCTCAATCTTGCGCGTCTTGAACTGTTTCTTAATGCTGACCCATTTGCGATCCATGTCTTGCAGCTGTGCTTGCACGGCTTCACCTCCCTTGGCTGTCAGTTCAGCTACTGCCTTGGCTTGTTCCTGGGCTAATGTCAGACTGGGTACAATCTTGCGTTCATAGTATTTGAACCGAGCATCCAACTCGATCAGTTTTGCCTGTAAATCAGTGCGACTCAATGTGCCTATCAAGGAATGGTGTGGTGCTGATTGACTGACAGCTTCTTCCAGCGAGCTTTGCAAGATTTCGATATCATCTGCTGTGCTCAAAAATACGCCAATAGCCATACACTTGTTCAGCGTGCTGTATTTGGTAGCAAACATCTCTTGTAAGCTATGGACAGATGCCTTGAGCTCGGCATGTTGTCTTGTAAATGTTACATCAGCATTAAACTCCTTCATAAGGCGATCCAGCTCTTCTAGCTCTTGCTCGATTTGAGGTAGCATCTCTGACTCGGTGGCTTTCAAGTGTTTCTCGATGTCTTGTATTTCACCTTGACGAGGCAACGTTGTCGATAATGGTGCAGCAGTTTTCTTGCCGACTGATGTAGTAGTAGGGTCTGTGTCCTCATTTCCTTCCTTCTTTTCATCATCTGTTGCTACTTGCGTCTTGTCATCGTCCTCCTCATCCGATAAGCCTTCTTCCGTTTGAGCATCATAATCATGCAGTCGCGTTCTATCCAGATAATCCCTTGTCTCACCCACCAAAGCCATCAAGTGCTTCATCTTGCGAGCCACACCCACACCGCGCGTAGTCTTTTCAATCTCGGTTTCGACTGCCTTCAAGTCAGCCTGCGTCTTTTGCCACTGGTCCTGGATGTCAGCAGTGGTTGGCTTAACAATGGCATCTACCATGTGGTGCACAATAGCTTGGTGGCACGGAACAGACTCCACTGCTTGAGACAAGTCCAAAAAGGACTGCATAACCTTCTCAAAATCGCTCATCTTCTGTGTCAAGCCAGCTAAATCCAAAGCAGTCGACTCGTGCTGATGCTCCTCCAATTCAGCAATAGCAGCTTGACAGTTCTCTAACCACAGTTTGATGTTGTCTGCGCTCTTGCTGTGACCCAGTACACGACGAACCACATCATTGACTTGAGCTGTATCTGCTAACTGCGTGTTTAGATCAGACATGGCCGTGTTTAGCTCCTCAAGCAACTGGCTGGTGTCCACATTGTATTTCTTGGAGACAGTGTCAATGCGAGACTCAATACTCATCAGTTGATGCTTGAAAGCTTGTTGCGTGGTTTCTCGAGTCATGTAAAACGTAGAAACTTGTTTGTACAGGGATTCCAAACTAGTTGCATCGGGCATAGTCGTGTCAGACACACGTTCAGTTTGAATGGCCTCCACTTCTTCAGCAAGTTGATGGCAAAAGGATGCCACCAACTGCTCGCATTCAATCACATCCACATGCTGCTGAGCCAGGTTTCTCTTTTCTGAGAGCAACAAGGTAGCTGCATCCATCTGTTGCATTAAATCGTCGTATCTCTTCCTGAATTGAGCCATATTCTTATCGTCGTCTGCTTGAGTTAGAGAAGCAGCGATATCCAGACAAGCATTAGCACGATGCCTCAACAGGGCCAGCAAGGAAGCATCTTGATCCAGCCAAGTAGGCACCGATACCGCATCCGACAATTGAAAATGATCCAAACGATCCAGCACACCTGCCAAAGCCTCGTCCTTGATGTCATTTAATTTGCTGTGCAATTCTTGCCATTGAATCAAAGACTTGATGTTCTGTTGCTGATAACTAGCCAGCGCTTGCTGAATGTGCTTCCACTGCTGTTCCAGGTGTGATTTACGGTCATCAATGGCGTGTAAATCATGCACCTTGTTCAGCTGCAAGAAGCGGTAGAAGGAGCGCTGTTCATCGTACTTTTCTTGATCCAATATCTGACAACAACTGGCGTAATCCGCATTGATCTCTTCAACAAGCGCCTTGTCCTGTTCAGCGTCACCCTGCATGGTCGTCGGCTTTTGTTGTAGCACACTGAAAGCTTCTTGTGCGCTAATCATCAGCGATTCCAAAGCAGCAGCACCTTCAGCATACTCTTGCTTCAGACGGTAATGATTGGCTTCTGTGGATCTTTGTTGCACTTGCTCCTTCAAACCATCATAATGAGCAGCTGCATCTGTCACGTCGTCAGGCCTCTGTGCTTGCAATTTAAGCTCGGATAGCTTTGTATTCAATGCTTGTAGTTCATCCTGCCATTGCGTGCACACGGACTCTGTGATCTGGTCCATGTCTTGCTGCAAAGCCTCTTGCAGCTTGTCGCACTGTGTATTGAATGCATGCAACAGACTCATGAACTCCTGGTGCTGCAACTCTTGTTGACGCTGATGCTGCACTTTGGCAATGGTATCCTCCAACTGACGCCACTTGATATCAATGTAGGCCTGCTTGTCATGAATACGCTGCACACTCTGAGCTGTATCATCCACATCATCGTCTCCTTGTTGTTGCTGAATAACGGCAATGCACTTGTTGGCAGCCACTTGCAGGCCATGGACGGATGTCGTGTAATTGTTGATGGCAGACTGCAATCCATTGATGTGAGCCACAGCCAATTTCAAGCTCTCCTTCTCTTCACTCAATGCTCTGTGCTTGGCATCAATCCATTCATCCACCACATGAGCCTCTGCAAAATAAGACGCCTCAGCAGCCTTGCGACGGGACAGTCTCTCCTTGGATTTGATAATAGACTCCAGCGTAGACCCCAGTTCTATCAGTCGAGATTGACGCGCCTTGAGCATATCTTGCAGTCCAGCATTATGGCTTGCATCTGCTTCGCGCGCACGAGGGTTGTGGTCTCGATAATGGCGCACAGGATAAACCATGGTCTTGTCAATCAGCGCATGAACTTGATCCACGCGCTGCTTGTACTCTTGCACGTCATGAGATGATGGCTGAGCCAAGGACAGCAACACTGATTTCTTGGATTCTGCCAGTGATTCCACCTGGTTGATTTCATGGAGAATGGCACACAATGCCTTTTGCTGTTCCATCACCTTGTCCAAAAACAAATCCTGCTGTTCAAGGCTGTGCTTTGTACTTTGCAGATGGGCCTTGCGACGAAAGATGGGCTCAGTCTGTTGCTGAATAACTTGATTGAGCAGTGTATCCATCGCTAAAATATGACCCGCTGTCGCTTGATGCAGCTTGTCCACCTTGTCTGCCAGATTCTCGTGGTTTGCACTAGTAGAAGGAGACCAACGCGCATACAGTTGAATGAAGGTTTCAGTTGCCAGTTCCTGGTTGGCACATGCTTTTAATTCTTCATCCACATGGGAAGCCCAATCATGACGTTCCTGTATTTGCTGAATATCATCCAATTGCATCGTCATCGTCTCTTGTAGCTTGGTAGACAGATGGAGGACGTTGTTTTGCTGTGTGTCTTCCAGAGCAGTGCCAGTAGCCGCTTTGAATGAGTCTGCGAGTGCATTGTAGCTGCTCTTAAGACCATCCTGGTCTGCTATGCAATCTTGCAGCACAAGATGACACACGCGCAGTTGTTTGGTCAATGTCAGCAATGTGTCGTTGCTTCCTCCTTCACCATCAAACGTAGAGATCCACCAAGCCTTCTGATTCATCCATTCCAGCATAGCTTCTTGCAAACCATGTAATGTTTGAGATTGATGCAGCCACATCCCATGCCATTGAGCACGGTCCTCGCATACTTGTAAATGTCGCGTGAAATCAAGCATGGACTGATTCAGCGCGTGGCAAGACTCTTCCAACAAAGCAAGTGGTTTCTCTGTGATGGAAAGATCCAGCATATCGCAGTCATCCGTTGCCATGGCGTCCTGTATTTCACTAAGCTGTTGTTTGATGTGATTCACGTCTTTATAGCAATGGTGGCATTGTATTTGCAATTCATGCTCAAGCTGCTTGCCTTGATCCACTACGTTACTATGCTGTGTCATGGTGCCAGTTGTCAGATCAAAGCTGTACGAGGTGATGGTGGTCGTCATGTCGGTGATATTGGTCGTGGTGTGTTGCACTTGTAGACACCATTGGTCTAGTTGCACGCGATACATCAAGCCAACATCCAAGCGCTGCACCATGTCAGATAGTGTATTGGATAGTGCTTGCAAGTCAGTGTACGCCTTGTAGACAGCAGTAGCTACTTCTGTTGATATCTCATCATCGTTGGTAGAGGGGCGCGTTGTACGAGCATCTTCAGGGCACACTGGATAGGGGAGCTGAGAGCCAGTTTGCACCCACAGGTGCATCACTGCTTGACTATACGCCTGCACAGCTTCTTTGAAGTGGTGATTGTTGCCCATGTGCATCACGGTACCCATGGCTTGTTGAATATCGATCTTTATTTGCTGTCCTTTGGTCTGCAACTCACCCACTTGACGCGTAAAGTCAGTCAATACCTCATGTTGTTCTAGCACTTGCTGGGCGTAGTGGATCAGGTCATTGATGTTTTGGTAGCTTTGGTTCAACGTATCCTGACGACGCTGCACATACTCTATAGCTGTCGTTGCTTCTGCTGATTGCGATGATTCTACCCGTGCAACATACATCAGTAACAAATTTATACTCTTGTCATTATAAACCTGCTTACCAAAATCACTCAGTAACTCGTTGTATACATCTTTTACAGGTTTTAGCTGCTCAGTATAAAACGCCTGTATCTTGCTGACCAAATCATCGCATTCCAGTTGTACTTGAGATCGCCAATGACCGCCAATTTGATGTGTCTCCTTTTCCTCTTCTCCCAGATCCATCATGGTGGACACTCTCCATTGTGCTTTACGAGAAACGAAATCCCATACAGCAAAGATATGGTTGGATATCCACACAGAAGCCATGGCGTGCTGTGTTTCCCAAGAGATACGGCGACTCAGGATGGCTAATCTAGAGCTATGCAGCTTGAGTGCTTCCTCCAACACATCCAATTGGTCACCCAGAGTGCCCATGCCATCCTGCAATGCAGAGACCTGAGTCGAAATGACATTATGCTGAGAGACAGATGATTGCTGCACAGCCGCTATGTTCTCTTGCAACTTCTTGTACTCGTTCTCCTTGATACCCTTCAGCTTGGCCACTTGACCATCACGCTCCTTGATTAAGCGAGCCAAATCCGTATCATCCAGTGCACATTTACCAGCAACAAACACATCCACCTTCGACCTGCTCATCGCCTTGAGACGTTCATCCACCCAACCACCCAATCGTGCCATTTCATCTTGCAACTGCTTGGCCCTCTTTTGCAACTGCAATGCTCTTCTCAACGCACTCAGGCTTTGGTCCAAAGCCTCGCCAAACAAGACCAGTGCAGATTTCCGTGATCCAATAACCATGCGAATCATCTCATTAGCATCATCATTGCCTTGCTGGTCTGATGGATGTGTGGCCTCGGGATAAGGAACACGGGCAGCCACACCCGTCACCAGTCGCACAGTGTTCTCCTGAAAAAGCATTACCTTCTCACTCAGTTCTGTCGTGGATACAGCAGACACATCGGCAGACACAATCTCTTGTCTCAAAGTCTCGCCTTCGTTCTTGAGCTGATCCGCTTTAGCCAGGAAATCAGTGACCACGAGATATTGCTCCACCACTTGCCTTGCAAACGAAATGCGATGTGTCAACTCCTCAAACCCTTCCTCAATAGCCACCTGTCTCGATTCCAAATGAGAGGGCAGTTCAATATGACACGCATCGTCCATGTCCTGATAGAGATTGACCGTGCTGGTGAATTGGCCTTGATCAAAGTGAGCTGACTGTTGTTCAAACTGAATCAAGGTGCTGATAATGCTGTTCTTGTCTTGCTGCTGCCGCTGCTGCTGTACGTGGTCGTCATTAGCCCTCCATCTCGCCTTATCATGTACAAATTGCTTGACTTGCTCGGCTACAGATCGCACCCACGCTACCGTCACATGGTACGATTGCTCCCAGGCCATACGCAGCGTCAGCATTTGCAGTTCATAGGCATGGCGTCGTAGCAGATGCATCAGTCGATCCAGTGTGGTCAGTGTGGTAAAGGTGATTTCAATGGTGGTGGTGTCGGCAGGACTGAGATCCTTATGTGTCGAGGTAAGTTGCTTGACATGCGCCCTCAGTCTCGTCATGTCCTGAGCATCAAATGCCTCCACTTCCTTCTGCAGCAGATCATGCTCCTTGTTCCACTGGTCGATTTGTTCTGGCGTGTAGTCGTACTCCACCTCCTCAAGCGCATTCAGCGACTGCTTTGCCTCCAGCAACTGTATACGCTGCTCAATCCACCCACGAATACGCTCGGCCTCCACAAACCACACGCGCACATCGTCGACCCAAGACACGATAAGCTGGTACTTGTGTAACAGAGCCTGGTAGTGCTGGTGCTGGCCATCATCCATATCATAGCGCACCAAATGATCAATGAGGGTGCCCACTTTGGTTGATCTCACTTCCAAATCATGGATACCTGCATCTGTGGTGGTTGTTTTCAGCATTTTGGCTTGGATAAACTCCAGTTCATTGCGGATATAGGCGACTGTAGTAGCAAATTCAATGGTTGGCCTTTGCATTTGAGCGGAGAGAGCTGCATGCGTTGCATCGATAGCAGAGATGCGTACAGCAAGATCGGGAGGTATGTCTGTATTGTTGATAATAGCCTGCTGAAACGACTGATACTGTGGCTGCATTTGCTGTAGGCTCGCTTCAATGTCTTCCCAACACTCTCGGCTTTGCATCGGCTCTATGCGAGGAGGTGAAGGCGATGATCGCGTAGAGGCTGTGGTAGTGGTGGTAGTGGTTGTCGAGCTTAGTGATTCCTGCTTGGCAAGTTCGGTCCATTGCTGCCACAATTGAGTCAAGGATATACCAAGGGTCAAATCAAAATCGCTTGTGGTGGTGGATTGGTTATCTCGAATGTGTAAGCCTCTGAGCGTCGCATCATCTGTCAGGACAAGTCCCTTTTGAATGGATGTTAAATAGCTGGATATATCCTCATCATCATTATAAACCACATGGAGACGATCCTCAAACACCTTCAGTGCTTTTTTGTGCGTTGTTGCATGGTTCTGGAGTTGCTGAGACAGGTTGAGGAATTGATCAGGAAAATAGCGATGAGCCAGGCACACTAAAGGTTTTGCAAGCCAGTCCATAGCTTCAGTCAGGTCCACAGGTATTGACATGAGATGAAGATCTACATACAGGGCAAGCTCCTTTTGCAACCATGCCAGCACGGTAGATGATGAAGATGTTGGAGGTGTGGATGAGGCTAGAATCATGTCTACTTTTGCAAATGCAGCAATGTAAAGAGCTGTTGTCGTGGTGGTGGTGGTAAAAGTAGAAGATGTTGAGTATGAAACGCGGGGATTACCTGTGGTCTGTTGTTGTTGATTAATATGACCACTGGCTTTCAAAATAGCACCACTTCCTTTACTCATTGCAGAGTTGATAGATGTTGAGTGAGAGAGAAAGGAAAAAGAGAAAGAAGCAAAAATAACAATGGCTCGAAAAGGGGCAAGATAAATTTTGGTTCAATCATAAACATCAAATGCTCAACTCACGAAAAATACACAAGTGTGGACAAAAACAAATAGGCTTGTTAATTTGAAGGAGCCCATGATGTACATTTGAGGCGATATTTATCTACCTACTGTTTTAAGGGGGGCTGCATGTCAATATGAAAACATACGGCCAGCCCTTGGAGACTATTTAAAAAGGGAAATTAGGCTTGTGATTGATAACAAGCAGTTGGCCCTCTCCTTATTCGCTCGGTAGATTCAGATCGATCCAAATCAGCTCAACAACATTGGGTAAGAAAATTTTTTATGACATTTAAACATTGCTTAGATTATAAAGAGATTTTATTATTCAAAAATCAATTTAGAACTTGGAGAAAGACTTGGCAGCGCTCTTGGCCTTGGAGACCTTGAGGACGTTGAAGCGAACAGTCTTGGAGAGAGGACGACATTGACCGATGGTAACGACATCACCACTATAGATAGATTGTTAGTATGATTGGAATCAAAGGCTTGGTGGAGCCGCTACCTCACCAACTACCTCATCCGTCAAAATAACTCTTTGCGTAAAAAAAAAAAATGATTTCTCTTTTATACAAAGAATTCATGATGGAAAGTAATTAAACAAGTAAACTAAAGTGATTAGACTCTAGCGGGTTTGGCGAAAACCTCTTACTTTCACAACATCAACATCCCATAAACGACATGTTGATGAAAATTTTTTTTTCAATACTGAAAAAAAAACCGCAAATCATTTGTTTCTTAACGAACAAAATAGTGATGAAATCGAGCAGCGAACACACACACACATAGACACAAACAAAAAATACTTACGCTTCAATAGCAGCGTTATCGAAAGCAGGAGAGACGTGAGCAGAGATGTTCTTGTGACGCTTCTCGTAACGGTTGTACTTGGGAACGTAGTGAAGGTAATCACGACGGACAACGAGGGTACGCTTCATCTTGGTAGAGGTGACAATACCAGTGAGGATACGACCTTGGATGTTGACTTCACCGACGAAGGGACACTTCTTGTCGATATAGGTACCGGTCTTGGCTTCCTTGGGGGTCTTGAAACCATAACCAACTTCCTTGAACCAACGTTGGTTACGCTTCTTGGAGTCCTTGGAGTTTTGGAAAATACCAGCTTGCTTTTGGAAAGCCTTCTCGGTCTAATGATAAGTGGTTAGAGATGCAATTCAACAAGACAACATGTCATGTGCAAAGTACATACTTGGTGTTCCATCTTTAATGAAGAATAATTAGAGGAGGAGCAATACCCATTGCAAAAGTCTGTTGACCTTTTATACCTCTTGAAAAAATTTTCTGTTGACCTTTCTGATATAGTCACATTCTGGGTGCGATTGGTTGATTTGGAAGCATCCAAAGCCACCGCTATGTCTCTTTCGAAATCCTCACAGATCAGAAAAACATGAATTCCGATCTACAGAGAAAAAATTTATCGTCGTCCCACACTTTGGATCCAAAATGTGTACGTTACCTGATAAGAGAACAAGGAAATCAATCATTCAATTACGCATAGAATGCCATTTTGGCATTGGCATTGAACAATCGACTTTAATGCTGATGCAATACTTCACGAAATAACATTGGGAACTTGTATTGAGCAATTGGGATAAGGGATTCTGTGAGATGTAGCATTATCAACATTCCAATCCATCGCTAGGCAGCTTGTTATCATACTCTATTGTAACCATGCAATATTAAAAAGTGATTTGATGGCAATTGAGTGTGTCCCTGATGAACGTCTGTTAAAAAGACTTGACATCATTGTACGCCCTGCTCCAAAGCCATTTAATATGGGGTTAAAATGAATTTGATTTACTCATTACATTTGCATATGGACCCAAGATTTAAACACTTGCTTGTAATATGAATCAACTGATACGAGACGATATTCACCTTGGAGCCCATCACCGAAATGTTTCTGCCCTTAAAACCATTTGACCTTGCTTTCGATAAATCACTGGAAGGAACTGGCATGTCTCGACCACAGGAATCAGTATTTCTTACATGCGTTAAGCTGTTTGATCTGGATAGACTGTGCTGTCAATAACTTTATTGGATTGCGCATGGGATTGCTTCTAGTCAAATATAGCCTCATAACTGAGAGTAACAGAAAGATAGATAAGACGTTGAGAAACGCTGTAGCCAAAACCGCTAGTAAGTCATACCTTCTTGCTTCGTATTCTATGGCGAACAACGCTCAAAATCGTGCTGCGCACTTTGACAATGAAGGGGTATAGCTTTCTTGCAAGCGCTATGTTGATGTTAGAGTTCCATATCAGGAAGATTATATGATCACGTTGAACAGTTGCTTCGCATATGACCGGATATTCAGTCGCTACATTGATTGTCAAATATTTAAGCAATCAAGCGCAACAAAACCAATATAACCAATGTTTCGACGCTATTATCTGTACAACTGTCAATTCAACCCACTTTGTCTATTAATTGAACCTTACTCCCCGGTGTTTGCTCTACAAAATGAGCTCTCGTTTTGACACCTACGATGCTTCTTTTGAAATGTTGATTTTTTAGCCCCCATATTGGAGTTTACAGTGACAAAAACACGTTTTACTTCAGTAACAGCAGAGAAACGTCCATGTGGTGCTCAAGTCTATGAAATAAATTCAGGGCGTGCAATGGTTTATAGCAATGCATAAAGATAATTTTATATGCGCTACTGTAGCAAAAGTTAGTCTTGAGTATTCATTTTTGGCCAACTTGGCTGGGGGGTGACCTATTCGGCCTTGTGGATTCACGAAAATTGATGCTAAAGCTTTAAGTAAGGCCTCAATTGATAGGCAATTTTTGGCATTACACGGTGAATAGTGCTATAGGTTTAGTAGTACTGTTTGGTGGATACTCTCTCTTGAAAACCCTCAAAATATGTGAAAAGCAGGCTTATCTAAACACAACTTGTAGATCAACTACCACGACTAGTACCGATTGATGCGCATATGAATTCTATATAAGCTTGCCAAGGGCCGAAAGCAATGACTACTATGGAAAATGATATGCTTGAACTATAATAAGATGGAAGTATACATTATACGAAACATGCACCTTGTCATACTAGAGAATGTCAATTGGTAGTAAAAGAGATGATACTTTTTAGAGCAATGCTTTTCCCTTTCATCTGCAAGATCTGATCAATAGAAGAAACAAGTTGTTCAACGAGTACGGGCCTTAAGAAATCTAAGAACGCTACAGGATGAATTTAAGGATCGAGGACGCTCGCCTAATATGCTTTTATAATAAGCATCAGAAAATGTATTCATCATTTAAAATAGACTAATTGGTTTTGAAGGATTCAGTCGTGAATATACACTCACAAACCTGGGTCCAATGATTTGGTATAAAAACCTGTGCTTGGTTTTTTGATTCAGGCACATTAGCTAATCAGTTCTCAAAACTAGTTTGCTTGCTATGAGGCAAATTTGGTCAGTATCCATAGTGTTTTAGAGGCTATTGATAACACATGTTCTGAGACAAGAAAAACTAGAGATATAAGCGGGGAGAATGGTGCCGAGAAAAGAATCAAATTCACTATCATTGTGTATTTCTAATCAAAAAGTACACAGAATCCAGTTCTTCAATGACCCGGATATGCAACTGTGTAACTCTTTTTAAATGACGTATTAATACGATTGATTGTGTCGTGTTGATCAGATAAAGTAGCTCAATTGGCAATATCTAATACATATCTTGATGACCACCATCTACGACAACAGTGTTTTGCGCTATGCCAGACGTTCATGGTATGCAGGCATGCATTTTTACCTTTGAATGAGCGAATACGTAAATGATAGATGATACACAGCCAACCTTAAATAATGGACCTGGGAAAAACCATCGAAATTTGGCAGGAATATATTGGTATCTTATCAAGCTTGACGAGGATAAAGTTTCTTCGCTATATGAAAATCATATATCGAGATAAATATACGAGACAAATTGCTTAGACAAGTGATGTACGTGGCCATGCACTTGAATTGATCACGAAATAGTGGGTATGGCACAATGTCATGCTGGCCGTATTTCTGATCTTTCTTTTCAAACCACCAGCACTTGTTGTAGTCGTTAACATTCCAAATATACCTTGTCAGACATGAGATGAGTCAATCTATGGACTTATCTTCTACATTGTCCACTGTATATTTAATCGTGTAACGATTCTACGACGCAATTTAGAATATTTTCAGTTGGCAACATTATCAATGGAGAAGAAATTACCGAGTTTTAGCGGCACGAGATCAGACAGTGGCGCTAAATCTCTATTCTACTGTATATCTTAGTATTTCTTTTCCCTATCTCCTATTATTTCCAACGCGAAATTTGCAGTTTACCGTTCGCAAATAGGGTAACAAATTTATTCTGCAAATTCCGCAAAGCAAATGCTTGTTTGGATTTGACAATTTTCAAATGGTATAGCTGCCACCGAGCAAATACTTGATATAAACCATTGATAAAGCTCGTTTGAATTCCATTGGCGCCTTCCCGGTAGACATCTGTATCCATCAATGATTATTTGGTGCAACAGCCGATCACTCGGAGCACTCTGAACAAGCGCGTACTTTCAATGCAGGTTTCTGGTAAACAGAATACATTATAAATCAACAGGTAGTATCCCCGTTTTTGCTGAATGCCCAATGAATCAAGCTGACCAGTTATAAGTTCATGTTGGACAGAAAACCAGATAATACAACCTATCCTATCTCAACAGTGATAGGAGACGCCATTGACTACGATAGATCTTATACATTGATTATTTCTGTTGCTGTCAAGAAAGCTATCTGCCCAAGTTGATAAATGCAAGCTAGATAAGCAAGACGAGCATCACAGATGCAAAGTCATATAAATAGAAGAGCATGTTTTTGTGTTTCTCATCTTTACAACTACATCATATTGTAACAGCATGAAGACATCCCTTTTCTTACTTGCCACTGCAGCTCTGCAAGCATTTGCAGCTCCAGCTTCGTCTGCCACAAGTGATGCCAAGATCCTTATTAAGACTACACTTGAGGCTGATTCATTGACCAATATCTACTGGGATTACGGCTCTCAATCCATCATAGGGACTGTCACTCTCTCTTATGGATCCTGTGAGGACGGATCAATTGCTCATGAAATTGATCAATTTGATGTGCTTGACGACTTTCAGCCTGAAAAGTTTGCTTGGCATGTACCTGCTGATGCTCAATCGGGTTGCGTCATTGCAAAAGATGCCTCTGGTAATGTCATTGCCCAAAGCGAACCTTATACCATTTCCAAGAAATTTACCAAGCGTGGTCATCCGGAACTATCTGACATGTATTTTGACGCTGTTGATTACCACAAGAACAAAAAGGTATCCAAACGTGCTCATGCTTCCAGCAAAAACAAGAGTAAGTGCAACAAACACTGGGCCCAGGTCCTACAAGCTAACGCATAGTATAGAAATTGGCATTGTGGGTGCTGGCATGTCTGGTTTGTTCAGCGGCTTTCTGTTGGATCAAGCTGGTTTTCACAACTATGAAATTTTGGAGGCTAATGATAGGCTTGGCGGGTAAGCTACTTGCAAATCCATGCATATATGCTTATGGTGCTCATATCAATGTATCCTGATAGTCGAGTTCGCACTGCTTATTTTGGAAACTCTGGCATCGCTTATCAAGAAATGGGCCCTATGCGTTTCCCTGTTGAATTTGAACACGAAGGCAAGACTCTTCCCATTACTGATCACCAGATTGTCTTTCAACTTGCTGATGAGTTGAATGCCCTCAATGACAAATCCTACAAGATTGAGTTTATAAAATGGTATCAAAGCCGTGCCAAGTAAGTATTATACATTTGTATTGCTCCGAGGTACTGACAGCTAACCAAATCATCATAGCAACTTGTACTATCGCCAAGGTTTCCGTCTTCCTGATGGCAGAGTTCCTACCGTCGGCGAGGTGCAAGCCAACTCTTCCATAGTTCCCAAGAGTGCAGACACCTCTTCTTTATCCTCAGTGACCAACAATGTTACTGCCGAGTTCTTTACTGAAGATTGGTTCAAGTTGATGGGTGATGATCTCTACGCTGCTCATGAAAAGGCACTGGAAGAAGGCTATGACGATTGGTCTGAATGGGGATGGCTGCACAACAAGATGGGATTAAGCTTGAATGCTACTGATTATGCTACTGGTTTGGGTGCTGGTCAAATCTGGGAGAACATGTATGATACATTTACCTTTAGTAAAGCTACCAACTGGAAGACTGTACAAGGTGGTTTAAACCGTATTCCTCAGGCATTCGGTCCCGTCCTTGGCAAGAAGATAACCTATGGTATCCGTGTCAGTAAGTTGGACTTTGATGGTGACAAGGTGTCTGTACAATGGAAAAAATCGCCCTATGACACAAAGTATAAGTCAAAGAAGTACGATAATGTCATTGTTGCTGCTCCATTTAGTGTTGTCCGTACGTGGCACCTGCCTCAACTTGAATATACCCTGAACCAAGCTATTCATAACCTTGGCTACAGTCAAGCGTGTAAAGTGGCTCTTGAATTCAAGGAACGCTTCTGGGAGAAATTGGATCGTCCTATTCAAGGCGGTTGTGATAGCACTGATTTGCTATCAGGTAGCATCTGCTATCCTGCTAACAACATTGGCACCAAGGGCCCCAGTGTAGTCTTGGCTAGCTATGCTAGTGGCGATATGGGTCTCCGATTTGCTTCCATGACCGAAGATGAACATGTCTCTCGTATTGTTGAGGATTTCACAGAGCTCCATGGTGATTTAGTCAAGAAATATTGGACAGGCAACTATGATCGTCGCTGCTGGATCTTGGACCCCTTCCAGTCTGGTTCTTGGGCTAGTCCTGAACCAGGTCAACATAAGCTCTACATGCCCTCGTACTTTAAGATGGACCATGGACTTGTCTTTGTCGGTGAGCACACTGACATCAAGCATGCTTGGATCTCTGCTGCGCTTGAATCATCCATTCGTGGTGTAGTCATGATCTTAGTTGAGAATGGTCATATTGATGAAGCCAAGGCTATTGTCAAGAAATACAATGCCAAATGGATGAAGATCTAATTCACGGCATGTTGTAATCACAGATTTATATAGTACTCTTGTCACTAGCCAATCTATCTCGCTACGCTCGATGCCGGCGTCGCCCTGTGGGCTCTCGCCAAAGACATTTTAAATCAGATATAATAAAATTTTGGTATATCAAGTAGATTTTAAACAGCCATTTATAATTAGTTAGTAAAAGAAAGGTTATATCAGAGCCAGGAGGAGGAGAGGAGTTATCTCCCTCAGCATCCTTTTTGCTTACACTGACATCAAACAAAGCCTATTATTGGGACAACGTGAAAGAAAATTCAAATTTTATGCAGCATTTGTATCTCACAACTGCCATTTTCTGATAATAGAACTGCCATATCATTCACTGTTGCTGATGCTCTTAATAAGATGGCGGCATAAAGCTGTTCAGAAGTAAATACAGGACTTGTGTAAAATCTACTGCGACTTTTTTTGAGATATTGTCATTGTAAAAGACACCTTCATGAGGCAAATCTCCCCAAAAAAGTATTTGTGCTAAGCAATTGTCCTTTCAACTCCACTTCCCCTATTTAATCAGCATCGCAATCATCATTGTCATCAACAGAAAAGCATTTAGGTCAGTCAGCAGTAATACCGCCGCTAAAATTAAATCAAACTCAGCTTATTTTTTTCTGTTCAAGATTGGACAGATATCGTCTTTTTTCGACTTCTTTAATCTATTTCGTGATATCCGACTATATAAATTGTGATGATCACCCTACCATTAATACATCCTTGGAGTACTTTTCAAGGCGCTTACAATGGTGCTAACTGTGATAAGTATTCTGACTGAAATTATTGAGTAATTTAATAAAATTTGAAATGAGTTTTTTAGCGAAAATACCCATATTTTGCATACGAACACCTCATAAAAGTGGTTTCAGAGGTTGGTTTGGATCGAGAGAAACATTTTGAATTAATATCATAACATAATAAATGTTCAGTACTTTTGCACTTTACAATCCTAATATGGAACCTGAGTTTCAAGGCATCTATCAGACCTGGCTCATATCATAACATAATAAATGTTTTTTTTTATAAGGAAGTAGGCACTTCTGTTTTTATTTAAAGTCCTTAAATCGTCACCTAATATAGAGGGAGGGGATATAAAGACTGGAGGATATAAGGGGAAGCTCAGATAATTGTATCGAAGGAAAGTTGGGAGTCTAAATTGAGGAGAGTACGATGAATGGAGTGGATGACAGTAGACGGGATGAAAGGGACGTGCTGGAAAACTTGGCGGTAATGAGCAGACCAGATAGCCTGTTGGATGCAAGCAAAGACCTGGAACACGGATAATGCAGGAAAAAGTTCATGAGATGAGCGGTCAATATCGAGGCGAAGGTGGAGGATGGCAATGTATTCCTCGTACGCAAAGTAAGAGAATCGAGGTGAGATGTAAAGAGAGAGAGTTTGTCGCCAGACGTCCAATTTTCGAGGACAGGAAAAGAGGAAGTGCTCAGTATCTTCGATGATGGTGGGGATTGTGGGTGACGAAGACTGACAGTGAGGACAGTACGGGGTAAATGAATCGCGAAGCCGTTGATGTAATAATTGACGAGTAGTAACTTTTTCATGAAGGATCCGGAACCAAGTATTGCGAGCATTCAAAGGAATCTGGAGAGTCCAAAACTGCTTCCATTTGGCAACACCTAAAGGGGACGAATAAGAGGAAGGGTTAGTGTGAAGGGGGAGGGATTTGAATCCTTGATTAGTAGGGAGGGATAAAAGGAATGAATGAGACTCAAAAGAAAATGAAGTTGCCAATAAAGAGAGTAGAAGGGTGGATACGAGGCTGATACTATCGGAATAGTTGGTGATGGTGGAGAGGTCGATATGTGTGATGTTTGGACGAGGGACAAGGAGCAACATGTTGAAGTGAATGAAGTTGGTGAGCAGTAGGTTTTGAGCCTGAAGAAAATTGATAGCGCGTAAGCTGGTGGGTTGGTGGGGTAGGCCAATGACCGAAGTGCGAAGTTGAAGAGCTTGAGTGGTGGTATCAAAGATGAAAACATCATTACCTGTAAGTTGAAGCACTCTGGGGTAGTGTTTTACCACTTCCTTTGGTGAGCGAAATGTAGGCGATAAGCTATGGTTGGGTGGAAGGTTATGTTCAACCAAGGTCGAAAATGGCAGGCGTAGACAAGTACTGAAGGAAACATGACAGACACCAAACTTACGAACAATGGTATCTACGGCGCGAAGAATGTTGTAGAGAGGAGCGATGACCTTTCTGGCGCTTGATGGCCTACAGGCAGGAAAGAGGAGAGACCAGTGGTAGGTGGGGTATGAGGGAGTAGCGAGGAAGAAGTTGAGGATGACACGGAGATAAGGAAGAGAAGTCTTGGTAGGAGGAGTGGGATCGGATGGGTGCAAAAGTGGATGAAGCCAGCGATAACATAATAAATGTTCAGTACTTTTGCACTTTACAATCCTAATATGGAACCTGAGTTTCAAGGCATCTATCAGGCCTGGCTCATATCATAACATAATAAATGTTCAGTACTTTTGCACTTTACAATCCTAATATGGAACCTGAGTTTCAAGGCATCTATCAGACCTGGCTCATATATCATCATAACATAATAAATGTTCAGTACTTTTGCACTTTACAATCCTAATATGGAACCTGAGTTTCAAGGCATCTATCAGACCTGGCTCATATCATAACATAATAAATGTTCAGTACTTTTGCACTTTACAATCCTAATATGGAACCTGAGTTTCAAGGCATCTATCAGACCTGGCTCATATGAGAATAATGATTTTACAATCAATCAACAAAAACCACTGTAATTTCTACCCTCTTTCCTCTGCTCAGTGCTGTCAATGTTTTATTTGAGCGACGTCTCAGAGCCTCAGAGATTTCATTACTTACTGCAGACATTTTATGCAACCCATGCATTGTCAATGTCCAGACTAACGTTATTAAATATAGAATGCAATAAAATATCATTATGAACGATATAGAAGGCAATAAAATATCATCATAAACGATAGTGCTATGACCTGCCACCTACTTTCTATACGCTTCAAGGGCATTTACTACTGTATTGCCTTATGAAAAGGGCATGAGTTTTCCAGCTGGCCCTACCAGCCAAAATTAATTCAAACCCAGAATCATAGTCTGTTCCAGATTGGACATATTTTGATAATTTTGGACTCGATCGAGCTATTTTTGCAGATTCGACTAAGTGAAGTATGATAATCACCCCATGCTTCCTTAAGCTTTCCTGGAGTACTTTTCAAGGCGCTTCCAATGGTACTAAGTAAAATAGATGTTTTGAATTCACTTATTGAATGATTTGTAAAAATATGAAAAGAGATTTATGGCCAAAATGTCGAAATTTTACATATCAAAGTCCCACAAAGATAATTTCAGAGGTTGCTTTGGATTGATAGAAACATTTTGATTCAAGATATACCATAGTAAAAGTCTCCATTATCAAGATAAAAAATGCGGTCGTTTGATTTTCGATGAAAACCATGAGGGATACCTCATGCTTTTTGGTCGATTTTTGACCATGTTTTTTTGGTCCCCAAAAAGTCGAGCAAAAGTGTCAGAAAGTAACTGCCATATGAAAGCAACCATTTGGGGCTATTCTGACGATCTAAAACGGCCTTGAACGCAAGAAAATGCAGCTCAAATGCACTCATATTTTGCTGTATTAGGGACACTAAGGACTAAAAAGTGGGAATACCAGTATGCTGCTTGCCCGTATATGAAGTAGCTACGTGTATATGGATGTAGAACATCACATAAGAATCAGATCCACAGATAATATGAAGGGTTACTATGTGTAAGTGGAGGGTCAAAATGAAAGTAGCAGTATTTTGATAAAATACGCAAGAGCAATCAGTAGCACGAGCTGCCGCTGCGCAGGTTGGTTCTCTACCTTTGCTACGCTTCGGTGAGAACCATCCGAAGCATAAACACTCATACGATTAGTGATTACATATCAATCAACAATCAGGGTTCCTCTTCTAACATTTTAGCTATATTAATTTTGGGATATTAGCCAAAGGCCCGCGGCAGCGCGAGCCGTTTGAACGTAGGTTGGTTTCCACCGAAGCGAAGCGTAGGTCAGGAAACCACCCGAAGTGCTGAAAGGCTCGTATACCATAGTAAAAGTCTTCATTTTCAAGGTGAAAAATGTGATCGTTTGACTTTCGATGAAAACCATGAGGTACCCCTCATGCTTTTTGGTCGATTTTTGGCCATGTTTTTTTTTTTGGTCCCAAAAAGTTGAGCGAAGATGTCAGGAAGTTACTACTACTCAAGTACAATTGTTTGGCATCATTCTGATGGCTCATAAAAGTCTACATGTCAAGATATGAAGGCTTGAAAGCTGTCAAATTTGGTTATGTATTGCTTTATAGAGTTTATTTACACGGCGTAAATCACATCTTTGGTAGTTGCAACTTACTGGAAAGGCAGCTCTGTAGCTTGAGCAATTATTAATTCGAATAGGAGGCATATTGATTTTGGTAGAGCTGATTCATGCAAATTTTGATGCGCTATGTTGCTGGTAAGCTTATTAATAATGGAAATAAAACCCCGAATTTGCAGCTTAGATACTATGGTTTTGCATATTCGCTTCGCTACAATCAAGCCCTCGTATAGATCAATGCCATCAAATGCTGGATTGGATGCTTAGTTGTCATAGGTTTGCTCCTTTGCTTTGCTGCGATCAAGCTCTCATATCGACCTATGTTATCAAGTGTTGGATTAGACGCGTTATATTCTTCCCCCAAACCCCCCCCCCCCTCCCCATTGCCGGCTTTGCAAGTGGGTTTATTCACCTTGTACGGCACACAGTTCTTTAAAATTTTGAAAGGGTATGGTTGGCTTGTCCACTTTTTTTGAATGTTTCACAGTATTTATAGTGAAGATAGTTTGATAATAAACTTGATGGTAATGCAAATGCTAGACTGAACGTCCCTCTGATCCCCGAAACAAACATTTGAATTCAAAGGTGGAACATGAGTGTAAAACCTATTTTAATCACTCTTCTTCTCTCTTTGGATCGCTTTTGGATTAGTCATCCTCGCATCAGAAATGAAGCCTTTGATACCACTTTCAAGGCAACTCATATCACCAATATCACTGTTGTCCAAAGCATACAAGCCGCCAATACATCAGCTACAGAAACTGGTTATTTGGAAATCACAGATTACCAATTTAAGGTATGAGTTACAAAACATTTGAAAAAATCATGCCATTCCAAGCATCATCGTCATGTCTCAAACGCCCTTAATGGACCCGACATTCTTTTTAAAAACTATCGCCAGCCATCAACCCTTTCTTTTCCTCTCTTTTCGTAATGAAGTTATTAACAAATTTTCTGCTGATTTTTGTTTTTTACTATCTGTACAATAGATTCATCTCGTCTCCAGCAAACATGTCTCATACTCAACAAAATACCGTGGTCGTTGTGGGCGGTGGTTTAGCAGGCCTCACTGCTGCTGTAGAAGCTCATAATCAAGGTAATACCAAAGTTATCTTGATTGACAAGGAGAAGAACATTGGTGGCAATTCAATGAAGGCTACTTCTGGTATCAATGCCATCGAACCATTGAGCAAGGATACTCGTGAAGCATTTATCCAAGATACACTCAAATCTGGTGCTGGAATTAGTCATGAGGATCTTGTCACAAAGTTAGTGGATGAAAGCAGACCCGCTCTGGATTGGTTGATCAAGGAGAGTGAAGTAGATGGTGTTCCTTCTTTGGACCTGTCTGTCGTTTCTCGCTGCGGTGGTCATTCTCATGGTCGTACCCTTCGCTGTCCTGCTCAGAATGGTCGTCCTGTACCCGTAGGTTGGAAATTAGTAGAGACCCTCAAGAAGCGTTTTACTTCCTTTGATGATGCTGACGCTCAAATCATCACGAATACTCGTGTCACCAACTTGGTCATGGAAAACAATGCTGTTGCAGGTGTCGAGATTGTAAAGAAGGACCCCGAGACAGAAAAGGAATCAAAAGAGGTAATCAAGGCGGATGCTGTGATTTTGACAAGCGGTGGTTTCGGCGGACAAACTGGCAAGCATTTACCTGACGGTCAAAGCACATTGCTGAGTGAATTTGCTCCTCAGCTGGTACACACAGCCACTACAAATGGCCCCTGGGCTGCTGGTGAAGGTGTACGTCTTGGCTTGGCAGTTGGAGCAGGCATGAGAGATATGGTAAATAGTTATTATAAAGCATTGCAATCTGAAAAGCTAATGACATGCTGGATGAAAAATGATAGGATCAAGTGCAAGTGCATCCTACAGGTTTCGTTGATCCCAGTAACCCAACTGCTCCTACAAAGTTCTTGGCTCCTGAAGCGCTCCGAGCTTATGGCGGTGTTCTTTTGAATGGCGAGGGTAAGCGTTTCACAGATGAGTTGACCTTGCGTGATAAAGTCACTGCTGCTGTGAATCGCCAATCTGGTACGATCCACTCTCGTCCCAACAGTTTCATGAGCAAGACATTGCCTGAAACGTATGCTGCTGCTTATATGGTACTGACTGATGAAGCTGTAGAAGGCTTTGGCAAGAGTACATTGGGATTCTACGCTTCTAAGGGTTTCTTTACACAAGCAGAGGGCCTCGAGAAGTTAGCCAAAGTGTTGGATGTAGATGTAAAACAATTGGAACAAGAATTCAAGGAGTACGACACTCATGTTGGACAAGAGAAGCCTGATAGCACTGGAAAGACGTTCTTTCCTAGTCCTCTTTCTGGTCCTACTACGTACTGGGTTGGTCTAATCACTCCTGTTGTACATTATACTATGGGCGGTCTTGATATGAATACAGACGCTGCCATCCTAGCCGAAGATAATAGTAAAGTTATTCCTGGATTGTATGGTGCTGGTGAAGTCACTGGTGGTGTTCATGGCCATAACCGTCTGGCTGGTAACTCTCTTTTGGAATGTGTTGTGTTTGGTAGGACTGCTGGTCGCAATGCTGCTCTCTACGCCAAGAAGCACTGATTTGCTTATATCATTTACTATCTTGTTTCATTATTACATTTGTTTAATAAAGTTAACCCCACATCTTTTGCATCTCATATCAATATTGATCTGTAGAAATTCATAAAATGCTTCATGAGGCTTGGCGCGGTTACTAATCGTTGTAACTGATAATTCCTATTGAACCTTCCAGTTGCATGAAAGGACCCATGTTGGCTATTAACGCTGAAACCAGTGCTATGCTTCAGGCAGATCTGTCACATTACTTGACCAAGATATATATACATGAATATTTCCAGGCAAATAAAATATTTTATTGATATAATAAGCAGCATTATTAAAGTGTCTTCATATCAGGCACACGCATTTAATGTGTATTGTATAGTTTTTCATTTTATTTATTGTAAAAAATAATGGTCTCTCTTGGTTGCTTTTACAAAAAGCTTACAGGTTGAACCACGAGAAGGTGGAGACCAATCTCAACCCAAAAATTGAAAGTAGGCATGGGGGAAGGGAAACACATGACAACACAGAAGACTTATTACAGAAGACTTATTACAGAAGACTTACTACAGAAGACTTATTACAGAAGACTTACTACAGAAAACTTATTACAGAAGACTTACTACAGAAGACTCATTCCAGAAGACTTACTAGAGAAACCCTCACACCAAAGACACGAAACTCTCAAAAGACAAAGTACCAAAGACTTGAAAACCTCAGAGTGTGCCCTTAAAAATCCCCCATGCGAAAGAATATGACCAAATAAATATAAATATCTATATACTAGGACCAGAGAGAGCCAGAGAGAACCAGAGAGAACCAGAGAGAACCAGAGAGAACCAGAGAGAACCAGAGAGAGCCAGAGAGAACCAGAGAGAACCAGAGAGAACCAGAGAGAACCAGAGAGAACCAAAAGTATCCAAAGAGAACCAAAAGTATCCAAAGAAAGCCGTCAAGTAGAATAGAACCAGTCTTGAAATACCATAAGCCTTGTATTGTGAACCACCCTGATTCAGAGCATGTTACCATCCGTTATGTGCAGACAAGACAAATATACTTACATGATCACCAGTCTTCTAGTAGCGTCTATTGTTTTTGAGAGAAAAAAAAAAAAGATGAAGAAAAAGATGAAGAAAGGACGTGAGATAAAGAGAGAAATCTTTTACCTTTTATACCTTGATTACAGTAGCAACAATTTAAGGAGACACGCAAAAAACACTTCAAACGCAATTCTGAACGCTACTGGCATCCAGAGACAATGCAACTAATACCATTGGAATCGCCTTCAACTGCCCTACAATATGATATGCATTATTACTACTGTATACACACAAGATATGATATAAACTCATATGGTTTATTTCGTTTATTGATTAAACACAGTCAGCTTGTTTACATTTACATCTTGTATTCGGTTGATAACGGAAAGTGAACAATTTGATTCGCTTTGGATTTGAAAAGTTCGAGCAAAATGTAAACAATAACGGGTTCTTTATCAGTATAGTTTTGCAGTGATTGCAGTATATAAATTACATGTATTCACTATTTTATATGTACAAGCAGAGCTGTCAAAGTTCTGGTGCTACTGTCACCAACAGGATATGCTCTTACTTCTTTGAAAAGAATGTAGACAAGTTGCACGGAAAACAAACAAACAAAAAGTCATCGTTCAATTAGAGTGAGCATATTGGTAGTAGTGCAAGCAAACCCATTTGAAGCTATATTTTACAATGTGTATCCAAGTAAAAGGCAATCTTGATCCGCTGCTTTTGGGCCTGTAGAACACTTGGGTGACATGACGCCGCCTCAAAATACAGTATTTGCATGATTCTTAAAAAAGTGTGTATGTATAAACCAGTTGTCTGTCTTCGTTAGTGCTCAGTAGAAACCTCACATGTATTTCATAATTAGTATTGCCATCTATTTGCTAAAAATTCCTAGTAACAGGAGATGTGATGGCCCTTACACTTTAATAAAATGGACATTTGGCATTAGGTTCCCAAGCGTATATGGTATTATAGCATTGCCTTAGTGGCTGCTATAGTATAGCCTAGTAGTGGTATCTCAATGTACAGTACATCAAACCTCAAGTGCCATTTGCAATTTTGAATAGCAAGAAAGTTTGCGTTTCATATTAGGCCATTTATTTGAATATGTAATAAACAATGATTAATCCGAGTGTCAGAAACAAAATGTGCTTCAGAATCAGGCAAAAGTAGAGAGAATAAGCTACTATAATACTTTTTTCAAATTGCAATCCTCTTTATATTAGCTTCAAGATCGTAGATTACATTGATATCAGAAGCACTCAAAATCAATTGAATTCTCGCTTAACGTCTATTCCAGATTGGACAGATTTTGATCTAAAAACGACTCGGTTGATCTATTTTGCAGAATTGGACTATATTAGATGCGATGATCATCTTATACTTTCTAATGCATTTCTGGAGTGCTTTTCAAGGCGCATCGAATGATGGTGCTTATGGCAGATGTTTATAATAAACGCATCGAGCAATATCAAAAAATATGAAATGAGGTTTCTAGCAAAAATGTCAAAAACTTACATATAAAAGATACACAAATGACGTTTCAAGGGTTGCTTTGGATCGATAGCAACATTTTGATGTAATACATACCATAGTAAAAGTCATCATCTTCAAGGTAAAAAAAAAATGCGATTGTTTGATTTTCGATGAAAACCATGAGGGGTACCTCATGCTTTTTGGTCATGTTTTTTGGTCCCCAAAAAAGTTGGGCAAGGGTGTCAGAAAGTAACTACCAGATGAGAGTAACTGTTTGGTGCTAACCTGGCAGCTTAAAACAGCTTTTAACGGGAGAACATATGGCTTAAATACATCAACATTACTCTGTGTTTTGCGTACATTTGAATAATCCAAGGTAATGTAAGCATTATTTCATTGAAGATCACTCGTCTCATGAGTAGAATAAGGTCAAAGTGAGCCATGCAGTTATTAGCTTGCGAGCCTGTTTGCTCAATGTTTGCAGAAGCTCATGGTGTATTAGGACTTCGTTACAGCTCTTTTTAAAGCTTTCATCGTAGCAAAATATGGAACAGCTTAGTATAATGCAGGAAGATAACATCCTCCAATTAATTAAATTTCTGCTTATAGAATTAAGTATAGCAAACTGAGCCAACATAAACGGAAAAGATCAAGCTTGGCATAGACAACATCATGATATCTATGTAGTCTTCCACATGTACACAAGCAAATTTTGGTTTTTATGCAATACTATCTACAGGAGCACCTCCTTTTGATCCAAGTCTTCCATAAAGAGCATTTGTGAGATAATGCAGAACTGTTTTTTCCATAGATAAGTATAGATGACCGTTTTTTGTAAGGGATGAAGCTTCATTTCGCCCTCGATCCAGTATACAAGATCTCATGTGTCAATTAATCACCTTTGCGGATGTTCTTGAGAAAAAAGCAAAATCTACGGTAAACCTTCTCTGCTTGATAGCCTATTTTACCTTTTCCCTTGCTTGAACCGTTCTTGGCTGTTATCAAAGAATATATCCAGATGTTTAAATCTTTGGTGAGATATAGATGTTGCAATTTCCTTTCGCCCTTTTAAATCACTGGCATAATCCCAAAACGCTCGATTCAGGAACATTAAACAAAACGCATCAGCAGTATCAAGGACAATCTCAGATGCATTTATATCAGCAGGACCTCTTATAGTCATCATGTAGTAAGGCATGATGGATGCTGGAGTGCTTTTTCCTTTTTCCTCTTTATCTTACTCTTGTTGTTGTGTGATATTGAGTAGTAGGAATCTCTTTCAGGTTTCCTGGGACCAATAGATCAATGCCACTGTACTTGATGAGGAGAAATTCTCTTACGGTTTAAATAAAGGCAGGTTCGTAAGCCTTGTTTTAGCTTTCAGAACAAGCTGGCCATTATATGTGTAGTTCTGTTGCTATTTGCTTTGCAAATAATCAGAGCTTATGAGTCATGTAATAGGTTGTCGGCGGGCAACTACTAGAGCTCCCTGCTTGTGTGTTCTATTTGAGTAAAAACGCGGCCGCCTACTCGATCGAACACTGCTTGAAGCTGCCATTTCGGGCTGTGTGTTTGCATGGTACCATGTAAACCCTTATCCTTGGTACCAGTTGTACTTTGACCTTTGCGCTGGTTGATCCTGTCACATCATAGTAGGTGATCTGCTGTGATAACCAACAAAATTAAGTTTTTTTTTATACAAATGGTATTTGGTTTCATGAGTTGGCACGGTATTTCTTAATATAAATGCCCTTGATGTGTTTCTTTTGGGCTGGAATGGAATCGACGGTAATAAATGGCTTTTATCAACCAAAGCCTACATACGCGCGCTCTCTCTCTCTGTTGAACCTTGATGTTGGCATTATTGCGGGGGGGCTACAAATTCAGGTTGCATGAATTGAAGCGCCAATCATGTCCACCACAACTGGTCCTGGGTGTACCTACACACAAACACACAAACACCCACGCATGTGAAAATGACTACTTGTGAAAGAGCTGAAAACCCAATAAATTATAGCTTGCTTCTGTTTTTCATTTACGTTTCTCTCTCTTTATTCAAAACCTCTTCTACAAAATGATGTCCTTTGGCAGCAAATTGACCAAGCCCTTGCTCGCTACTCAACGTGGATTCTCCACCTCTTCCTTGTTGCTCAAAGACATCAAGCATGTCACTGTTATCGGTGCTGGCTTGATGGGTTCTGGTATCGTCCAAGTAGCTGCTCAAGCTAAATACAATGTCACCATGATTGATACCACAGATGCCGCACTCGAAAACGGTAAAAGCATCATTTCCAAGTCTCTCAAGCGCGTTGCTCGCAAGAAGTTTGCAGATGATGAAGCCAAGCAAAAGCAATTCATTGATGAAACGCTTCAATATGTCACCTTGTCCAAGGACGTGGAGGAGGCAGCTGCCAAAACTGACCTCATTGTCGAAGCTATCGTCGAGAACATTGATATCAAGCAAAAGTTGTTTGCTCAATTGGATAAGGTAGCTCCCAAGGATACCATCTTTTGTAGTAACACTTCTTCCTTGCCTGTCACTCAAATTGCTGAGGCTACAAGCGATGCTCGTAAGGAACGTTTCGCTGGTTTGCATTTCTTCAACCCTGTGCCTGCCATGAAGTTGGTTGAAATTGTTCGTACTGACAAGGTGTCTGATGAAGTCTATACTGATTTGGCTGAATTCACAAAGAAGGTTGGCAAGACCTCTGTTGCTTGCAAAGATACTCCTGGGTAAATCAGATTTATAATGACCATTTAGTTTGAATAGGAGACTCAATGCTTTCTATCTTATTAGTTTCATTGTGAACCGTTTGTTGGTGCCTTACATGATGGAAGCTATGCGTGTCATTGATCGCGAAGAAGCTTCTATTGCTGATGTCGATACTGCCATGAAGTTAGGAGCTGGTATGCCCATGGGTCCCCTGGAATTGGCGGATGTAAGTCTGGGTAGTGTGTGTCAGGGATGATTGATTTGGTTGTTAATGCCATTATTTGTTTCGTTTAGTTTGTCGGTTTGGATACCATGAAGTTCATTGTTGATGGTTGGGAGAAGGCTGGATCATTGGATACTCCTCTCAAGGAATCTCAAATTTTGAATAAGCTCGTCAAGGAGGGTAATTTGGGTCGCAAATCTGGCAAGGGTTTCTACGATTATTCCAAGTAAAAATCTCAAATAAAAAAAAGTTGTATAGTAGAGAGACTTTGTTGCTAGAACCATCCTCCTCCTATCCATAACGTCACATATAGATTTATTCAACAATAGTATCTAGTTATATTCTACAACGGCGTATTTACCACTGAAGCGCCATTCTTGTCTAGTTGCTCTACCTTCAATATCTTTTTTGGTCTCTTCAGTCAGACCCACAACAGGATCAGCCTTGTTTGTACGCAGAGCAATGATGTTTGTAAAGCGGTTTGCCATGGAGGGGCCGATGGCTTCCTTAAATGGCGTAGTAACAGGGAAATCACAATCAAACACCAATTTTCTATAGTTCAAATCACCCTTATACAACACGACGTCAGATTGCTTCATCTCGCTAAAGAGGTCAGGGGCGTCAGACTCCATGTACCAGTAAGAGAGACCTGTGCACCAGAAATCATGAGAGCGAACCACCAACTTGCCATCAGCAACATATTGCTCCCAACGATGAACCATAGTCTCCAAGGCATCCACATCCTCTTGAGATCTGACATCCTTGGCAGGGAAGAAATCTCTGTCCAAACAGTTTTTGAACATCATAGGCATGTCCTTGGGCATCACATCAGAGACAAACCAAGGCATTGTTTTACAGTTGAACACCACTTTACCAGCGAGACCAGATTGCAGTAACCAGTCAGCAAAGATCATGTCTACAAACACTTCGAAACCAGAGTTATCCAACACAAAATCAACACGGCCGCCCTTGAGAGACTTGAGCTTTTGCCATAGCTTTTCAGTGTCATCCACCAAGATGAATCGACGACGTGTAGCCAAGTGATCCTTCTCAACAGCTTGTAATCTCTCGATATCCGCTTGTGACATGTTGGTCAACAGACTCAAATCAGTAGCATTTCCCCACAAACAGATTTGAATGAGTTCATTGTACACAATCTCAAGCTTCTCCTCGGGCATTGGCTTTATCAGCTCTGGCATCTTGCATGCTAAATCAAATACTGCACCGTAGGATCCCTTGAAAGTGTCGTTCTTTTGGCGTTCGAAACAATCGTAATCGGTCCAATGTTGAGAGTTGTAAAAGATTTCAGCCATGCGACGATAAAGATAGCATTCATTGAACAGCCAGGTACCATTCATCCAAGTGCAACCCTTGAAGTAGTCTTCCAAATGTCTGTTCCACTTGGCAGTATCAGGTTTGTTATCTTGAATAGGTCTAGATATTGCTTTCAATGTCAAGAGGGATCGATGTCTATCTACTCGCCTGTACTCACCTTAAAGGCTTTTCGTCAACCAATTCTTGCTTGATGGCTTCCAAGGCTGCCACAATACTGGCGCCTTCTTGAGCGCGTTCAGCAAAAGTCTCTGCGATTGTCTGCTTGACATCCTTGATAGCGCTATCGATAATAATGGGCCAACGACGAATCGTGGTCTCATAGGCAAAACTCTCTTTATTAGTTGCTCTGAAAGCAGGGTAAGGTGGGTTATTAGGAGTAATCGTATTTGACATGTTAAGTTGAGATACTTGTAAAAAGAAGCAAACCCTGTTTATTTTATACACATTTGACTAACAGTGACTCTCCCATAAAAGTAAATCTTCCCTTTTCCATTCAATAAAACCCGGGCCAATCAATCTATGCTGTCTACAAGATGCCAATGCGGGTTTAAAACGTGGTAGATTTGTGGATTGATTGCTGGATGTCGACATTGTTGGTCTCGAGAGCGGCAGAATTTCTAGAGAGCCAGGCACCAATAAATGCAACGGATGTGTCATCCAGTTGTTTGGTGTCGACGACCAGCTTGTTCTTTGGTTTTTGTAAGGGAGCAACAGCTGTAGTTGTCGGTGATAATGCTACTGTACTCGTGGTGGTGCTGTCATTATCGAGCAAATTGGAGTGATGTCTTTTGTGGGTATGATGGAATGGTGGTATTGAATCAAGCAATACATCCGGTGGTGGATCAATGTATTTTCGGGTGACAGTTGGTAAGGGTATATAATCATCTTCTATGATTTCTGGACGTTCAGTGAATGGTGCATACAATGTCGAGTCCTGATATCTATGTGAGGCATTGCCATTAGTATATGTCAAACGTGCCATTGAATTATATGGAAACTCACAGTGTCTATACGGAAATTACTGATTAGTACACCTTGCAATGCCAGCGTTGGATGCCCATGCACTTACTTTTTTTGGATGCTGCGTTGCTGATTTCTCTTGTTTGTGATGAGTATGTTTTGCTGGCAGTTGCTTTTCATTCTTGTTGATGTATTTGGTTCCTTTGCCCTCAAAAGCTATACTCAATTGCTTGTGTTGCCGAACGTCATTCGACGATGATAATGATAGCAACTGGCTTTTCACGGTTGAACTTTGATTCTTTTGATGCTGAATGTAGAGCTGATGTGTAGGGCGGGCGCTTTTGCTTTTGCTAGTGTCTGGTGTCCTGGGTTTTTTAGTATTTGCCGTTGCTATGGTAATCGCATGCAACGGCTTTTGGCGGAATATCAGTGTGTTGCTGTTGTACTCGTCGTAATCATCATCATCTTGTTCATCATCATCGCTATCCGGGTGCTTGGCATCATGTACATTGGATGACACAAGGCGATCATTATTGTGATGACTGAAGATTGATCTTTTACTTTTCTGTTGTCCCAATGAAGTTGCATTATTGCTGTTTTTGTTGTTGTCCTTCAACTTTTGGATGAAGTGAAAGCGTTTTATAAAATCCATCCAAACGTAGAGAGCTATATAGGACGATTTGCGAGAACAAAATGAAAAAGAGAGAGGAAAAAGGAAAAGCTCACTCTGAATAATGTAATATGGATGATGAATTTTAGAGTAACTCTGCGTGGTTCCACAAATATTCTCTATCGAGTTAAAATTACCACATTGTGCTAAAAAAATCATTAAGGCATACAGTTAGACAAGAAGTAACGATGAGATGGTATTTGCACTCAAAATCATATAAATGGCGCCTTGTTGTACTTCACTATGAAATCGCATTTGCGTGCATCTCTGGCACACTACAATCAAAAGATAACAAACAAAAACCTCGTTTTGCTTGATATCAAAAGTTTTGTATCTGGTTGCACCAACATTTCACACGACGGTAAACACCATAAACAGAGGATATTGTTAAAAAAAGGCCAATTTATCAATATATGTTCATAAGATTTTTATTGGCCCTTGTTATAAATTGATCTTCATGGCTGAGTCTTGTATAGAAACAAACATAAAAACGCCCTGATTGCGATTTGGATACAAGAATAAGCAATTGCTAGATTCGTTTTCTTCTAAAAACAACGAGCGAAGGAGTTTTTCCAACTGGCGCTTCTTATTTTTCTTTGAATCTGTTTTTAAACATTGCATATACAAAGGTCTTCCAAAAAGTAGTACCTTACTACTAAAGTAGAACGTCTCACACCAAAAATGCAGCTGTGCACCAAATTAACTGAGTTGTTGAAGATATAAACTAGTAACTGATTGGCAGATCCATCATCCTTCAAGTATATAGCATGATACTGAGATGCTTCATTGTTTTTCATGTTCATTTCCATCCAAAAATCACCCTCTACATGTCCATTTATACATTGGGAGTCGAGTAGAGTGAGTGCAGTTCAATAAGAGAGAATGTAAAGTATAGATAACCTGGCCAATCGATCTCGTTTCGCTCGATGCTGACGTTGCCTTGTGAGCTCTCACCGAAGACATTTCAAATCCGGGATAATAAAAACTGATATATAAGTAGGTTTTAAACAATAATACGATAGTAAAAAAAAAGGGTTGTGTCAGAGTCAGAAAGAGGGGTAATATTCCTCCTTGCAGCCTTCCTTCGTTTATACACTGATATCAAACGAAAGCTATTGTTGAGACGATGTGAAAGGGAGTTCAAGGTTTATGCCACATTTGTATACCACATTTTCTGGTAGTAGAATTGCCGTACCATTCGTTGATGTTGCTCTTGTGATGGCGACATTATGCTGGCCACAAGACTTCTATAAGGTCTACAGCGACTTCTTTGAGAGATTGTTATTGCAAACGGCACCTTTATAGGGAAGAACTCCCAACAAAAGCAAAAAAAAAAAAGTATTTTAGCTAAGCAATTGTCTTTTCAAATATAAGTTCTTTATTTAGTCAGCGTTGCGATCAGCAGTGTCATCATCATTGTTATCGTCAGAAAGGCATTTGGGTTAGCCAGCAGCAGTGTCGCCTGCCATCAAAATTGATTCGACGCCAAATTATTTTTCTGCTCAAGATTGGTCGAATTTGTTCTCTCTTCGACCTGATTGAAGTATTTCGTGAGATTCGACTATATAAACTGTAATGATCCGCCCGTACCTCCTAATGCATTCCTGGAGTACTTCTCAAGGCGCTTCCAATGGTGTAAAGCAAAATCAATGTTTTGACTGAAATTATTGAGCCATTTGATAAAATTTGAAATGAGGTTTTTAGCGAAAATAGCCATATTTTGCATATGAACACCTCATAAAAGTAGTTTCAGGGGTTGCTTTGTGTCGAGAGAAACATTTTGAACTGATATATACCATAGTAAAAGTGTTCATTTTCAAGGTGAAAAACGCGATCGTTTGATTTTCGTAAAAAATCATGAGGTACCCCTCATGCTTTTTGGTCTATTTTGGCTATATTTTTTTTTTTGGCCCAAAAGGTTGAGCAAAGATGTCAGGAAGTTACTACTACTCAAATACAATTGTTTGGTGTCATTCCGGTGGCTCATAAAGATCTACATGTCAAGATATGAAGGCTTAAAAGCTGTCAAGTTTGGCTATATTTTGGTTTATAACGTTTACTTACACAGCACAATTCGCATCTTTGGTAACTAAAATCTTCTGGAAGGACAGTTCTGTATCCTGTGCAACTTCTAATTCGAATTGGAGGCATATTGTTTTTGATGAAGCTAGCTTACGCAAATTTTGATTCGCTATGCTGTTGGTAAGCTTAGTACTAATGGAAATGAGAGTTCGCATTTGCTGCTCGAATACTATGGTTTTACACCCTTACTTCGCTACGGTAAAACCCTCTTATAGGTCAATGTTACCAAATGTTGAATTGAATGCGTTATATACTTTTGGGGAGGGGCTTTTAATCTTTGATTAGTCACCTCGACGCTTTTTCTCATAGTTCCCCAGTATATATACTAGAGCAGATCTGTCTATAGAATGAACGCCATGTTTATAGTAATTGTTCAACTAGTAATCAATAAACGAAAACAGAAGGTAGAAAGTAGAAAATAAAAAGTGCAATGAATCTATCATAAAAAGATACATAAAAAATCAAGCGATCCTGCAAAAACATAGTAGAATCAATGAAATAATAACAAAGATAATGAGCTGTAAAGCATTATAGGCAAAAGTTTGAGATCGAAATGAAATAGTTTTATTTAGCAATTTTATTTGTGTCGATACCTATACTATTTCTAATATAAATGCAATGAAATCAGGTTTAAGAGATATCACAAAAAGATATATTGAAGCAATAACAATAAAATGCAATAGAAACCAACTGTAGTATATTTGTGTATTAAATGAACTGAAGTACCTAGAATTGAATAGAAAAAGAAGAATATTTATATATTTGCAACTAACTTGTCGGATTAGTAATGATAGAGAGCAATAGGTGCTGCTATTTCGATATCTGACAAATGTTGTTGATATTTGATTTAAAGTGGTAATCAATGCAAGAGCATTGGCCATAAAGGTCGATTTGAGTAACCTTGATGGTCTTGGGTGAGCTATCGTCCGTCATAGCATGATTTAATGTAACCTCGATGGTTTAAGGTGTGATGTTTGTTATTGAAGTATGGAATCTTTTATCTAGAATATTGTGCAACTACGGCAGCAGGGCATAGTTGTCATATTTGAATATGCTTGTTATTGATTTGATTTTATTTGGATAAAGATAACATCTCTTATTACGACCATCATGGGTGTGATGGAATACACTGTGATCAGGAGTGATTCATTCACACGATGTGCGATATAAGCATGCATCTTTACTGTAGTATGTTTAAATGGTTGTTGATGTACATTTAAGTGCTTTTATTAATAGATCCAAATAGCATGAATTTGAATGAGTGCTATTTGATGAATTATGGTTATCAATCAAGTTGCGTTTGGGTGGCTATTTCATTACACCACATATGTAGAACATCAGATACATCAGAAAAAGCATTAGTTTATTTACTTCTTTGTCAACGCAACCCACTACTACGACGTCGTTTTAGGTTGAATTCTGTTCAAATCTAGCCATTTTCAAGCACGAATAACTCATGCCACAAAGCGTTTTGAATGCTTGGAATAGCACCATACACCTCCTCTTGGCTGCGCTTTACTTACTGATGCTTTGTCTCAATCTTTTTCAGGTCGTCGCAAATTCATGAAAACCATCGTTTTTCTATGAGTATTAGCAAGGGAAGATTCTTGAGTATTAAATGATCGCGTTTTTCACCTTAAAAATAAAGACTTTTTCTATGATACATATTAGATCAAATTGATCGTAAAAATGAAATGCAACATTGGAAACTCTTTCTATGAGACCTGCAAATGCTAAATTTTGACATAATCACTGAAAACCTGTTTTCCAATTTTTGGAAATTGCTCACTATTTTTGGTCTGAGAGCTGAAAGTAATCAGCGCCGCTTGATGCGGCTTCTTTAGTTCTCTAGAGGTGTATTAGAAAGTTGGGTGTGACAACGACAGTTTTCATAGTCAAATTTAGCAAAAAGGTTTAAAGGATGTGAGATCAAGTCAAATTTGAGCACGAAAATAACCACTGCACAATTTCAAATTAAATTGCCGCAGCTACAGCTGCTACGGCAGAAGACCGAGGCCAAATCTACTGGTTGTGACGTCGGATAGAGCGCCCTCTCATTTTCCCATACGCTCGTTTTTTTTCCCTTTTTGCAAAACGCGTTTAGTATCAAACCATGGTGGTTTTGGAAACCGTTTCATTGATAATACCACTCTAGCTTCTGATAACGCTGTATTGTACTTTGAGAAAGACTTGGCGCTGCTTTTTTAACGTAGAATATATTAGGTACTATTCGATAACGAGCATTGAAAGGCATAGAATTAACACTAATTGAATTTGTTTATTAGGTTTTGATAGTTTTTTTGCTTGTTTGACATGGGTACTGCTGCCATTACTTCTTTGGTATCTCTGCTGCCTGCGGCTTTGGTTTATCATGTCTGGCGACTGCTTCTTTGGTCTTTGTCTGGTCTGTAGTGTCGTTCGTTCTCTGGTTTTTCTATTGTGCTGGTATTGCTGCCGCTGCTGCTAATATGGTCTTTCCTGGTCTACTCTCTTTGGTGCATACTCATTCTCTGGTTTATATCTGGTGATTGAGTATACTCTTATGGCCTACCTGTGGTGGTGATAAGAGGTAAGTAGCTTCTTTTGTCTTTGTCTGCTCTCTGCTGATGGCGTTCATTCTTTAGTTCTTCGATGATGCTGGTGTTGCTGCTGCTGCTTCTGCTGCTAATATGGTCTTTTCTGGTCTACTGTATTTGGTGCATGGCTATCCTCTGGTCTGTCTCCAATGATTGCCTATACTCTTCTGGTCTATCTGTGGCTGTGGTACGTGGTAAGTATCTTCTTTCTTCTGGTCGCAATGATATGAAACTTCTTTGAACGCTTATATCCTTGCTTCCTTTCTCGTGATAATGCATTCATGATGTTTGCCTTGTTGCGACTTTTTCTTCTTTTTTTCTTTT